CCAAATCAATTTTAGAGTAAATAACATTGCCATTAATTACTCAGTATTTGTTTAACCTTTCTTTTCTTTTTTCTTTTTTCTTTTTTTTGGCTTCATTTTTCTTGTTTTCCTCTCTTTGTTTTCTCTTCCCTCCCTCTAATGGCGCCAAAATTTTGTTTTCCTCTCTTTATTTTCCCTTTCCTCCCTGTATGGCGCCACGTTATAAATTTGTAATAATAAAGTTACGGCATTCTTTCTTACTTTTTTCCTTTATTATTTGCGTTGGTTTACAACATTCAACCATCAATTATAGGTAAAGATACTAAGATCTTTAATTGTATAGACATACCAGATAGTTGGGGACATAGTTTTGGTGAATTACTAAATGATAAGTAAGTAAATTTGTTAATTTTGTTCAACGTACGTAAATCATGCATCTTGTATTAAAAAAACTGTCACATGAACCGCATTAGCCATACTTGTGCATAGCGATAAGGCAATGCCTATTTTGTCCACATATATATGTACTAGTATATGTGTGTGTGGGTGTGCATTGTTCATGTATTTATTCAACGTTGCATTATCCCCAATCAGTAAATAAACCCTACAAGTGCATAAAAATGTATAAAAGTAATGAATCTTAGACATGAGAGGGCCCAGAAATATACATCTACATATACATATACATATACATATACATATACATATATTCTCCAGTGCTTTATTAAGTTTGTGGTAGGGTTCTCAATTATGCAAAGGCAAAAATACCGTAAAGAGAGAAACTGACTGAATGAATGTTATGTAGAATGAATGCGAAGATAACATTGGGACACCTTTAGATGCTTAAAAAGTTGGCCGTTGATGACATGATATGATTAGGACACATTTATATATGGTGCTAATTTAATAACAATTAAATAATTTGTGTTACATAATTTCAACAAAAGCATAATGGCCCATTTGGACTAAGCTTAATTACTTTTTGATGAGAAAGTGGGAATGCTCTACTCTACATGTGAGAAAGTGAAACGGGGAGTGTACTCCCCAATTGGTGGTCATGTCTGATGGTACTTTATGCTTTTACATAACAAATATATGTATCTATAATTCTATATATGTATTAATAGATTAGGTGTGGTAGGATCTTTTAAGAGTATTTCTTGTGGACCGACACAATTTGAGTTTACAAAATCATTTTTACTGTTGGAACTGAATTTATAATGCTTAGAGAAAAAAAAGGACGTAGTTGTGGTACTCTTTCAGTCTAAAAGGGTGATAGAGATACTTCGTTGTAGAGAAGGGGGACCCCATTATGTGAAATTGTAACATTAGTAGGGTTTCAATAATTCAATATAATTTGTGTAATTTTATGTCAGCTCGGCCTCTCGTGGACATAACGTGTCCTTGGACTGGTTGATTTTTCAAGTCAAATTATTCAAATCTTGCAATCACACCACTAAAGTAAATGGATAAAAAGACCGCAATGCTTGTTCGTAAGATTTAATTAAAGTATTTTTATTTCAAATAATTAGTTTCGATTTTATATTAGCGAATAAACAATCTAGAGTTGATTTAAAATGTCAGAATTCATCATTAATCTTTTCTACAATTGCTGAAGAAAATTAGAGGTGAAATTGTTCTAAAATAACTTACTTCAATTTGATATTACCACTACTCACAGTCTCTGGGCCTATCAGAATTGTCAGTAGTGACAATGTCTAGAGTAGGTTAGACTACAAACTTTCTAAATAATAGTGAGGGTTATATATCTAATCTAGGTACCAAACAACCAACCAAAACATCAATGACGAGCACATGCCCCTCACTTAAAAAAAAAAAAAAACAACAAAAAATCGTCCTGAATAATTTGGTCACTAATGTATTGATTAATGTTAGTGACCATAATATATCCTAAATTTGCGGTGTAGGTGGAAGTGGATGAAGAAATGAGATTAGATTTAAGGGAGTAGGAAGAAGACCCCTCCACTACCAGTGTCTCAGGACTCTCCCTTTGTGCCCATTCTTTCCCCCATTCAGAAGAAACAAAGAGACAAAGTAATAACAACTACTGTACTTCAAACCTCAAAACCACCACTACCAATTGATATCACTTTAGGGGTGCGGATTTGGCGGGTAGATTTGGGCCGGTTAATGTACCAGCATTGCTCCATTTTACAATGTACATTGTTCTCTTTCTACGTTATAAATAAATGACTATAAAAAAACACATATAAATGAAATTGGTCTTAAAATATCGCTGTTGATTTTACTACATACACTCTTTTATTACTTTAAAGTTTAAAGACATTTTCAAATTTTAGCTAAAGTCATTTTTTATATTTATTCTAGCTGAACTTACTTTGACTCTTTATATTATACTTAAATATTCTCATTTTGGCTACTTAAATATGTTGCTTTTATGATCTTTTTAATCACCAATACTCAGCTTTGCATAAATTTTAGCTAAAGTCATTTTTTATATTTATCAAACAAAATAATTAAAAAAAAAAAAAAAACTCTTCCCTACATTTTTATATTGATCATTAATTATCAAATCATGTTGTTGTAAAATTATATAATTTCCTTTATATTTTAACCTAAATCATAACTTTACTATCCTGAATTTATGAAACCACACAAACAGTGGACTGAATTTAATGAGTTCTCTAGCATCCTTGGAGAAGAAAAAAAAATTGCGGTAATAAGGAGCATATCTCCATTGTTATTGTTGGGTGGGGTTAATTGGGATAAGACGCCTTCTTAGTATGGGAGAGGTCCAACACAAAATTCAGTGTTTGAAATTATATTATCACTAATAAATTTTATCTGTCAATTTTGTCATAATTACTGAATTTTGCGCTGTATCTCTCCTTTTTCGGATTTTAGTTGACAATCAAAACCATTGTTTTGATTCTATCTATAATTATGACGACATAAATCTGGTGCAGTTGGACAATTAATGCCATAAAGTCTCTGCAACAACAAAACAGGAAAATAGTAATTACGTAAAATTTAAAGAAAATGATAGAACAGAAATACTGCAGTACACTTGTGACTTTGCGAATATATAAATATAAATAATACTATATATATATATGTATAGAAAAAAGAAAAAAGAAAAAAGAAAAAAAGTACTAGTATCAAAGATTGCAGGTCACATGGAAATGGTAGCGTGGGCCATGTTTGGAGAAAGTCACTTCCCCAAACAAAACAAAAGCAGCAAATGAGGGAGGCTTCCTCCATCTAATATTTTCTTTTCCATTATTTTAATATATACTACGTATTACTAAGCAGCAAAACAATCTGACTTAATCATGTTGTCCAACAAAGATTGATGTTACTGATTGTGATTTGAAGATGCCACGTTGCCCTAATTGTTCCTGGAAAAGTAAGAGGAAGGTTCCATTATTTATTATTAAATTTTTTTTTTTTTTTTTTTTTTGTGGTAAGTTAAAATAATTGGTCCATCACGTACCCTAGGTCCCTACGCAGTCTTTGTCGACCATAACCAAATTATTTGAATGACAACATTATTAGTACAATGTTATAAATACATGTTAATGATATATTTAAAATTAAATGAATCAGTACCATATATTTGTTTGGGGTTCTTATGAAATTCAAGAGGTGTTAGGTCAATAAAAGATAAAATGAATTTATTTCCGCATATTGAACTAGGTTTTGAAAATTGAGATCCAACAAGTTTAATTGAGATTGGACATGGTATGACCTTATTTTTCTAAGTTTGGACTTCATTATTACATCTAATTTTAAAACCACCCAATTTGACAATTCTTATGAGATCGGTCTCGGGTCCATCTTAGATTCTAGGTGTAACTAAAATATTGATTAAAATCCTTAATATAATAATAACTATATTACTATATTTTATAATATCAATACAGGTACTTTAATGATATGAAATTAGTACAGTATCTTTGACTACTGTATTTTTATGTTCTTTTATGTATATATGCCTTCATTTTAAGTCAAATTAATTGATAATATATTAAAGCTTGGTTTTGAATTTTTAACCTATTACAGTCTAAATAAAAATGATTAATTTGGATTATCCATGAATTGCATGCACTAAATAAGTAAATATGTATTTCTACATGACACTAAAATATGAATGAGTCTCACCACTTATATTTTCTCCCCAAGGACAAATTGAAGGCTTTTGACTTGTATATAAATAGGTAAAGTGCCACAAAAAAAAAAAAAAAAATTGCAATTAGGAAAAAAGGAAATGCGAAAAAACATTGTTGTTACAAATTACGGAGTACTCCTTAACTGTTAATTTTAATCATATTTTTTTATTAAAATTCCAAAATACTCTTAATACTCAGTGTTTTTTTATTTCTATTTTTGTTTACAAAATGTTTTAAATAATTCAATTTTTAACAAAATGTATTTATTTGTTCAATTTAAAAAATGTAAGATTTTTTTAAACACCAGATAATATTTGCACATTGTGTAGGTAACAAATTAATCCTAAATAGATAAGATTAAAATATAAATATAAATCAAACTCACGTCAAATTGTGCTCTATTTTATGTTTTGAAAACTGATCAACTATGCATATGAATTTGTACAAAAATTCAAGTTCTGTTATGAACGATATTGTGAATATGGGTTGTTTATTTGAATAAAAAAAATTAAAAAAGGAAAAAAAATTGTACAGAAATTATATTGGTACGGTAAATAGCAGCAGTATATGCTTTTTTCCAAGCATCGTCAGGTTTCACATACTAATTAGTCAATTACCATGTGTATATTGCTGACCAAACTTGGTTGTTGGACTTTTTTTGTTTTTTTCTGTCTCTTTTCAGCAACTTAGTTGTTAAGCTTATATTACATGAATATTATATGATAAACCCAATTACTGCATTGTAGTAGACGCGTGCAAAACACTCTCAAAAGATTAATCTCACATAGTGGACTTATTGGAACAGTACAAAGCTTCTTAGTTTTGCTGATGTTCTGTTCATTTGTCAGTTTACTTGCACTTTTTACTTCTCTCTTTTTGGGTGTGGTGTTGAGCTCACAGTCACGCAGTGATGACTCTCTCGACATCTGTGATTGATAGCTGTATAGTATAAAATTATAACTATATATATATATATATATATATATATATATTGGTAGTAAATGGTTGGTCTCAGATTTCTCAGAGTGGTGAGTCCAAAGAAGTAATGGACCATTTTGGTTAACACCGACACTACCAGACTACCAGTAAATCACCAAATTCCCTCTCTGTAATCTTGTCTAGATTGCCACAATTCTGATTCTGCTTTTGAGTTTGCCACAACCCAGAAAGAGATAGAGAGAGAAATTTTGTATATATATCTATCTAAGTGAAGAAGCATAGTAGAGAGAGAGAGAGAGTTCAATCATGGAAACCAACTCAGTTTCCAAATGGGTGTTCTTGTTCAGCTTTGTACTGTATTTGGGTTCTCAGATGATCCATTGCAGTGTGACCTATGATAGCAAGGCCATTGTCATCAATGGGCAAAGAAGAATCCTCATCTCTGGCTCCATACATTACCCCAGAAGCACCCCTGATGTACTAATTTTCTTTCCCCTTTTATTGATTCTCTCTTAAATTTTCTTGAGAAAGTATTGTGTGTGTGTGTGTGTGTTTTCTGGGCTATTACTGACTCTGTCATTTTGGATGAAATGAAAACTATTTTAGATGTGGGAAGATCTCATACAGCAAGCTAAAGAAGGGGGTCTTGATGTCATTGAAACCTATGTTTTCTGGAATGTCCATGAGCCTTCTCCTGGCAATGTACTTTACTTTCTCCAATTTTCTCTTTAATTCTGTTTTTCTCTGTTTTCTTTTCTTATTTTCTCTTATTATTATTATTATTATTATATATATATATTTGTTTTGGTTTCAGTATAATTTTGAAGGGAGATATGATCTAGTTAGGTTCATAAAGACTGTGCAGAAAGCGGGGCTCTATGCTCATCTTCGCATTGGGCCTTATGTTTGTGCAGAATGGAATTTTGGGTACACACCACTGTTTTTTCTAGATCTATTTCTCTGTTATCTTCTTTTCCAAATTAAAAAAGGTTGAACTCTATGGGATTGCTTTTAATTATTAATGAATTTATTTAATTTCTGTGCAGAGGGTTTCCTGTTTGGTTGAAGTATGTTCCAGGAATCAGCTTCAGGACAGACAATGAGCCTTTCAAGGTCTCAATTCCCACTTTTTTCTACCGTATTTTAATCTCAATTTTTTTTGGGGGAAATTTATGAAAAAAATATTATCAATGTAACAGCAGAAACACCCTGATTTGCATTTACAAGCATGGAATTGATTATGAACCAATTTAGTATTTCTAATTTCTTTTGTTGATCCGTGTTTTGTTATACCATTCATGGTGCTGCAGAATGCCATGCAAGGGTTTACCCAAAAAATTGTCAATTTAATGAAGAGTGAAAATCTGTTTGAGTCCCAGGGTGGCCCCATCATCCTCTCTCAGGTATGAGTTTTGGGTCATTGCCATTTCAATGTTTACTCTTCAATGCAATCCTCCATTTTTCAGCTTTCAATTTATGCAATTCTTACATCTTGAGGATATATATATATATATATACACACACACACAAACTAAATTTTGATTTTTGACTAATTCAAACAATTACAGTGAGATAATAAAAAACAAAAATAAAAAAGGAGGAGAACTCCGAAAAAAATTCACACAGCCATACTGGTTGTGAATTCCATGGAATTAACTTATTGTATGAACTATGAATTGACTTTGTTTATGCAGATTGAGAACGAGTATGGGCCGCAAGGTAAGGCACTTGGAGCTGCTGGTCATGACTACATGACTTGGGCTGCAAAAATGGCTGTTGGACTAGGCACAGGGGTCCCTTGGGTGATGTGCAAAGAAGAAGATGCCCCAGATCCTGTGGTGAGCTCTTTTTTAGATTGCCTTGCTGCTGTTGAAGTCTCATTATTATGTTTGATAAACATTTTTTATGGTGCGAGTCGGTCCTTGTGTTGTCATCATTTGGCCTTGCTGCTGTTGAAGTTCACTGCATTAAAATTTATACTTATGTGTAACTAGCAAATCATCTTAAAATTTTATATCAGGGAGAGAAACACAATAGAAAATTGATAGATAAACCTTAGTTTGAAACACATTAAGCTCTGTTTGTTTGAATGTAAAATATTTTTCAGAAAATATTTTTTTATTTTTTGGTGTTTGGTTGTTGTAAAATATTTATGAAGAAAAAAATATTAAAATTTAACAAAAATAACTTATCCATCAATTTTTGGCAAGTTAATTTTCATGCCCTGCCCGATGGACTCAACCTCAACCTCGATGTAGATTTTGTCAAATATCGAAAAAATAAAAATAAAAGAATATTTTACCTAAAAAAGAAAAATATTTTTCAAAACAAATATTTTACGTTGAAACAAACGGAGCCGAAGTCATATTTAGTTCCATGTATCATTCTCACCTTTTGAGATAAAATCATCTTGAAATATTTTTGCTGGGTCACTGACAGATAAACACGTGCAACGGCTTCTACTGTGATACTTTCTCTCCTAATAGACCTTACAAACCAACCATTTGGACAGAGGCTTGGAGTGGCTGGTATCGTATTTTAGCTTTTCTGTGCACTCAAATTTTCAGTGAGGAAAAAAAATATTCACTCATTTAATTCTGTTTTTAATTGGATTGTGAAGGTTTACGGAGTTTGGTGGCCCAAATCACCAGAGACCAGTTCAGGATTTGGCATTTGCGGTTGCTCGATTCATACAAAAGGGAGGATCATTTGTTAATTACTACATGGTTGGTTTTCTTGTACACTTGTGCTCAGAGTACTACAAATACCATGTTAAATTATTTAAGTAAAGAGGATTTCCATCTGCATGTGAAACAGTACCATGGAGGGACGAATTTCGGACGCTCTGCTGGCGGCCCTTTCATCACTACCAGCTATGACTATGATGCTCCACTTGATGAATATGGTGAGAATGAAACTAGTGTTTTTAATTTTTTTTTTTAACAAAAAAAAAAATAGAAAAAAAATTGAAGTGGTTATATTCTTGAGTGATCCAAAGCGCATTAAGTGTGTCAGTCTTCGTTCAGATATTCATGTCATTTTTATAAGTGGGGATGTTAAAATTGCATACAACTTGAACTGCAGAGGTAATAATTTAATTCTGAAAGTGCTAGTGCACAATGAGAATTACTTGTCACTCATCAACAAGCCACATGCCTGAACTGCGGATATAGCTAATCGCTTCCTTGCATTAACTTGATAGGTTTGATCAGGCAACCAAAATATGGTCATTTAAAGGAGCTTCATAAGGCTATTAAGCTATGTGAGCGAGCTTTAGTTTCAGCAGATCCCACTGTCACTTCTATGGGGAGCCTTCAACAGGTTTTAAACTCTCCTCTGATTCTGGCAGTCATACACTTTGTGACTTTTCTCTGAATATTTGGCATTTTCCAGGCTCATGTGTTTTCATCAGAATCTGGAGATTGTGCAGCTTTCCTCTCAAACTATAATACCAAGTCTGCTGTAAGAATAATGTTTAACAACATGCACTACAACTTGCCTCCTTGGTCCATTAGCATCCTTCCCGACTGCAGAAATGTAGTCTTCAATACTGCAAAAGTAAGTCAATCGCTACAAACTAATGGATTTTAGTGTTAATTCTTGTTACACTAAACTTCCTGACTTTCTGATGTGATAATTAATCGTCGTACCTCCATTACAGGTTGGAGTACAAACGTCCCAAATGGAAATGCTTCCAAGCAATGCTGATATGTTCTCATGGGAGACTTATAATGAAGATATCTCTTCTCTGGATGACAGCGCAACATTCAATTCTCATGGTCTCTTGGAGCAGATAAATGTCACTAGGGATACTAGTGATTATCTTTGGTACAAAACTAGGTAAGACCGACACTGAATAGTTTTTTTCCCCTTCAAAGTGATTGAAGTTTATGGATATAAAGAAGTAAACAGTGTGTTTCTATGTTTCTTGTTGCTGGAGAAAAAAAAGTAAAAAAAATAAATAAATAAAGAAAGGAAAAAGGATATCACCACTGATAAGTATTTATCTTAAAATGTGTATACCCATTGATATGCAGGAACTTATTCTTGTCTTACATTTTCTGTTATTTTCATCCAATCTCTTACCAGAACGGAGCAACTACAATTTAGTGTATCAGTAACGGAGAAAAAAAAGTGTAAATAGAAGCAGTTATAAGAAAAATCTATCAGGAGGATGTTATACAGCATAATATAAATTATTGAGCTGTTTCAAACTATGGATTTGAATACATAAACTCGGGTTTATCATACATAACTTTGAACTGCCTTGCATAGTAAGACTTCTGACCATCAATGTGCTCACAGTGTTGATATTGGTTCATCTGAATCCTTCTTGCACGGTGGCGAACTCCCAACTCTCATAGTGCAGTCAACAGGCCATGCTCTGCATGTATTCATAAATGGACAGCTTTCAGGTGCATTGTCAAAAGACTTCTTTTGAGAATCTGTGACTAGTCATGGGTCCATTCTAGCTGAATTGCAAATGAAAAATTAATCTGTTTTTAGGTTCTGCCTTTGGGTCGAGGGAGAATCGGAGATTCGCATTTAAAGGAAAGGTGAATTTACAAGCTGGAACAAACAGAATCGCACTGCTGAGTGTCGCTGTTGGATTGCCAGTTAGTTCCCTTTCCCACTTTTATATGTTTCAATGCTTCCACATTCTAATCATCTCCAGTAAAACAGGAAGCAAGTACAAAAAAACATTATCTTTACTACTTAATTAGCTCCTTGAATTTTTTATCACATATGGTAACTGGAGTATCTGAGTTCATCGAAAGTAGAATGTGCTTTGCACTACACCTGAGGATTATTGGGCCAGATCATTTGACTGTTGTCTTAGGGATGGTTTAGCAAACCAATCAAGAATGGACCAGGTCCACTAGGAGAAGGGTTGACGATCCTTCACTGGCTAATCTCATGATAAAACCAAGTATAATCTTTATTGACTGAATTCTGCAAGCCTTTTGACTCTAGGAGACAGCATGGACTTAAAATTTATTGTGGAGTAGTTGCTCTTAGTTATTACCATGTGCTGAGGCTAGTCTTACAAACATATAATTCAAGTGGTCCACTGGTCTGAGATTTTTTGAATAGGCTATGGTAGTATCATTCAAGTCATCTGTGCATAATAAAAGTGTTCTACTTTTAGTTAGATTACTTCTCTGATCTATTGTTCTGTTTTATTGTTGAAGAATGTTGGGGGACATTTTGAGACTTGGAACACCGGAGTCTTAGGTCCAGTTGCACTGCACGGACTTGACCAGGGGAAATGGGACTTATCCTGGCAAAAATGGACTTATCAGGTGGTTAATTTCCATCTCTCTACCTCTCGATAATTTCAAAGAAGTTTTGTCTCATTGGTGCCTCTTCAAACAGGTTGGGCTGAAAGGAGAGGCCATGAATCTTGTCTCTCCAAATGGTATTTCGTCTGTTGACTGGATGCAGGGTTCTCTGATCGCTCAAAAACAACAGCCACTGACATGGCATAAGGTAGAATAAAATCACACACACTCAGAATTTTTTATATCATTAAATTACAGGGAAACATGGCAAAGGCAAAAAGAAAAAAGAAAAAAAAAATACTAATAAAAGAATAAGCAATTTCAGTCCTTAATAGAAGTGAGAGCCATTGGCTTTTTTAATTTGAAGTTCATGTTGAAACTTTGCAGGCTTATTTCAATGCACCTGATGGAGACGAGCCATTGGCTTTGGACATGAGCAGTATGGGGAAAGGTCAAGTATGGATTAATGGTGAAAGTATCGGAAGATATTGGCTTGCATATGCTTCTGGTAATTGCAATGGGTGCGGTTATTCCGGGACATTTCGGCCTCCAAAGTGTCAAGTTGGCTGTGGCCAACCAACCCAGCGATGGTAAGCCCTCCTCAGATGGAAAGCTTTTTACAATACCATAGAATTTCGGAATGGAGATACATAATGACGTTGTGGTTGGTACACAGCATTAAGAAACCAAATGATTCAATAATAGTCACTAAAACAATAAAGTTTTCAGGTATCATGTTCCTCGGTCTTGGTTAAAGCCGACGCAAAATCTGTTGGTGCTTTTTGAAGAACTTGGAGGGGATCCCACAAAAATTTCTCTCGTGAAGAGATCAGTAACCAGTGTCTGTGCAGATGTCACTGAATATCACCCAAATATTAAGAATTGGCATATTGAAAGCTATGGAAAAGCAGAAGAGTTCCACAGACCCAAAGTTCACCTGCGGTGTGGTCCAGGCCAATCCATTTCTTCCATCAAATTTGCAAGCTTCGGAACTCCTTTGGGAACCTGTGGGAGTTTCCAGCAAGGAACATGCCATGCTGCTACTTCGTATGCCATCTTAGAGAAGGTACTTATGGTGCTCCTCTATGTTTTAATGACTACAAGAACATTTAATCTTTTTTTTCATCTTTATTTATGTTCTATTTTATTTACATTTTTCATTATGTTCCACAGAAATGCATTGGGCAGCAGAGATGCGCGGTGACCATTTCAAATAGTAACTTTGGGCAAGACCCTTGTCCCAATGTATTAAAGCGTTTATCAGTTGAAGCCGTTTGTGCCCCTATCGGTTCTACAACCCTTCAGCCCAATTCAAGGGGTTGAAAAGATGGACTAATGGCAGTGCACAAATGTTGCAACTAGTGACTTTAACTATACGTGCCGGAAAAAAGTAAAAGCAATGAAATGAGAATAAAGGGAAAGTATAGGTGAAGTTTGTTAGTCCTTTGGTGAATGCCATTGTTTTTCTGGAGAGAAGATTCTGCCAAGGGTGTATGGTATTTAGAGGTAGGTAGATTTAATTTAAGAGGGGTTAAAGAGCCTCCATAGAAATAGTTGTTTTTAAGATAGTGAAGTTTGTAGATTCTTGGAGCTCTGCATTGTGAGCTCCTTGATGGATGTCAAACCCTGGTGCCCATCCTTTTAACCTGAAATGGGTGCTAGGAAAGGCATGGTCTCTGTTGTTGAGTAGTTGGTGTGATTTGTTAGTTTGTTTGTAAAATTGGGGGAAATCAAACCCTGTTTAGGTTCATGGTAGGAGTGGATCCTAGTGTGACCTTTCTTTGCTTTGTATGCAGTTCTTGGCGATAATTTAAAGGAACTTGAGTGTTGTCAATTTGAGTTCCTAAGTACTTTTTTTACTTTTCTTTAAAGGAGAACATGCTAACATTTATCTTTAGTAGTATCTTGGAGAGACACCAGTTTCAAGTGTTGGCACATGGACTTGTAAATGAAGTTACAATTCTTTTAGGAAGACAACTGTGAATAGGCAGGACTCAATGAAGGGCAAAATATTCCTCCTTGATCACAAGATTAGTCCTAGCATTCTGAATAGCCCAGTGAATAGAAAATACTTTCAAACAATAGCCCAAGATCTTGGACTGTTTGGATGGGGAAAAGGTTTTCATCCACCAGGAAAATCCAGGAAGTAAAGTGATGGCAACAACTAAAAGCACAACTGATCTCATTTATCACACAACAAAACAAAAAAAAAAAAAAAAAAAAAAAACTGATCTCAAAAGTGGCACGCATAATTTGAAATTTTGTTTTTTTAAAAAAGTAAAATTAAATGTTGCCAGATGCCCATAAAAAATATCAAAATTGCAACAATTGCGTCATCCCTACATCATGAATCAGGCAATGCATAAAAGGATTTACATAAAAAGAAAACAGCACAAAGGGTGAAAGACTGAATTAGAAGTACTTATGATCTTATATAATAAGAAATTCACTAAGATCCAATATTTAACAGACATAAAAAAAAAAAAAAACAAAGAGAGGTCCAAATTAAAAGATATAATAAGGTCCACAAACTCCTGAAAGGCAAAATGAGAAATCAGGAGGCTGAGGCAGTAGTTATGTGCTTGGCAACAGTCTGCTGCAGCTCTTCTTTCTTCGCTCCCACAACCTTATCCACAATCTTCCCTTCTTTCAGGAACATGAAAGTTGGCATTGCCTCCACAGCCCAGTCGGTAGCAACAGACTGCAACAAGAAAATCAACCACGAACATTTTTAGAGAGTTTAATCGAAGTTGTCATACATTATTATTGCAAGAATTTTTGTGGCAGTAGTTACTTGGGCAGAAGAAAAAAATGTATGTGTCTTGTAACTTTTTTACCTTCAATTCATCCACATCAATCTTAACAAAGATAACATCAGGAAGTTTCTTAGCCAACTCGGCCAGGAATGGTGAAATGAAACGGCATGGTCCGCACCATGAAGCAGTGAAATCAACCACCATCTGCATCAGCAACGAGGATAACAAATGCTGTCAGTGATCTCTGAAAACTCCATATATGAGTTTGCACAATGAGGATCATTCACAGCTTCTCAGGGCCCCCAAAACATCAATGTATTCTCATCATAAACATAAAATAACTGATAGCTAATTTGATTTCAATATCACACAGTTACTTCAGTATTTTTATGTATTTCTGTTGTTACTTGGTGCATAACTGTTCAAGTGACTGTTTCATGCTTGGACCAGTCGGTTCAGTTAGGCTAAGTGGTAGATGCTTCTATATACATTCCATATTTCAAATTTTGAAGAAAAAAGTAAAATCTTTACACTGATCCAGGAGGCGAGTGATCGTTAAGTCTGCATATTGAGATAAGTCCTATGAATGTCTAATGTGAGAATGAATGAATTCTCCTAACAGTTGCAAAGGAATTTCAGAGACCATTTGGGAATTGGAATTTCAGATAGTCAAGATTATCAGAAACCAACGCAAATAATAATTTACACGGCAAAAAAAATGTTGTAGGGGTTAAATTATTAAAAATAGTTCAGATTGTCAATTAAGTAGTACCTGATATATCAATATTGCATAATCCACATCTCATTATTGTCATTCTTGGGCTACACAATTTTCTTGACAAAGATCAGTACTTGAAAGACATACCACATTAAGAAACTGAGAACTGGTGTAACACAAAACATGTAGGGAGAACCACTTAAATTGCCTGCTGTTAGAGTTTCTTAATATCTCCTTTCCTTGCTTGGCGGTCACCCATTATGTACCATTTTTGTAACATAAACAGCAAAGAGTTCACACAACACAAGATAAACAGCGACTCCTGTATGAATATATATATATATATATTCAAAGGTGTCCCGTATGAAATAATTGATACAAGGAATCCATATATCATTGTCAATTTATATATCCTTTTAGATAAAGAGGGACTTTAAAGCAATGGGAACTAATATAAATCACTAAGGTTGAAAGAACCACAATCTTTTTAATTTTTTTATAAGTAATTGAAGAAACCACAATCATATGCTTAAATAAGAAACAAAATTAGTGTGGCTCACCTCACCAGGGGAAAAAAAAATACTGGAAAAAATTATTGCAGCTCATCAATTCACGAAGGAGCCAAAAACATGCTTAATTCAACTAAAAATATGTTGCTGGGGTTTGTACCACAACTAATAATTAGCATACTAAGAGATTTCAGATCAATCTTATATTAATTGACTGCCTCCATTATGTTGTAGCTAGCATATACCAATAATTTTGGTTTTGGATCTCCCAAATCATTCCAGCAGAGGATCTGGAGCCATTTTTTTTCTGATCCTTCGATAAGAAAATTCATTCTCTTCATAAAAAATAGGTCTTTTAGGTAATATTTAGCTTACCAGTGAAGTCTTTAGATAGTAGTATACTAGAGACAACGAGTTGAATTTACCCTTCATTTGATCTGGGGAATATAGTATAGCACAAGCGCCCATGGATTTAATGTGAAATAAAAATACAGAACATGACATACCCAAAAATATCTCTAGTATGTTACCATCAATTTTTTTTAGTAGTATTTTTTTTTTTTCGGAAATTTTTATTTTCTATTTAAGAAGTTTTAAACGTTAAATTTTTTTTTTTTTTTAACAAGTAATAATCAAGTCGAATAGTGATATAGCCTAGAAAAAATATTTAAATCCGACCAAAGAACATAACATTGGTCACGAAGCTCTGATCCCAATCTAAACTATGACCTATCTTTTTGGTAAGCATCCTAAATTATGACTTCGTCTTCCATACTTTTTTGACTAAATAAGTATCTCATCAATAGAAGTAGGAAAATGATTCTCAATTTGAAAAAGTAAATCAACCAATTAACACGAAAAAAATATAACTAATGGAGATGACATAATATGGGAGCTATATAAATATGTCTATTTCGGTTTTCGAAAAGAGTAACGCATAGGAGTATCATGATATTGTCATTCATACTAACTCCAACCATCAAAACTAAGACCATCTATGAAATCTTATATAACATTTCCATTCCAACAGATTGAACACCAAAATTTAGGTGAATCAAACCGATCTAATAGCCCGCACAGGCAGCTCAGGTAAGGTTTTGGGAGTTTCCCTTGTGTCTCTGGTTCGGGTGCACGGTGTTTGCAAAATATCAGAGTCCAAAGTGACTAGCAGGTCTTGTTTATATATATATATATATATAAACCAACCCCAATGTTCAATTATCAATACAGGGTCATAGTAAACAATTGAAACAGAAATCCATAAACAAACAATGACAACCACAACATAACAATTAAGCAAATTAAAACACCTATCAAATATAAATATGATATATATATATATATATCTAATCAGGTAATCCCATGCAAAAATTAATGTAACCCATAATTCAAAACCATAAAGTATGACTAAATCCAAAACATTAACCAAAAAAACAAATGAATTCAAAGAAAAAAAAAAAAAAAAAAAAAGGATTATTACCAAAAAAAAAATAATAATAATAATAAATTAAGAAAAGTACCTTAAAAATAATGTACCCAAAAAAAACAAAAAATAAAAAGTACCAATTTCTTTGATGCGTTGGCCTTCTGGAGATGTTCGTTCCATGCATCGATAGTGTGGCAACTGATCACATGCCCCTCCTCTGCCATTTTTTACTTTGCTTCTCTCTCTCTCTCTCTCTCTCTCTCCAAAGATAACACAACAGATTAATCACACAAGAAACGTCTCTTTCTCTCTCAAGCCTTAATATAGGAATTAAACACGGTGAATTCTCTTGAAAGAGACGTCAAAATGTGATTTAATTAGGAAGATGCCGCGTCATAAGAGAATGTACGAAGATTTCAGTGCAACGCAGATGAACAAACGACAGCTGTCAGCATTTTTAGTGGATAAATGATTCTGTGAGAGCAGTCCCATGCTAAAAGTTATAGACCTTTCACTGTAGCCCGTTGGATCAGGCTGCTTATTGACATCTGATTTTTATCAACCGCAAATATATAGACCTTTCACTGTAGCCCGTTGGATCAGGCTGCTTATTGACATCTGATTTTTATCAACCGCAAATATATAGCGTGACTGTCATATTGTTGTATGCTTTTTCATTTGGATTGTATTCAGAGTTAGAGTAACGCTATATAAGAGTCCGCAAATAACTGAAGAAGATTTCTTAAATAAATTAATTAGATAAATTATTTATTAATTAGACCAAGAGACCTCATCTCTGGTATTTATTATTTTATAAAGTTTTTTTTTTTTAATTTTATAATGTGTGATGAGACAGCAAAAGTGCAAATTTTATTAATGGTATTAATGGCTAAGATTGGGTTTGGAATTATTTACCCAAAAATAATAAAGGCTTGGGATTAGCATTGATTTAAAAAATCTTCAAATTTTTTTTTGGATTAGCACTCCACTTTTCTATGTTTGTACTCCAATCTTAAATGGAATGACAATTATAATCTTTAACTCCATAAATAAATGATTATTACTTTTTTTTATGATACATTTGTCCTTTCAAATTTTCTCTCCTTATCTTAATCTTTGAATAATATTTTGTTTCCAGGACTGAAAAAAAAATATTATGTTGAATAAATTATTTCTTTTGACGGACCAAAAATAAAAAATTTAATCATTATCAAGATTAAAAATAAAATAAAAAGTACGAAAAAAGAGTTTTAAAATATAAATGTATATCTATTGAATAAATTATCCCTTTTGATAATACCCAAATATATGTATAATTGAATAAATTATTTCTTTTGATGGAATCATAAAAAATCTCACACAAAAATAAATAATAAAAAATTTTAAAATTACCTCTTTTAACGGTACTAAAAAAAAAGTCAAACTTTGTTGAATAAATTATTTGTTTTGATTGTACCAAAGAAAATTTACCAATAAATTATCTTTTTGACTGCCAACAATAAAATTATTAGTATGGTATACATTATCTTCTTTCAGAGTACCTCTAAAAAGAAAAAGAACAAAAAAAATAAAAAAAGTATAAAAAAAATTTTAATTGTATAAAAGGTAGTTATGACATTATAAAATAACGCATGATTTTTTTAGGGAGCACTCTATTTTTGTACAATTACACTTCATTTTTTTATTTTATTTTAAAGGAAATGACAAAAAAGCCTTTAAATTCATTAATACATCATCTCTCATTTTGTAATACCACATCTACCCCTTTTCGCTATAAATGTTTTATTCTTGCCTTATTTACTTTCTTTACGTTTTTTTTTTTTTTTTTCTTTTTTCACAAAATTCATAGTCTTTTAATTTTATTGTCAGGATAATTAGAACTTCCTTTATCAACAAGTATAACATAAAATTAAATATTCAAATAAATTCTAAATTAATTTTTAAAAATCACATCAAGGAAAAAAAAAATTAAACTAAACTCAAAGCATAAAATAAAAAATTAAAAAAATGCCATGCCCATCACCATCCAAATTAATTCTTAAAAATCACATTAGGAAAAAAAAAATCTAAACATAAACTCAAAGCATAAAACAGAAAAGAAAAATAAAATAAAAAACAAATTACCATTCCCATCACAATTATCATCAAAGGAGTTTAATAGTTCATGAAATTTTAATAGTTATTCAATATTTTTTTATTCTAAAAAGACCAATTACATTGTTCTTAACTTTTTTATTTTTTCATTTGTGAAATATTTCATTATTACCTATAAAGATCAATATCAAACCTTAATGAGAGAAATACTAGAAAGTTAATACAAAAAAATATAAAGAGTTTAAAAAAGCATGTCATTTCCTTTAAGATTGGAGGGCAATAGTATAAAAGTGGAGTGAGATCCCTTTTTTTATACAAACTAAAAGAAATTTATATCCATATTTTAGAAAATGTCTAGCACTTTTAATAACAAATTTGAATTCATGTTTTGTCCAATTTATAGTGAATCCATGTGAAATGATTTCCATCATTCCCTATGCAATGGACGTTCAATAATAAGGAGGAGATAGTAAGTCATTAATAATAATAATAATAATAATAAATAAATAAATAAATAAACCTTAAATTGACTAATATTAATTTTCTTGTTGTGCTCATTTACGTAGAATTGATACATCGAAATTGAAATTGGACAAAAAATATTTTAAAATTTAAACAAAACTACTTCTAACTTCAATTTTAAGTCACCAATTTCATGCAACCAAATTAGCTGTTTCGGAGCACGAAGCTAGCAGTTTAGATTTGAAATTGAAAAATATTAGTTAAAACTTAAAAAAACGCAAGATTTTGACCCATTGGTCCCATCTACTATAGAAATGCTTAAATTCCATGCTACTTCATTGTTAAATTTCCATCGTAAATTATGCATCCGAATCAAATTCATTCCACCTTTTTGCCTCTTGATTCTCTTATTCACATTCTTTTACTTTCAAGCAACTTCTTAGAAACTGCATTTCACATGCAATGGCGTCCACACTTCCTTATCCTCCAAAAATAGTCATGCTCAACTTTATAATTGAATCACCTCCAATTTAATGCATAGACATCAACCAAAGATAGGTATGGAATAATAGCGTCTGTCATGCATAAAGTTAACTTGTTCTGCGAAAGAATAAACCAATAAAAATTGCTATGCAAACTAGTAATACATTCATACATACACACACACACATATATATATACACATAAAGATGATGACAATGATGATGAAATAAATTTGCAGATGAATAAAAAGGAATGATATTCATTAACATGTTCATTCTAAACTATCCAAAAGATGCCACAAGCAGGTAATCTCAGGTATATCGCATATGAGATCCACAAATTTTTGTTAACTACAAATCATAAGAAACAAATAATGTAAAGACTACAACTGGATCAAATTCCTGAAACAATAAGTACCAAGTAGAAACCAACCCACAAGAAGGAAAGTGAAGAACGCCACGAAAGTTAGGAAGGTCCATCCTCCGAAGGTGAGTCCCAGACCAAACACAATGACAAATGGCAAGTATGATCGTACCATAGATGCTTTACTCACCCACTTTCCCTTGAGGAAAATCAAGATTGCAAGGTTCACAACATTCCACCCACCAGCCTGAAAGTCCATCCTGTTCAGATTGTTCGCTACAAACGAGTGGCAATTGCAAGTAAAAAGGTTGTAAGCCCTGTGCTGGAATTCCTGCGTGCTCTTACATAGTGCATCATCCCAAGTTAACGTGTCGCTTCCAGATTCTTCCTGATTGAATTCCTCTTCACTTTTGTATGCAGCTGGATAAGGAGAAATGCAGCACTGTAGACCAGAATTTAGGGAAGCACAAAATATATTAGTAATGGGAATGCATTAACAGCTGAACAACTAACCAATGACATGTATGTCAAAGGTTGGCCCGAGAGACCTAAAGTGATAGATCAAGGGGATTAAGAGTTATTCTATTATCTGCCTGAAAATGGGAAAAGCTGAATAACTAGGTCAATGGGTACAGCTCTTTAAACAACTAGGCCAATGGGTACAGCTCTTACACATTTAGCCTTTAGGTATTAGAATCATCATAACAGTCGATTAAAATTCATCAACACAAATAAAAATTAAAGGGCAGAGGATCCCTCTGCCATCTCACATAAGCAGCAATACACAGTTTCATCAGTTGCCTGTTGCAAGCAGACCGGTGAAACAACAATTGTAAAAAAGGTGTTGCACAATCTATATTCCTCAAACCAGAAGTGAGCATCCAGGTATACCTTTTCTTTGTTTATTTGGATGTAGCGGGTCACTGCCCCAAATGCAAAGTTGTCTACACACACAAAATTAGGACCTGCAAAGTCCAGGATTACTCCATCTTCCCTGCATATCCCAATGTGGCCAATAAAAGGAATCAGCCATGATATAACAGGAAGTGGAGTCCACACGATGCAGCAGGGAAACCGGGCTCTTCTTGGATCGATTTGCATAGTTTGTGGTACAATGTGTTCAATCAACAGGTGGTGATCAGGGTCAGCATTTGGGTCCATTGCCAAAGCTGTAAAAAACTGAATTGCCTCAACCACAATTTGCATTTAGAAATCGTAGTTGATTACAAATATACATATATGCATATGCTGTGCATGACCATTTTCCAAAGTACATAAAAGGGAGAAAAGTGCCGCATATACAGTTTAATGAATCAAACTGTAAGTTATTAGCATCATGTCTTGAATCAGTTTACTGATATCTGTTTAAAGTGTATCCTGTGGTAATGTAAATGCCCCTCCTTTAAGTACTTAAATAGTTCCTTAATGGAGCCAGTCAGCTTGTCACAAAAGGTAAATAGACACCAACAATACACTTGATTTGTCATCCATTGGTTTACCAATTTCATATTGCCATCTGATTAAAGAGATCACATTCCTGTGTTAATGAACTCTGTCATTCAGGGTGGAAAAAAACTCCGTCATTCTCACAAGGTACCCATGTCAACACAGGATACATGTCCAACACGCGAATCCAAATCAAACATGTCTGACGGAACTCGGAAGAAGAATAAAAAACCAAAATTTGATAGGGGAGAAAAGCTTCTTAATTCTTACATGGAGAGATGATTAAATCTCTTTCCTTAACCACTTCCATTTCATTTAAAATTTAATGTGGCATATCCTTAAATAACAACAATACCAGACATTACAATACTGGCTAATGCATAATATATTTAAATGTGTTGGACATGTATAAGTACCTGTACCCAAACTTTCAACATATATCAGGTCAACACTTCATGTGTTGAACTTTTGGATGAGGGAGGTTGAAACTTATACTCACACCCACACTATACACGCATCTACCTATGTAACATGGTTATAGACTAAATTTGCTTCTGCACTACTTCTGAAGCAGGGAATGCAGAGAAGCCCAAATAAAAACTATTAATTTCCTTGATGATTAATATATTTTTTCCAAGTCTTTGACATTTGGTGTTCTAGCTAAAGATCCAACTGAAAATTAACACAAAATCGATTCAGTCTAAATGCCTGAATCCTTTATGCTCTTACATGAGACCAATCATCAATAACATAGAAATGAAAGATAGTTCTAGACTGGGCCTTTCACATGGATGACTCTGTATTAGGTTACAAATATTTAATGGAAACTTCATATTGTACTCATTATAACATTCCTTCTCAAAGCAATAATCCCCTTTCTTTACATTCAACCAGATTAATGAGAAAAACTGAGGCTCTACCAAAATGTTAAGGTTTTTGTTCTTGAATGCTCAATGCTTCATAGGAAGGTTCACAATAATTAGGTGCTTCAAAACCAGGAGGCCAAATGAAGACCTTTCTGTTTGATCTTTCAGCTCTTACATAAGGAAACCAATCATAAATGGCATAAGATCTGCGTCAGGTTTTCAACTAGTATGATAGAAACTTCATATTATACTTGTTATCACATCTTGCTCACATTATGATGCTTGAAGAAATATATTTTCGGCTGAAGCTAAGGCTAAAGAGCTCCCCTTTCTTTTTATTCAAGCAGATTTATCTGGAAGACTAAGGCACTTGCATTTTCAATGACTCATAAGAAGGTTAGGAGGCCGAATAAATCCTTTAGGCCAAGTACATGTTCTCTTTGCTAAAGAAGTAGCGAGAACTCTAGCTAACTCTTTGTGTGTTGAACAAATTCTTATGTGTTGTGGCAAACACTTTTGAACTTGGTGGTATTTAGTTTGGTTAACTTGGTGAAGAAGCATTCCCTCTTAGAGATGATAATCGTTATGGTAGAGTTCTCTTAGTGACTCCTCTTTGGGTCTATGCTAAGGAAAAATGTAAACAGGTTTGAATACAATAAAGAGAGATGGGGTTGTGGTTAATTCTTCTTGACCATATAAAACGACGAGCCTGATATATACTAGGCAGATAGAAATAGAAAGAGAGTCGAACACAAGCCAGGATGGTAATCTGAGTCAGGGGTTGTGGTTAATTCTTCTCAACAATTGCAAATGCATTTTCCTCAAATATTTTCATTTCTGCAATATTAATGAAGACACACATATATATAGTAACCTAGTCTGAAATGCCCTCAATTTGTTCTCCGGTTAACAGAAATACCAGTTTTTCTCTTCCACACCCAAAAAAAAAAAAAAAAAAAACAATTTTTGAGCCGCTATGAGTTGAGGTGAAATGGTAAAGAGGCACTCTAGAAGTTCAATTTATTCATATAATATGAATCGTGAGTCTCTCTCTGTGTGTATGTGGGTTTGTCTGGAGACATAGTCTCACCATGAAATTAACCATTTTTCAAGATGAAAAATAGCGAGACTTAAAGATGTCTGAGATAAACATATGTATATTTGTGCGCGCATATATGTGTGTGTTTGTGAAGAATGAATAGCTTGGCAATACATTATAGATAAACCTTTATCATACACCGTTCTCCATTGATCCAAAAATTACAGCAATAATGAGATAATTCAATATCGCAAAAACCCGATTGCAAGAGAGAGAGTACCTGACGACGGCGAAAAATCTAAATCCAAACACGGACTAATCTGAGTCTGAGTAAGCCCATATTCAGATTTGAGAGGTCTGTTTCTTATACGAGTAAACTTAAGCGGAAAAGCAACGCTAAGTTGCAGCCATAAATTTCGGCTTGGTAGCCGAGGATGCGGCCCTTCCGATTATTGTATCATGAGCCAAGACGACCTAGTAAGCAGAACAAGTTTCGGCTTCTTCAGTCGGGCCGAATATGGACATTAAAGCATTACTCTAAAGAGCAGTGTTATTTGGCTCGGCTAGAAAAACCGATTTAATATCGACTCCTCCAGATGTCAGGTAACTTAGCTATGTAAACAAAGAAAGGAACCCTAAAAAAAAAAAAATTAAATAAAAAAGACAAAAAAAAGAGATCACATTTGAGTTGAAATGTCATGATTTCATGTCTAGTCTTGATATTCTTAGAAATTCTTGTCCACATTAAATATATATGATCCATTTTATTTGGTATCAAAATTAGATTTATTTTTGATTCGTTATTATACCAAACTTTCTCGAAAAGTTTTTGGGTCTGTTCAAAGTTCGAGTTAAAAAATATATTGTTAAATTTAGGGGTGCACAAAAATTCGGTGAAATCAAAAAAACAAACCAAATCGAACCGGATCGAACAGTTTGGTTTGGTTTGCTAGTGGTTTGATTTGGTCACGATTCCAAATTTGTGGAACGGTAAAAATACGATTTGATCATGACGGTTAAGTTATATGTATATATATAGATATAAAAGTTAAATTATACATATAATATAATCCTATAGTGCAAATCACTTAGAAGTTTATAATACTATAAATCCTACAATCCACTTTTAAATCTCATGGATCTTATCAATTTATCATATGATTAAAAATCTCATATTTCAAAATAGAGATCTCGCCTAATCTAATTTCTCTTTTGCTTTCTCATAATCTATCTCACTGTCATGACCACCTTTCTCACTCTCAAGCAGCCTAGCTTATTCGGTTTTGAAATATGAATATTTCTGTAACAGAAAAAAATATATATAGAAAGAGGAACTGCGGAACCAAATCGAAATGAATGGATGTTTCACGGTTTGGTTCGGTTCATTTAGTCAAATGATTTGGTTTGATTCCAGATTTTATAAAACCGTTAAAAATAGTTTGTTTTCAAAAAATTCTCAAATCTGTTCAAATTGAACTGTGTACACCCCTAATTAAATTAGTCTCATACAAGTAAGATATTGATTTTACTTATTCAATGTAAATATTTACATCAGCAAGATTAACTGGTGTCATTAGCCATGGAAGGTTAGATTCGTTTTATTCTAGGAAAAATTTATTAATATCTAAGATCTAGTTAGTTCTCAGATGCGTTTTATTGGATAAGTTTATAAGTGACACAGTAAAGATAAGAGGATTGTGCATTTTTGATAACTAATAACGTGACTCACTCACAATTAATAGGCATGAATCAACAAGTTTGCTACAATATAGCGGCTCATCTATATGGTCCAGTTCTGAAATTAAAGACAATTTATTTATTTATTTTTGGTAATCAAATTAAATGTTATGAATTTCAAATAATAATAATAATAAATAAATAAATAAATAAAAGTACTGAAAGGGCATGGTCAAAATCATTGTCCTCTCAATTCTAGAGAACAAATCTAGGTGTGTTGCTGTGTTTCCCCACACACACACACACACACACACATTAAGAATATTCCTTGGCTTATTCTATCTGATAACAGAATTTAAACTTAGGGAACATAGATGTTTAGCTTTTACAAAGTCCCACAAAGTATCAAACTGTTATGATCAGTATCACAACAGAAACCAGCAAAATCTCAAATTCCTCATCTATTGGTCACTTATAAATTAGAAACTTACAACAACTTGAAACTGTCACTACTCCCTCTTACTGCTGCTATACCTACATTTATTGAAGCTTTAGTACTAATATTGGCTTCAATGTGGCTCATAAAAACATTTCTTCTGTTGTTTCACATTGCCAGGGTGTGCAATGGAGGTCTCACAAGTAGCTATGTCAGAACATCCGAACCGTCCGTCGACATTCCGGTCAACAACTTCCCTCCACCTTCAGGCTACAATGCACCCGAGCAGGTATATTACAATGGTCGCAAAAGACTGCGTATAACTAACCCTCCCCATACCCTGTTATAGCGGGAGTCTCGTGCACTAAACTAGCCTTTTTTAATGTAGTCTTTTTTATCCAATATTACTTGCTTGCAAAATGTATAGATTTCTTGATTTCAAAATTTATGTTGATTGCATAGATTTTTATGGTTGTGATTAATGCTAAATTATTTGTGTACATTATATATATATATATATATATATATATATATATATTATATGCAGGTTCACATAACACAAGGAGATCACATTGGGCGGAGTGTGATCATTTCATGGGTGACACCTTTAATGCAACACCCGAATGTGGTGACATACTGGGAAGCAGAGGGGAAGCACAATCACAAGCAGGAGGCTGGTTCTATAGTCACCTCTTACAGATACTACAATTATAGTTCCGGCTACATTCACCATGCTACTATTAAAAGATTAAAGGTATGTTAATAAATTCATTAATTCGTTGTATTATTTTTCATCCTATACATAATATGTATTGATGTTTCATGGCTAAATTAAGTGGGACCGAGAAGTCTGTTTTCGCTGCATTTGCAATTTGAAATGAATCTCTATGCTCGCTCGAAGTACCTACTTAGACTTGAGTCCATGATTATGTTATGCATAGGATCAGCAAATATATGAATTAGTTTTGATATTATCATATACATTTTTTTTTTTATATATATATAATCATTTAAACTCCAATTTTACTGGTATATATTGATCTGTAATGAAATTTTGTGAAGTGGTGAGAATGCTCTTTGACTAAAAAAGCGCAAAATAGAACCTAGAATAGCTCCGTTTGCACCATAATTTTGCCAAGTACAGCAATATAGGAACGGATTTTAGTGATTGAAGACCATAGAGTCCCTTTTCATTGGCTGTAGCCAGTAAAATACTGATGGTTTCATGTTATATGTTATGATTAATTATTCTAATTTTACTTAAAGATTGGGAAAAAAACTGTTGAAATTAGTTAAATTATCTTCATTTTCTGTGTCAGAGAACTTAAGGGTTCAATAAAAGTATTCATAAAATTCCTAACTGGAAATATACCATCAAACCATGTTTTGCTTATCCGAAAAAACTTTAGTAATTGGGTAGTCTACTGCCAGGCATGGCCTCTCGGCAATGCTACTCTAACAATGCTAAATCAGGTTTAACAACAGTTACAATATCCATTCTCAATTGCAAGCCAATCTTGATTAATGGAAATCAATCAACACTTGCGAACTCATTTTTGGTCTTGATATGCAGTATGACACTCGATACTTTTATGAGCTTGGGACTGACAATGCTACTCGTAGATTCTCCTTCACAACTCCTCCCAAAGTAGGACCTGATGTTCCCTATACCTTTGGAGTTATGGGTCAGTTCTTCTGAACCAATTTATAATTTTTATTATTATTATTATAATTTTTTTTCGCTGTTTAGTCACTCCATTGTATATATGCTGTGTGATGTAGCATATTTCTCTCTATGCAGGTGATTTGGGACAAACATATGACTCGTATCAGACACTGGAGCATTATGTGTCGAACCCAAAGGGTCAAGCTGTGCTGTTTGTAGGCGATCTTTCTTATGCAGATGATCACCCCTTCCATGACAATGTGAAGTGGGATACATGGGGGCGTTTCGTTGAGAAGAGCACTGCATATCAGCCGTGGATCTGGACTGCCGGCAATCATGAAATCGATTTTGCTCCTGAGATTGTAAGACTTGAACCAAACTTGATGGTTCTGTCTCATTAAATATGTGGCAGTTGGTTTGGCCATAACCCACTTGGTGGCCTAGGCCATATCATTTTATTAGCTTAATCAAATAAATTCAATCTGGTTCTCTGATGACTCAAAAATGACTCGCATAATCCATGTTGCTTATTAAGTACTTGAACCATTTCCAACTTCACTCGAGAACTGAGACCACTCTGTATCAAGTTCCATTGAGTCACAAAGAAGCAATTAACATCGCACATTTACTGCATTATCTATATCAAATTCAATTCATTGATAGTGCTAAATCTTAAGCAACATAAAATTTTGCTTGTATTGTTGATCGGATCTAACTTTGTTTTCTCACAGGATGAAAACGTTCCTTTCAAACCATATATGCACCGGTACCATGTACCATACAGGGCTTCCCAGAGTACATCCCCACTTTGGTATTCTATTAAGCGTGCATCAGCGTATATCATTGTCCTTTCTTCTTACTCAGCCTATGGTAAGAACCATACCTTCATTGCTTTTATTATCCATAATACATCAATATATCATTTGCTCCATTATTTATTTGGTCACATTGGAACAAAGAGGGCCTTATAGAGCTATGAGAAGGGCTTACAATACTTTCTTCTATTTCTTTAGGGAAATATACTCCTCAATACGAGTGGCTTAAAAAAGAGTTGCCAAAGGTTAACAGAGCTGAGACTCCATGGCTCATTGTTCTTCTTCACTCTCCGTGGTATAATAGTAACAACTACCATTATATGGAAGGCGAAAGCATGAGAGTGATGTTCGAGCCCTGGTTTGTTGAGAATAGAGTTGATATTGTGTTTGCTGGTCATGTTCACGCCTATGAGAGATCAGTAAGTTCCCATCTTGACATAAAATCTCATTTTTCATGGTTACATTGTTCATTGTTTGCTATCAATAATTCCTAGCGTGGCTGCTTTTGTTCTTTTGATCCACTAAGAAAGTCGATGATGTGTGCTATAACTAATGAACATGGATTGTTATGATGTGAAATACAATCTTAGGTTAGGTTTGGAACCATGTTTGGAGATCAATCATATCTAATTAACGAACATGAGAATGAGTTTTAAGTGGCAAATTTGAGCGGTGTGTTCATACTTGACCTCTACAGCAGCCCTCTCATATTTCATGGTTACATTGCTACTATCAATCATATCTAAACTCAAATGCTGTTGAGATTTGAATTTCGAAATATTTAAATTTTTTAAAGCACTCTGTTATACATATTTGTTGCAGGAGAGGATATCAAATGTGAAGTACAACATAACAGATGGACTGAGCACTCCAGTTAAGGACCCTTCTGCTCCGGTATACATAACAATTGGCGATGGTGGAAACATTGAGGGCATTGCTGATTGGTAAGACTCTTGAATCCCTTCTGAAACTAAAGGAAGTTGGTCATAACAAAAACAACCATTATGAGATATGAATCAACATTTCTTAATGCAGCTTCACAGATCCACAACCTAGTTACTCTGCATATCGCGAAGCAAGCTTTGGGCATTCCCTTCTTGAAATTAAAAACCGGACTCATGCTTACTATACTTGGCACCGTAATCAAAACAGTGAAGCTGTTGCTGCGGATTCTATTTGGTTTTATAATAGGTACTGGTATCCACACGAAGAAGGCTACTCCAACAACGAAGGGGTTTAGAAGTTTTGCATTCTTGTGGTTGTTTCTTTCTTTTGTTTTTGGCAGGTAGTTTTGGTTGCTGTTCCTTTTTTACACATAGAATTCAATGACACCTTGAATGTCCAGTAGGAGAGCATCAATAAAAATAGAACTCCTTGTGTCATTAATTCTCATATTAAGAAACAATCTCAGCATTGCCGACATCCTCCATTACAGGCTCAAAACTAATTGAGCATTTTAAGTAAGATGAAAAGGAAGAAGATGACCCTGTTTATTTTGTTATGTTTTTTTCTTTTTTTTTTTTGGAATTTATTATGCTGATTTTATCATTAGTCAAACATTGTATTGGTTCAATCTTAATATGCATTTTCTCTTCTTATTAGCTTTGCTTGTATTTAGAACCAAATGTTTTGAAACAATAACAGAAATGTTTTATTATGTTGGGTTCTGAGTTTGATTTTCTTATCCATTTCCTTATTACTATATTTTTTCCCCACTTTTTAACTTCATTTTAAACTATCATATTGAAGTTTCCACCGTTTTTGTTTAGGATCATCATCACACTCTAATGTTTGTTGTCACAACAAACTTTGTTATCGTAAGAAATTTTTTTTTTTCTTTTCTTCAGACCATATTCAGCCTCATTTTCACAAATGAGCTCAAGCATTAACATTTTAGTAGCTTGGTCTTACAGTAAAGCTCAATTAGGCTTCAATGTGTTTATATGGTATGTGACTTGAGTTGGTGCAATTGTATTACCTCACGCATTATGACAGCTGAAAATGTACTGTATGGTTTAAATTTGATTATTATATTATATAATTTTAAAAGAATGGGTAAATGTATAGAAGACTCATAAAAAAATGGTTAAAAATTGTACAAAATAGTTATACACGTATATTATATTATATAATTTTAAAAGAAGGGTAAAATTATAGAAGAAGACTTGTAAAAAAAAGGTTAAAAATTATAGGTCATACAAGATGGTAATAAATGTATCTCCACCCAGTGATGAATCAGGAATTTTGTTGATGGGGACTATTGAATAAAATGAATTTAAATATAATTTTTTGTAGATAAAATAATAATCTTAAGAACCTAATTACTTAACAACAGTATTTTTTAAGTATGTTTTAGATAAAAAAAAATAGTGGGGGCCAAAAGAATATGTTATGAGATAAGGATAGAAAAATAAATGACAAGAAAAATAAAATAGCACACGTACAAACGAGACAAGAATTTAGGTGATTCGGCTGTGCTTACATCTACGGGAAGAACACAGATCAATATTCATAGACAGATCAATATTTCACTATGAAAATCAAGATATACAAGACCAAATGGCTCACACTCAAAAAAATCTAATTACACCCAAGACTCTCACAAACTTTGCTTTGTTTTATATTAAGCAAAACACACCCAAATTTTGGATGCTTCAAAACAAGGCTATTTATAGCCAATAATGGGTTACCAAACAATACTGCTAATCAAGACTACTTGGTGCCCACGAATTCTTAGTGACCAAGAATAATGTTTGCTGAATACATATACTTGGAGGACAAGTTGAATTGTTTCATAGGTGATGTTGTGGTGCCGATGAAAAGGGTGATAAAATTGAGTGACAAAAGTCAATAATATATAATAAAGTATTTTAAAAAATTGAGTGGGGTAGTTCTTAATTTGTAACAAAATAACCCTAGTACTGTAATACAAATTAAAAAAACTCATACACAAGATAGTCCTGACAATAGCTTCCACATAAAATAAAAAAATAATAATAATAATAAAAAAAGGGTTAACATATTAAAGTAATTGAATGTTTTATACACAATTTTTATATTATTTTTTAAAAATTGCATTTATAAAATGACCAAAACGGACATAAACTAAAATGACACACACAGTTTATTATACACATAAATGAATCATCACAAAGAATCGAATCCAGGTTTAGAGAGTGAGAATAGGAGCATGGGGTGCCCGGGAGCTCAATCCGGTTTCGCCGCCGCTCCTGGTAAGCTCCTTCATTGCCGGCTTGTGTGGACGCCGTCGCATCTATGGCCACGCAGATCACTAAACTACCGTTCTCTTCGTTCTTGAAACCCCTTGTGGAGGTAATTTCAGTCGAACCTTCTTCCTCGCTGTTTAGTCTCGATATGCTGGACTCCACCTTCCGTCGGTGTTTTACTGGGTTTGCTTCCATTCGGCTCAGGATATGGGTTTATATTTTTGGGTTCAAAGCCCTTATTATGGTTATGATGAAGAATAAGAGTAATTATAATATGCACAATGAATATCAAACGGATTTCGGCTCAATTTACAAATTGCTAAAGAAGTAATGACAAATTGCTCTAGTTCTTCCATTTGTGGAAGGCAAAAAAAAAAAAAAAAAAATCATTTGTGTGTTGGGTAGGTGGTGTTGAATGACGGCTATAGTTATAGGTGATGAAGGAAGGGCTGAGGTTATAGTTATTGGTGATGAAGGGTTGTGAGGTTGGGTTTTGTTCAGTTCATCTCCGGTGAACACTATTGAAAACCGAATTGACTCCGGTGAAGTGAACCAGAGAGAAAATAAAAAATATATATAGAGAAAAATAAAAATAAAAATAAATAAAAGGACATTTTTGGAAGGTAAAAGTGCAAAATGGACATATTGTAATTCTTTTATGTTTGAGGGGATGTTTTTGCCCAATTACTGAATTATAAGGGTGTTTATAGCACAAGTGGCACTAAATCCTAATAAAAAATTCTTACCTAGACTCCGAATGCTTATTTTCTCGGAAACCAAACAGGGTCATTCATTCTCTTTCTTCGCATTCGGCTTCAAGCGCGACTATTGATGCTCCGGAAAATCTATTCCCGAGTTAGCTACAGAAGAAAATAGTTTAGAAGAAAGAAGGGCAGAAGAAAATAGTTTCGAAGATGGGTTTTTCGTGATGGAATCGCAATCCACTGAATCTTGAAATAGAAAAAAACCCTAACCTTTCGTATATACCTAATTCCATTCAAGAAAAAAAAAAAAAAAATCCTAATTCCGGTGTTTACTGTTTCAGTTCTTTATAAAATGTCACTTAAACAAGAAAAAGAACCGATCAATGTCGTCTACATTGACAGTAGCGACGACGACGACGAAGACGGCGTCGGAGTAGAAAGAAGAAATAGCACATCATCAAACGAGCCATCTAAGCAAAGCAGACCAGAGGTTCGCAGCACTGTAACAAACCCTCCATCCGTATCTGGCTATAAGACTCTCGAGTCTCGAAGTTTCTGGAAAGCAGGGGGCTATGAAATTGGTCCCACTAAATGGGCTCCCAAATCAGGTTACAACTTACATATACATACACACAAAGTGTTTTTGAGTTTTTGATGTAAATATGCATGTATAGATACATACACGTCTGAATGAAGATGTTCTTCATTTTATAGGTGAGTTGGAACATGCCCGTGTTCATCCAAAGTTTTTGCATTCCAATGCAACTTCTCATAAATGGGCTTTCGGAGGTAACTTTTTCAGTCCCATTATTTTATATATATATTTTTCTCTAAGCAATTTGTTTGGGTTTTCAGAAAAAATGAGAATGAATGACAGTATTATGGATATATTAAGCCGTTGTTATTTTAGTTGAAAATTCCGTATCATATGATGCTCCAAAATTTGTGCATGATTATAGTGCAACTCCCTCGATAATCCAAGTGTGCTGGCGACATGTCCTTTTATTGAAACATGGTACAATGTGAATGTTGGTGTGTAACCCATTTGGTGTGCTTGCATTCCATTAACTCCACCATTTGCTATATCATTATATTTCACTTGCTGCTATTTTTTTTCTTTTCAGTGACTACTTCACTTATTATGTTTGCGCTGTCATTATGTGGCTATCATGAGTGGTGGGAAATGTGGGACAAGAATTATATTTGCATTTTCATTAGGTTGGAGCTCTAGAACTGAGGAACAATTGAATTGAAATCAAATATTGAAGTTGAGAGTTGTGAAAACAATGAATATTTGAAGGAAACAAAAGGTTTCTTTAAAAACAAAAGGTTTCGTTTGGAATCATTCGTTGCTTGCAAATAATTTTTGAATTGTTCGAGGAGAATTGAGTTTTTAGGGCACACTTGGTTACAATCATTTGATTGCCAAAGTTGTTTAAAACTTTTATTAACAGTGAACTATCTTGGAATTTTGTTTTATTGGCAAAGAATTACCGTTACTTAGTTCTACCAAGCGTTTAGCTCCAATGACATCTCCTCTTTTGTTATATTTAAATTAGGTCTTTGTTGGACAAAAGGAAAGAGGATTTTGCTTGGAGAGAGAGACAGAGAGATAGTAAGTAAAGAAAGAACAAAAAAAAAAAAAAAAAAAAAAAACCAAAGAAGGGGGTTGGGGGATTGGAGTTTTGTGAGAAAAGATCAAGGCTCTGCTGATAATACAAGGGAGAATCTGTAGAGGAAGAAAGAGGTTTGTGTCGGGAAGAAGAGGGAAAAAATAAAAGAAAAATAGGATGGAGGTTTTGTCGAGAAGGAGGACGAGGTGGTTCGACGGTTGGTTCCAAGAGAGATGAGACTTCTGTTTCTCTTTTTGATCTTGTACAGTTTTGAACAGTAAAAGCATAAAGGGATCTGGTAAAAGAATTTGCTTGATAAAATTTTAAATAAAAGTCTTCTTTTTTTGTATTTTTGTCCTCCGCATTATCGAAACTTTTCATAGACTTTCTTGACTTTATACTTTAGCCCTTCTTCTTTTTGAAACTTATTGAAAACCTATTTTATTTTTTTTATGTGTGCCTGCATTGTGTCAAGTTTATCAACCTCGTGTCCATTTATGTAAAGAAAGATAAATATTTAGACTCCTTTTCGGCATGTCCAACATGTGTTGGGCTGTGTATGATGCGGGTAGGTGCTTTATAGCATTAAGAAATACATACATACATGCACGGATACATATTTATATTGGCTTAAATGTTTTCTTATCTTATATGAGCTTGACTGAAATGATTCTTGAGACCTTGGCAGTAACTATCAGAGTATATGGTTTTAATACTTATTTAAGTTGCACTTATGATTTGAAAAATGGGAATATAATACTTATTTAAGTTACGGAGTTGCCATTGTAGCACAACACTAAAGGTGTTAGTTACATCTAAACAGTTAGGGGTGGATGGGGTTTTGATTCCTATTGCTCTCATATGTTTTTAGTTACACATAAATGTATTTCTTACTTGAAAATGCTGTACTAATACTAATTGATGTGTCTATATATTTGTTGCAGCAATTGCTGAGCTCTTGGATAATGCCATTGATGAGGTAATAACCTCCTGTACTTCATACCTCATTTGTATTGTAACATATGAATGAATTGTTTTTTTTTTTTTTGTTTTTTATTTTTTTTTATTTTTTACATGGTAGAATATGTGTTTTTTATATGGTAGAGTATGTGAGTTGACTTGAACTGCAGTCGACATAGTTATACTGGCTTTGCTTGGAAATTGATTGTGTAGGAAATTATACAGTCACTTTGTTTGAATTAATAATTGAGTTAATTATTGGTTATGTTTCTTTGGTTCATGAAGGATTTGGGAAGGTTGCATTATAATCTTGGTATACGTAGCACAAACACAAAATGGGACACATATACGATACTACACGAATAGGTTGGCTCATGACATCCTAAAAAAGTTGGATACATACACGCCATGGGTACAACATTATATATATGGGCTGTGTGGCACATAACTGACACCCACTTTACCCCCATGGGGACTAGAGGGTTCAATCTTCCACTTTTGGAGGTAGAGGAGATACTACTGGGCTACAAATCTTGGTAGATACAACAATATATAATATTTTATTTATATAACATTTGAGAACCCTTTTTTTTTTTTTTTTTTTTTTTTTTTTTTTTTTTTTTTTAACTTTCTAACTTCCATACCACGAATTGCATAACATGGAAGATGAAAATATGCGAAAATCATACCACTACTACTGCTGCTACTGATACTGCTACTACTACTAGAGTACCTTTTTGTGTCATAGCTACAACTAAGCTAGGTCATGTGATCGAGATTGAAGAAGATGAATTCAAAATTTGTTTAATTCGGAGTTGTAAATGAAGGATGTGGATCTTTCTCCCTGAACTTAGATTTAGGGTGTCTTGATGCTCTGCTGAGACTGTAATATAATGCAGCTTCTGCTTTGAAATTAGACCTGGGTAGGATCGTATTGTTATTGCACAATAGATATGTGTGGACCTATTAAAAGGTAAGGTGTGGATGCTTTATTGAGACATAATGTTATCCTTGGAAGTGATATAGGTAAGAAAATGCGATTGTGAGCATGCATGGACCTGTTTTTGTGGGTGTGTTTTAATTGATATTTTCCTTTTTGGTGTTTTTTACTACTTGTTCTTTTTGTTTTTCATTATCTTTAAGGATCATCTCATCTTACACTTTCTCGGTTTCTCCATTTTAGTTAACCCATGAATGATTTGGATTCTTTTCAGCTGCTGTGCTTCACTTTCTGTTTTCTTATTTATTTATTTATTTTTATTTTTATTACAGTTATCTCATAGTAATTTTTTCACATTTGTGGAAAAAGAAAAAACACAAATATTCTTAATGGTATACTTGAAAATTTCAACTATGAAGGTATTTATGAGAGAAAGAATTTTGACATTTGCACATGATTTCATATACTTGTATCACCAGATTTGCAATGGCGCAACTTTTGTGAAGGTTGATAGAATTTATAATGCAAGGGATAACTCTCCTGCTTTACTTTTCCTAGGTTGGTATCTGTATGTGTTTACTTTATATACTGGAATGATCATATATAATTTCAGAATTAGTTTTTCTGTAGTAATTGGGACTAGCAACTCAGGATGTTTTGTGCAGACGATGGGGGCGGTATGGATCCAGAAGGCATTCGAAAATGCATGAGCTTGGGTTACTCATCTAAGAAGTCCAACACAACAATCGGACAATGTAACTAAAGCCTTTTTTCTTGTCACCAGTTTAGCTTTATTTGATAGAAATTCCTTTCCACATCTCTTGTCATATATTTTAGTTCACTATTGTTATCAATATTTTTTTTTGTATATTTGTCTGACATTAGTTGATCACTACTTAAAATAGGCTTGCTCTTGAGCATTACTGGCACATTATCTGATTATATAGGGACATCCAACTAACACTTAAACGCATTTCAACTAATCATAACAGAAAAGAATTTTCTAGTCTTGTGAGAATTGGGTGGACCTGGTTGTTTGGCATCTGGGTAAAAATTCCAAATGAAGGTAGATGAACCGAAATGTTTTCTTCCAAAAAGATCTTCTCATACCTAGGTTTACTGTTCACTGTCCTGGTTTCTGTGTTATAAATCTTATCCCGTCATCTACAGCTCACTTGGCCTAGTCCTCACACATTCAACATGAAGATGCTGATGGTCTCTGAATAAGCCCCCACCCCCACCCCCACCCCCTTTTTTCCCCTTCTTCTAGCTGTAGTGTCGCTGTAACTCTGTAACTGTTTGGTCGCCACCTAAGAAGCACGGACACGGATACGGGACACGGATACGACACGACACGGACACAGCGACACGGCAAATCCAAAAAAATTAGGACACGGACACGGCGAATAGTATATATATATCAGCATTAATAATTTTAAAAAAAAAACACTGATATGTTTAGGTTGGAATATATATATATATATATATATATCACTGATATGTTAGTATATATATATATATCAGCATCTTTAGGACACGGACACGGCGAATTGTGGCATCTTTAGGTTAGTATATATATATATCACCATCTTTAGGGTAGTACAAAACAAAAAATAGAACATATCAGCATTAAAAAATTTTTTTAAAAAAAAAAAAAAAATTAACATATCAGCATTAAAAATTTAAAAAAAAAAAAAAAAAATCCAGAAAAGTGTGTCCGAGCCGTGTCTGAGCCGTGTCCGAGCCGTGTCCGAGCTGTCTGAGCCGTGTCCGAGCCGTTTCCAAGCCGTGTCTGAAAATAAAAAAAAAATAAAAAAATTCCAGACACGTTTTTTGGTGTGTCCGACACGTGTCGGGGCGTGTCCGACGCGTGTCCGTGTCCGACACGTGTCGGACACGGATTCTTCTCCCATTTTGGAGTGTCCATGCTTCTTAGGTCGCCACCTCCAACTTACTGAACACTTTTTTTTTTTCCTGAACATTCTGTTTGTCTGCAGTAGCAAGGTCATATACCTCCCTATTTCTTTAATAGTTGATGCCAGACGGAATGCATTTGACCTTACTTGGGATCTTCTCTCCATCCATCTCTTTGGTACCCACCCTCTTTTAGTCTCCATAGTATTTTGATTATTTTGGAGACCTCTCCTAATGCCTCAAAATACACTGGCCTTTCTCCAAGATTCACTTATATTTCATAAACCCACCTAGCTGCAAAGTCCAGTGAGATAAGATAGTGGCATCTCTGAAGTTTTTTACTTTTCATTTTATTTGTAATAATTATATATTTTTCAGTCTCCATAGGTTTTTTATTACTCCCTCTGTCCCAAAATAAGTGTCCACCTTTCCATTTTTATCCGTCCCAAAATAAGTGTCCCATTTGAAAAGTCAATATACTATTTTTTGTAATATTACCAATTTAACCTTCTTGCATTGAACCTATAAAAAGTAAACCATCACATCACTGTGCACCCACTAGGGGTAAATTTGGTAATTTATTCACTACTAATTCAATAAAAAAAAATAATAAAAATCATTTTCTTAAAAAGTTAGATTCCCAAAAAAGGACATTTTGGGAGGGAGGGAGTATTTTGGAGACCTCCTAATGCCTCAAGCTATGCCTCAAAATATGCTGGCTTTTCTCTATGGTTCACTAATATTTCATAAATCTCCCTTGCTGCAAAGTTCAGTGACAGAAGATAGTGGCATCCCTGCATTTTTTTATTCGTATATATTTATATATTCTTCAATTGGGCACTGTTAATTTTATTTACCTTGTTATCTTAGTAGCAAGACTTATTATTCTCCCACTTTACCCCACCTTTATTAGCAAAGTAACAGATAATAGAAATTTGCTAAGTCAGCAATTCAAATAAAAGTAAAAGCCTTTCTTCAAAGCAAAAACTTTTATGATGGTTATAGTTATGTTCTTATTACGTGAGATAAAAGAGATTCTGACCTGATCTTACAACTCGGAGAGGGTCTAGTAAATCCATTTTTCCAAGATAAGAAAGCATAATTCAAGGCTCACTGCAGAAAGTGGCAAGAAGAACTTGACGTCTTCTCTTGGCCTTCAAACCGCGGGACAAGGAAAAATGATCAAAAAGGGCAAGTCTATATTTATGAGCTGTCTCCTTTCACAAATTATTCTTGCAAACAGCATACTTCTTTAAACTGCAGTTAATCATGGTGAACTCCAACAGATGTTAAATATACTATGACTTCATGTTCTTAAAAAAATCTTAAAAGTTAATTGCATGAATGTGTTTCTTGATATCTAAAAGGCATGTCTCTTTCCAGATGGTAATGGATTCAAGACAAGTACCATGCGACTTGGTGCTGATGTAATCGTTTTCAGTCGTGCATCTCATTCAAGGTATTTTTTTTTTTCTTGCTTTAATGATTCATGCAGCATATTATACTGTCTTTTAAGTTGATTCAAATCAGATGTATAGAATGTTCTCCAATTGAATTGGTATTGTTTATGTGCCCTGTTTCTTTGTCTATGTTATTACTTAGCTTTGTGTTTGCTGGGAGTTTGGCTGAGGCCTAATCCATTTGGTTCGAGAATTTGTGGTCAAAGAATATTTTTATGCAAAATTTGTGGATATATGGTTTATAGGGGTTCCAATGTAGAGAAAAAGCTACTTTTGCTTTCATCTGAACTGCTGGTTTGGGAATTAAACATGCAAAGTGATCACGTTAGTGCAGCAACTCCAGAAGTTCGGTCAGAGATGAGGTGAAAAAGAAATACAAGAATTTATTTATTTATTTTTTGTTTTTGGCTGCCAAATTCTGTGAAAGGGTTGTGTTGGCAGATCTTTTGATGATGAGGGTTCTGGGGTGTTGATTGAGGTTATTGTGTTGACAATGCTCACGGAGCTAATTGGCTACAGGTTGACTGATGCAAATAAACTTTAATTGCTTCTCCTATGAAGGGAAGGAAATAAATGGTTGAAGATACCAGTGAAAAGAGAGATGGTTGGACTAACCAGACCGATCAAACTAAGAAAGGAATAGGAAAGGAGAGGTGAGTTGAGGTGTCACCCACTGCTAGAATAAGAAGTGTCACACTTGTTCTTGTAGAATAAAGAGGCTTAGACAATCACACCTGGGTTCTTATGCATTCGCACATCAGAAATAATAGGTTGCAAAATGATCAGTTCATTATTTTATTACACATCGCTTAAAAATGTGCCAAATATGTCACTTACATGAAGGCCATACAAATAAATTCAGAGGCCAAGTGAACTTACCCCAACAATTATGTAGCTCGGCAAACTTTGTCCTGAACCTATGTATACCCCATAAGACGCATCTAAAACTAACCAAATTGATGAGTAAGCTGACAAAAGAAAAGCTCACTCATACCAAAGTTCACAGTACTGCCAAATACTAAATTTATCAAAATAACCCTTGTACAACTCAACAAAGTCATGTTTCAATTATTTGGGGTCTGTTACATGGATTCTGTTTTGCGGTTCCGTTATGTATAAGGCTATAGCTTCAATCGCATGCTATAACATATTTCCTAACCATCTCAACTCATCTTAGTTTTGGTCTTCTCCCTCTATAACATCCATCCATCTGGCAACTATATTATACTATAGCATAATTTTTATTTTTTATTTTTAATATTTCAGCTTCATTTATTTATTTATTATTCTATAGTATAATAAAGGCCTTAAAATTGGGTTCTTGTTTATTCATAATATTCATTATGTAAGGGGTAAACACCGAAAGTATGGGTGGATTTTTAGGTCAACTTTCGTAGTTGGAATGGTTGTAGAAACAAGACCCAAATCCTCAGATATTCTATAGTATAATAAAGGCCTTAAAATTGGGTTCTTGTTTATTCATAGTATTCATTATGTAAGGGGTAAACGCCGAAAGTATGGGTGGATTTTTAGGTCAACTTTCGTAGTTGGAATGGTTGTAGAAACAAGACCCAAATCCTCAGATCTTGTAAAAAATATGTAACTGGTAAAGTAAGTAGCTCTCTGATAGCATTTGCACGAGGAAAACTTTATTATGTTCTGTGACACATGTTTCTATTTTAGGAATAGGTTGGAGATGCACAGTTAACTTTGTGATTCTTCTGCATGTTTAGCTAGTGTGAATCTGCATGCTTATGTTCTCTTGAATTAGCAATTATTTGCTGTAGGAATGCTTAGACTCTATAGATGTATGATTTCTGATTTATACTTTTGACACTTTTTTAGGGGTACAAATTGTATTTTGCTGCTGGTATGATCATAATAATTAATAATCAATATATTTCTGATGTAATTTGCCACATCTGTCTTCTAGCCGAGCGACTCAAAGCATTGGTCTTTTATCCTATACCTTTTTGCGTCGAACAGGCCAGGATGATGTGATTGTTCCAATGGTAAATTGGTTCATTCTTGATGTTAAATCTCTCCTTCTGGCATCACTATTATTTTCTGATATCCATCCTTGTTCCCTTATTTTTTTTTATTTTTTTAATTCAATTATGTTGCAGGTTGATTTTGATATCTCTGACCATTGGGCAGAACCAATAATTTATAGTTCTCAGGATGATTGGTTTGCTAATTTGAAAACCATCCTTGAATGGTCTCCCTTTGCATCAAAAGATGAGCTTCTGTCACAGGTCTTCTTATTCACATGAAAACCAACCTTTTCTTGTTTGTTTTTCCCTTTTTTATGTTTTTATTTTTTGAAGTAATGACGCCCAAGGTTAGCTTATTGTTAAACGTACATGTGAAAATTCTATGTTATATGATAAGTTATTTTAATACCTGTATTTTCAATAAATACCTCGGATTCTTATTATGAGAATATATAAGCAATGCAAGCAAATTTTTTTATTTATTTTTGGGTAAGCAATGTAAGCAATTTTACTTTAGGAATGATTCAAATATAATGACGCCAAGCAGGTACCCTTTTTTGGAATGTGGTGGACCCATTTTTGGCTTTTTAAGGAGAATTATTCTCTTGGAGATGCTTATTCAAGCATCCTGGTTTCATCTTCACCTTCAAGCTTTCAATAGAAAACATCCTGACATGTACCATGAAAGCTGTTTTTTTTTTTTTTTTTTAAAAGCAAGATTTACTAATGGAAACCAGGAGTCAACACATAAACTATTATGTGTCACATATCTTTGATGGTTTGTGCGAATCTGTGATGAACAAGGGTTCTAGCCTTTTTCAGTAGAAGTTGCCACATAAGTCATATTCTTTAAAGCTTTTCGATTTCCATTGAAAAGGAAGAATGAGTTGAACACTGTCTACGGAAATCGAAATTTGTATTACTTTATTGATGTAAAATATGATGTCTCAGACATTTTGTTTTTAAAAATAAGTGCGTAACAGAACTAATTCATTGAGTCGTTGAATTGCTGAATAGCTTTGAGTTAAATCATTGTCAATGGGTTGTTCAAGAAACTCTGAGGGTGGGGCCAGCTGGTCCTGACCCCAGTCGAATTCAGGAAGTTGTATCAGACTGGTGAATAAATATGTGTTTGAGTGGGAAAACATATAGGATCGAAATGGATTTTTCCTTGAATTTATTTGTCAGAAAGTGAAATTTATCGGAACAATCACCATGTGAAATTGTGGGTTTTAAGCTGTGATTCATGAGGAGGCTGGTCTATAAATTCTGACATTGGAGGAAACCGAATATTATGCAGACCATTCCACAGCCACAATTGCTGCCATGTTTGGCACCTTACTATATTATTGCCATTAGCGCCTGTACCCCTCCCCCCCGGCACGCACACTCACCATCACTGCCACTGTCAGAATCACCACTTTGTCTATTGCTGCGTTGCTACCTCCACCAATGTAATTCATTTTTCATCCTCCACTTCCTTCAGCATCACCACATCTTCCTCTTCAAACACATCTCAACCAGCAACATCAGCATCAAAAGGTCCACCACAAACACAGGAAAAACCAGTAAGGACAGCTTCTACAGCCTAATTGTCATTTGGACCATCATCTCTTTAAAGTTTCCAAATTTGAAATCATCATCTCTTCTACTGCCTTTCTTTTGATGCACTACTGCCATGGTTCCACCACCATAACCTTCTCTGCTTCCATCCCCATGTCACCGTTCCATCCTTTCGCACTGCCACAACTAGCTTCATTGCCTCAATATTTTTTTTCGCTCTTCTTCGCTCTTCTTCTTCTTCTTCTTCTTTTTTTCACGTGTCCGTTAGTCTTGTTCTTGTTTTCATACCTGATTCTGGTGCCAGGATTTTGATGAGTTCAAATTCATATCTAATCATCTTAACAACTTGAGCAATCCCTAATTGGAAACAGAGTAGTACATTCTGTGAATTCAGGTTTATGGTTTTGTGGCTAATAAGGCCTTCTAGAACCAAGAAGCCAAGAAAGAAGTCAAGATTCGTGTATACAAGATACATTGTGCCCAGCTTCCAAAAGTCATCGAGTAGTTCAATAAACCTACGGCCCAAGGTGCTCATCGCATTCAGAGCCGAAATGACTCGCTTTGCAATTTTTAAATTACATTATTGAAGCACTGAATAGGTCTTATTTCTTCCTTTTAGTTGCAATTATATGTTCTTTTTTTTTCGTTGCCAGATTATATTTGAATGTTCCTTGACTGTTCTTTCTTTCTTTCTTTTTTTTGGTTCTTTTCCAGTTTGAGGATATTGGTTCACATGGAACAAAAATAATTGTATACAATCTATGGCTGAATGATGAAGGCATTTTCGAGTTGAATTTCGATGATGATGAAGAGGTACATCAGATTTCATAGTGTGTGCAAGATTTTTCAACGTGTTTGCTAATTATTCTGAGGCTTGCTGAGTTTATTGAAGTTCAAAAGATTTCCAATCGTAGCAATAATGCCACGGGGAGTTGTTAAAAAATGTTCTTGTACTTTGAATATTCTCTTTCTAATTTGAAAATTATTATGACCCGTGTCTATTTTAGATTTTTCCAAATTATTATGACCCGTGTCTATTTTAGATTTTTCCAAATTATTATGACGCTTGTCTGTTTTAGATTTAGATGTTGTTTGATAACCCAATTCAGTACTTAGTTCTGAATGTATTCAGTACTTATTTAATTAAGCGTTTTTGATAACACATGGGGATCCTAATTTACAGAATAAGAGCCACTTAATATAGGTAAATTTTTAAGTTATGGGGACTTCACTTATCAAACACTCTAAATTCAAAAATTATCAAAACAATTCTTAATTTATAGCTAACACTTAAATTTCAGAACCTGAAATTCAGTTATTAAAATTTTCGGTACTTAATATCCGGTTTTATGAAACAGTACCTTACATTTTTTTAGAAAGAAAATGATAGATCTAAATGAATACACCCCTTGTTTTCTGTAGTGCATTTGAATAGGACTTGATAGAATTGCATCATTTATTGAAGTTGGTCTCATAGCACATCTGCAGGCACGAGAGTCAAATCATGATATCTAATTTATGCAAATGAAAAATGTTAAAGTTACAATTTGGTTCATGACAAAATAAGTCTGAAGTGAACTGTGACTTTTGGCCCCTTGGTTTGGAAGAAGCATGGACTTTCATCCTGAATGGTGGTGAAGACTTTTAAAGCATCATAAAGGGAAAAGTGGGATTATCCAAAATTAGTGGTTGATGGTTTCAAGTTTACAAAATAAATAATTTTAGTTTTGGTACTTTTGGTAGATCAATGGTAGTAAACAATATATATATAGCACAACTAGTAATCCTAACCCTGTAGTTCTGCTAACAATGGGTATATTGTTTACTACCATTGATCTACCAAAACTAAAATTATTTATTTTGTATACTTGAAACCATCAACCACTAATTTTGGATAATATATATATATATATTTATATGGGTATGGTTGCAGGTGTTGGCTCATGTAGTCTGATGTTTTATTTGAGCTGGGTACTGTCTCATTCTGTGCAGAGTCACAAGCACAACTAGTAATCCTAACCCTGTAGTTCTGCTAACAATGGGTTGTGCAAGAGTAGGGGATTTATTTTTTGTTGGCGCTTATATGTCGAAATCATTTATGTTTTCGTTTGCCTCTGGACACAGGATATAAAGTTGAGAGATGAAAGTAATTGTGGTTCGTCCAGAGGGAAGAAGAAACTACTTGAATTGCAGCAATCTCACGTTTCCTACCGCCTCCGCTTTTCATTAAGGGTGATCATTTGAATAGTAATTTTTTTTTGTATTTGCTTTTATCTTTATTAGCAGTATTTGTTTAATCCATCCAAGTGACGCTAACATATTTTTGCTCAGGCATATGCTTCCATTTTATACCTCAGAAAATTTAAAAATTTCGAGATTATATTGAGGGGGAAACCTGTTGAGCAGTTAAATATTGCAAATGAGTTGAAATACCCGAATGTAATCACGTACAGGCCACAGCTTGGGATAGCATCAAAAGAGGAGGTATTTCACAATAGGAAATTTATTGTCATATTGATGTTTATTAGATAAAAGTTACCTTAATGTACATCTAAATGCTTAATTGATCTGCAAATTATGCTTCTGGGATTTTGTCAAGTTGTAATCTTGCTGACTGGAAGCCACAAAGTGCTGTGCGTTTATATAGAATTGATTGAACTTCTTTGTGAACAATTTTCTTATTTCATTTTTATTTTATTTTTATAAACTTGTACTATACTGAGGGTGCTAAGAATTCTCGCCATAGTGTTCATATATTTCCATGAGTACAAAGAACAAAGATATACAAACGTACAAAATTTTGGCATATTGTTAGCACTATCTTTGTGATTTGGGTTTCGGTGCACAGTGAATTGTTTTTCTTGCACTGTTAGGCTAACAGTGGTAGCATGTCAAAAGTCTAAAACGTGCAAGTGTTGCTAAGAGTTCGAAATGCGTTTTGACATACCTTTAGGTCATATGTAATTTGTTTTGGTTCGATAAAGAACTTATGGCAATCCTAACCTATCTATATTGATTATTTGGTTCCACTTTTATGTTATTAGAATGTTGATTTTGGCTGTGTATGTTTTGTTTATATCTATTTGAAGGTAGCAATAACTAGTAATTCAACTCAACTCTATGAAACAAATTTTTTAAAAACTATTTTGGTCTGCTACATGATTTTTTTTCTTTCTTTCTGTTGTTCTGTTCTAACGCCAGTGCCTTGGTCAAACTATATCCTGCTTTTTCTTTCTAACTGTTCCACCCATGTTAATTTTGGCTTTTCTCTTCCCCTTCCCCTAGCATTACCCTCAATAAGGACCACATCACTTTTCCTAACCAATGCAGCTGTTGGCCGTCGTCTATTACCAAACCATCTTAATTGGTTATATCAAAGTGGTGCAACTTCAATCATCTTAGGAATGTCTTTCATTTCTAATTTTATCTTCTTCTTTTTTTTTTTCATTTTTTTTTTTTTGTCTTGCCACATACATTCTGTCTCATAAAGTTTGGTTGGTCTACCAAAGGGCTTCTAGCCCAATGGTATAATCTCTCCCTCCCAAATGGGGAGGTTGAGATTCAAGTCCCACTAGGGACATGTGGATAATGGGTGTGTTTGCTTCAACTTCCCCCAAAAAAAAAAAAAAATGGTTTCTCTAATAGCTCTTTTGTAAAATTTACCTTTGAATTTTAGAGGTATGTGCCACAGTTGCCACTTACAAAACATGGTTGAAGTATCCATTCTGCTTTAGTTCTATGGTTAACAGCATCTCACATTTCACCCTCTCTATGCATAGTCGGGCCCATGTAACAAATTTTTCTTAATTTTTAGTACCTCTTGTTTCTTCATCTTCACTAGGTTCTTACTTCTGTTTCTAGTTTTACTAAACTTAGATTCCATTAATTCAGTTTTCATACCAAGTTTCTTTCACCTTCTTGAGTCTAGAGTTTCTCTCCAAATCTCTATTTTCCTCAATTAAAATGATTCATCAACAAATATCATGCATTATGTCATCTTCAACGTGTTTTGTTACTTCTTCCATAACTAAGGCAAAAAGATATGGGCTTAACATTGATCCTTATGTAAAAGCTACGGACCTATTAGAATTCAATTGTTGTCCTACGTTTGTTCTCACTATGGTTACTGTATCAACAACGTACATGCCATTAGGACATCAACATCTCTAATTTTATCATCTTTTGCTAAAACATTTAGATCCTCAGTCTTGATGGACATGTGTTTTTAAAGTCTCTAGTTTTCTTCTCCCTTAACAAGTTTGCATATATTTTCTCCCCCTTTTTTTTTTTTTATACCTGATATATAATAAAATCAATAAATATCATCATATGCTCTATATTTAGCTTCTCTCACTACACTTTTAACTTCTTTTTTTGCATGTTTGTATTTTTCAAAGGTTTCATCATTTCTAGTTTTTTACCACATCCATGTCTTTTCCCTTTAACTTCTTATTCCTAAACAATTCTACTTTCTCTCATTTCAAATTCTGCCATCTAGGTCTAGTGTTTAGAATTTCCTTTCAATTCCCTCATGTAATAATCTAACAATCATTCTAAACGTGTCTACTTTTTGTAAGTAGAAAAAATTGATCTGACCTATGTGTAATCCACTTTTAAAGGTTATTAAATGCTTACATCTCTTTCAAATATAGGATTTGCTATCATAATATTATAAGCTACTGCAAGATCTAAGATGGTCTTTCCAACGTCATTCCTATCTCCAAATTTGTGTCCACCGTGCACTATCTCATAACATCCACCATCATTTCCTAGTAATTATTGGCTTCAATTCTTTTACTTATCAAAAAAAAAAAAAATTATTGGCTTCAATTCTTTGATAACTTTATATTCTGAAATATTTAGTAACAAATTAAACATTTGGTATAAAGGAAAGTGACTCGGGTTTGTGAAATATCTTTTTACATTGCTAAGTGCAAAGAAGGCCTTTAAGTGCACCAGTTAGGAAGAGTAACATAGTCCACATTGAAGGCAATACTAGGGAAAGAGGAAGACCAAAGTTAACGTGGGTAGAGTTAGTAAGGAAAGATACGATAGATGTGGTGTGATTGAGAATTTGGCCTTAAATAGAGTGGAATGGAATATTTTTTACTCTCTAAATTGGTTGGGTTTGAGTTTAGTAGCTTTTTTTTTTTTTTTTCTTCTTATTTATTTATTTTTAAAATATAAGTATTTGCATGAATTTCAACAACCTAATCTCAACATTTCTTAATTTGTGAGCTGTTGATGGGGAAAGGCTGGTTCTTGATCCTAAACGCCATTGCACGAATGGGGTTCAGTGAGGTTTTTGGAATTTTTCAACAAACTGGTAATTAATTGTAGGCATAAGAGTGTATATATTGGGTTCAAAATGGGCACAATCAGGTCCAACTTAATTTGCTTGAACCTAACCCACCGATAGTTCTAAGAATCAATTTTCCAATGCTTGGTATCATTTGATTGTAGGGACTAGGGGTTGGTGCAATGATAAAAGATCGGGCTACCAAGCATGACAAATGAGTTTGAGTCTGTGGCAGCACTTTGTACAAATAATAGCAAATGAGAGGTCTGTACCAGTCTATTTCTCCCAGTATCCTCGATAATGGTGACCAACATTGGATAATGATAAACATGATGTACAAACTAGGGTGTGTTACTTTTATACTCTCTTTTCAGAGAAGCACCGTGTCTTCAATGATTATTTGCCTAGACAAGTTTCATTGATGATCTAGTGATTGACTAAGTAATCATATTATGCGCATGCGACGCACTATAGGTGTTGCATTGCATGGTAAATTATTACTTAATTTAACAATTCTAATGAATTTTCTGCAATTTATGATAATGAAGATGGAAACTTTATACCCAAGTCCTAGAAACTTACTTTTAGAGGGAAAGCCTTGTACAAGTATGACATGGTTGGAAAAACTTTACTGTTTCGCTTTTACCTTTTATAGAGCCTACTTTTTTTCCTCCTTTCTTTAAATTTATTTAGTTAGACACAATCTGCATGGTGAGTTATATTCTTAAAGTTTAAAAAATCATCTGACTTCTCATTAGAATTGCAAAACTGAACATGGGCCTGAAGCTATAGAGGTTGCTTAACTTGATAATGCAGAACTGGTCAATTGGCAAGTTTTTAATATCATGAGATGCTTGTTGGATGCATCCCTATCTTGGGCCACCTCTTATTTGGCATGAAATCTCAATGAATAACAATCACAATACATTCCAAATTTGTGTATATGGATGCATCTACATGTAACACGTTAAAACTACTAAGAAATTCAATGAGCATCTGCTGCATGATTCCTTTTGCACCAGTAATATAAATTAGTTGTTTGAAGCATGCTCTCTGCAACCTTTTTCTGATGTCCAGAATAGGAAATGAGTTCTGGCGTAGTAGCTTTTTTGAGGCATTGAGTTCCCATATTTTTCCCTTTCTTTGTTTCACATTAGAGTTTTTTGTTTTTTTTGGTCCTGGCAAGTAATGCAGTCGGCCTATGTGCCCGTATGAGGACTTGAATCCTTAACTACTTTAGAAGGCGAGGAAATACCACTGGGCTAGACCTTTGGTGGATCACCTTAGGGATGTTTTTTAGTTTGCCAGATATCTTCTGTTGGAATAGTTATCTGTAGGGAGAAACGGAACAGATAATGTGGAATTGTAACTTGTTTGTGATTTTCATTACGAATAATTATGTGTAGACAGACTTTTTTTTGTAAGGTTTACAACTTCAGTCCTGTTCGTATTAAAATGGAGGCCCTTCACAAGTTAAACGGATTTTTGAAACATTGAATCCTTTGTGTAGCTGTGCAAGTCACTCTACAAGTGAAAATATTTATATAAAATTGTGGAAGTTTAATGACTGATGATTTCTTTTCAATTTAGGTTTCTGTGGAAACAACTATTGGATTCATTAAAGAAGCACCTGGTCTTGGAATTTCTGGATATAACGTGTACCATAAAAACCGCCTCATCAGAGTATGTTACTAATTATTTTTTATAAGGTCTTTCTTTTTTTCTAAAAGAGATAAATATAGGTAGGTCCATTTGACTCCAAGGCAGAGTATGTTACTAATTTTGGAGTAAAGATTTATTAATTATAGCAATATTTTTTGTTTTGTTTTGTTTTGACTCCAGTGCTACACATTGGTATTAAGAATTTATGGTTGCTTTCGTTTAGATGCAAAGATTTAAACACTCACTCTGTTTTAAACTTTTGAGCTCAACTTTTTCATAGACAATTTTAATGCTCCAGCTGATAATCAAACCGGGGTCTGTACTGTGGCAGGGTGCTAGGTTGAATCATTCAAGATCATGTAATATGCTTAAACTCCAATGAATGCAATGCAGTTTAAATATATATTACATGAGTTTGAATGAATTTTTATGGACATTTTTAGTTAATTCGAATCTCTTATTGATATGAGTTAATGAGTGTTTTGAACCCAGTGTAATGGTGTGCCAGTGACATACTCTTCATGTTACTAAAGCAGTGAGTTTGTGACCTTCTTTCAGCCCTTCTGGAAAGTCACTAGCGACGGTTCTTCCAAGGGGAGCGGTGTTGTCGGTATACCCATATTCTGGACCTTTATAACCAAACATTTTAATAAATTACAGTGATTTACTTCCTTTCTGAATTTATTGCAGGAGTTCTTGAAGCAAATTTCATAGAACCAGCACATGACAAGCAGGACTTTGAGAGATCATCTTTGTTCATCCGGCTGGAAACAAAGCTGAAACAAATGATAATGGGTTACTGGTTTGTTTCTTCTACAGTATCCGTTTAAATATATCTGGTTTGATTATTAGTGGATGAAAATGCTACTAATATACTAATATTTTAGAGGAAACTTGTTATCTCTTACAAGTTAGATATCTTATTTTTCTTTTTCATGGTATTTGAACAATAGCAATTTGTTTTCTGCACTTCTCCATTAATTTTATTACTTTTACATTGTTAGTATCTAATCTATGAAGTCGTGAGATGCATTGTTTAAAATTCTTACCATCATTTCCCTACTCTTTTTATTTAATTTTTATGTTTATGATGTGTTTGTGCCTCCAAATGCAATGGAAACTTTCAGGGAGTAGGAATTCCTGAGTTCACTAGTGTGCTTTGATATCGCTCCTAGGTTCTAGTGTACAGTTTGCAAACAGGCCTAACTAAGCCTTTCTGTTTCTTTCCCAATGACGGAATTGCTGGCATTAGTAGCGTAGCTGGTTGTGGTTGCTGTCCTGCAGTTTCTGCTTGTTCTGATGAAAGTTTAGGGACACTATTTTATTTTATTTCCATTATAGGGTCCAAAAAAGGGGCCCACAGCTTATGTGCAAACATATAAAAGCTATTCAATAATAGCAAGAATGGAAATTCGTAGTTACCAAAAACTTTAAGACAGAACACATTGACAAAGAATAAGACTCTTTGATCCAAAAAGTAACGTTCTCAAAAATTGTGTTCAACCTATGAATCAGAGGCTCAACCTCTTCAATAGTTCTTATTCCTTTCCCCTTAATTGTACCGCATAATCAAAGGGGCTCCTACACCTTCTGGACCCTACTCTAGAAGCATATATTCTCTATCCATGAAAGTTTTGGGATAATATATCTGAACATATTTGAATTAGGAAGGATAGGTAATATGAAGGATTTGGATCCTCTCCACTCTCCCCACTTTATTTCTTTTCTTGAGCAAGACTCGACTCTCCTTATAAGTTCATTTTAAGCACCTTTTGTTTCGTAGTGTTGGATTTTGGAGATCTCATGAGTGTAAAGATTTATGCAAACAGAAAAGAAGAAGAAGATATTGTGTATATTCTCAATTGTACGAAGATCTACAATCTTTAGAATACAAAATAAATATGCCCTAAAGTCTGACTAACTAAAAAGAAAGAAAAGACTAAGTCACCCCGAGCAAAAATATAAAATAACATAAAATACGACTCTCTAACAATAAGGATCCACCATCACTAATTTAAAATTGAACGGACTTGGGTCAAATTTATGGTTTGGTCAATTATAATTTAAAATAAATATAGTTTATTTTTATTTTTTTAGCAATTGTTGCGCACATGATTTTCCTTTGAAATTTGTGCCATGAGTCCCATATGTTGTCCCTCAAAAGCCCTGGCCTTAGTTGATGTGTGCACTAAAACATGTGCCATATCATATGCATGTCAGTGTGCGTGTATGGACCCACCTAAACAAGTGTTCCTACCCATGCTTTGTTAGCTCCATTTGTATATAAATGGTTATCAAACTTAAACCTTTGCTATTAACCATTGGGATGTGTTGAATGACATAATGTATGACATCTATTAGAGATGTTGCCTATCATCTGTGTTAATATACCATACTGTTTGTTTACTTATCAATATATATATATATATATATATATATACCATATTGTTTGTTTACTCTTCCTATGTGACATCACCTATGGTTTAGACACCTCGTTTGCTGAGGATGACTCTTCATTAGATGTTTAGCACTTAGATTGATGGAGGCATAAATGTTTCTATTACTCGGCTCCAGAAATATCTTTTAGTCATCATGGTTGGTGGCAACTTATGGGCTATCGTGCATTTTCATTGTTTTTCTTTTATGTTCAACTTAATGCCATGGTTGTAATATGTTATTTTCTGTTCTTAATAGAGATGAGGATTTCTTTCTTTATATCAAGATTCAATTGATTAGTTTTAAGAGAGTTGCGACTTAATAAATTTTTTTCTGGACAACACAGGAATGACCACTGCCACTTAATAGGATACCAGCGTCCAGGTACCAGCAAAATACAAAAGGAATGTGCTGTTCAACCTCCTGTTGAACTTGATACAAATGTACAGCAGTTTCCTATTGGTCAAGCCAAAAAAAATAATGACCACGAGCAACCTATCATTGGTCTTGCTGCTAATCTGGGACAAAATCCAAGTGATGCACCACCTGGAATCCACCGCAGACCTAATTTCTGTGATGATTCACCCCTTGTTCAGCCTGTCATTGGGATTGAATCTGTAAGTGTTACATATTATCCTTTGTCCTACCATATCTATGCATCATTTGCTGCTTTTTGGTAGCCATTAGTAAATTGGAAAACATAGACTTGATTAAACTGCCTGCCATCATCAGATGCCTAGGTATACTGGTGCTCTTTTTCATGGCCCAGTGTCATGTTGCTTGTCACACTTGCCATGCTGTTGATGGCATCTCTTTTAAATATGGTGAATGTTTATATTTTTCGTATTCTCTGTGTGAATTATTCTTGTCAAAATGTAGAGGTTGTTTATCCAGTCAGGTTTGTAGTGATCAGAACACTATTAATGGAGGCTGGAGGATCAGCCAGATGAGACTCTAGTCCCATAGTTTGTAGCTTTATGTTCCACCCCATATAATTGTAGACTGACTTGGTGCCAATTATTGCTTTTACTGAAACCCACGCAGCCCATTGATTATGTCTCGTTGCTTACGATTCTTGCTTCATTGTGTGCGTGTGCTTGAGGTTGCCCTTATTGGAAGGCTTGCTTGGTGGCTCCCAAAACAAGCGCCACTCAGCTTGTTTCTTGTAATCACGTGCGGGCAGTGATGCTCGAGCACACACTTGAAGTTACATGTCATGTGATTGGTCATTCATGTTACGTATTCTGAAATTGTTAGAAATTATTGGCATTACACATTCTTAAGCAGTTCCTTGGTACAGTTTTTGAGCTGTTAATTGTTGGCACAATTGATCCAGTCTTCACTCCTAACTTGTCTGGTCATGTGACCAAGTGGTTTGGTTGTTTGATTCTGGGACTTCAATGGAAAATCATACAATAATTACATTTCTCAGCAGAGACATTACCTCCAGTTAGAAAACAGAAAAGGTAGAAGACACCCCAATACAAAGGCAAAAGAATATTTTTTTGACTAATATTCCCCAAGGGAATTTTCAAATTTGCGCCTGTGAATGCATTTTTCATATTGCAGGTTATTTGTTGTTCATGTTTTAATGGCATTATTTGCAGGGGTCTGTTCGAGAAATGGCACCTGTGGATGGTTCAGGGTTCACATCAATTGGTCAGATATGTGACGAGAACATCGAACTATTCATCAGGTAATTCTTAAACCATAAACTTAGCAGTCCGGGATTTTTCTAGCTCTTCAGTTATTATTATTTGAACACCCTTATTGTATCATTTGAAGCTTCAGGTTTTCTTTGGGTTTGTTTCTTAATTCAAACATATCTCTGGCACACTGTTGCTAAAGACGCATAAAAGTTCAGAACGAGCAAAAAAAAACAAAAAACAAAAAAAAAAAAAAAAGAAGAAGAAGAAGAGAAAAAAGCACCATCAAGTTTCCGAACATTCATTACATGGATTGCATTTTTTAATGTCTTACTATTTGTATCCTATTTAGAATACAAATTATTAATAAAAAACAGTAAACTTATTGATTAAATTGTCGTGAAAGCATTCTTTAACTCACTATTCTAGGAAATCATTTTTAGATTTAGAAAAACAAGCTAAATCGTGCACAGTGATGCCTGTTTCATATTGAGATATAATATGATATGAATATATGTAAACATAAAATTAACTTTAGCCTTTAGGCATGTAAGTGAAGGTGTGCACACAATATCAAGGGCATTGGCATCGCTTCTACCAAGCCTTGATGAAGATTCAATGTTAACTATTAGTGGAAGAAAATAGTTATTTGATGTAATTAAATTAGTAAGTTGAAAAAAAAAAAAAAAAAAAAAAAAAAAAAGAAGCACTATCAGTGCGTGTGAGTTTGTCCTACCTACGCCGGGCACTGGGAGGGAAGATTGTAGACAAATCTAACTTTTCGTATTATTTTGCACAAAATAACTGCGAGATTTGAACTCAACTCCTTGCGAATGTTGGAGTTTTTAGCATTGTAGGCAAATTTATTTAATTTTTCTGATTTATGTAAATGCATCATATATGTTAACATTATGCATCATATATGTTAACATTATGGTTAACTTCAGTTGGAGAAAAAAAAGATTATGGTAAACTTTTCAATGGTTTTAACTTATAGGTCTAACCATAACACTTAAATTTAGATTTTCTGACTCTTAAATCCCATAATCACTAATCAGCAGCGCACTAAGTGTAAACGTTAGCTGTGTTTAGTTTGTCTGAAGAATGGCTTAGTACCAAATCGTGAAATAATCATTAGATATTTCTGCCCATATGGAACTCCATATTTCTGGCCGTTTATACCTTTTGTTTGTTGTAAAAAATTAGCAGTAATGATCATCCATTATATCATCATTGTTTGAGGATCAAGCGGAAGTGTGCAAGAGTTAAATAATTCACAAGATACAAAATTTTGGAAGATAACTAGCATTCTTGTCTAAATTCTTGAATTTATCATCCTCATCAGCAGCACCCTTGCCTATATCCCAAAGGAATGGGGTACCACATGAATTCTCATTTTCAATTCTATGGCACACCATGTCTCCTCTTATATTTAATTTGTTAATGTCTTTCTTAATTACTTCATCCCAAGTTAGTTTGGTTGGCCTTGTTGTCTCTTACATTCTATGCAAACTAATCGTCCTTTTCTCACTGGTGCATTTGCCGGTCTATGTTACATGTGTCCATATCACTTGTGTTCTCTTTTTTTGTCACTAATAGGTGTTATCCTAATCTCTCCCTCACACTTTGAATAGTAAACCTATCTATTTTAGTCACTCTTATCATCCATCTCAACATGCTCAATTCATCAATGCATTGTCCTTGTTTCTTCTTTAATGCCCAGCACTCTCCTCTATATAAGACTGCATCCCAATAAACTTCCTATAAAAAAATTCTTCCAACTTGTTTGATACTGTTAACCTGTCTCCATTTTGTCTATAATACTCTAATCCTGTTAGTAACATTATCATCAAGGGAACCATCTTTTTGTATTATTGATCATGAAACAATCACGAAATATGACAGAAAATAAACACACCACACACAAAGAACACAAAGACTTAATGTGGTTCGACCCACATTGTGTCCATGTCCGCAATGAAAATCCGACGAAAGGTTTCACTATGCGAACATCATGAGATTTCAAGTTTCAGCCCCCAAACCCTAGCTATCGCTTTCTTTTTTGGGATTTTCAGTGTTTCTCAATATCCCACTTCAAATCATAAACACCCTTATATATTAGGCTAAGAGAGTTCTAAACAGGGTCCATGACCCGCAAGCAAAAACCATGTCAATCATCGGGTCGCAACACAACCTGGAACCAAATTCGGGCCACAACATCACAGATCCAAGTATTGAAAACGATTATTCTGAGTAATCCTTTGATTTTGAATTGTTATTGTTATATTATCTTTTTATGAGGCTATTGAATTAACATTATTTATATTCTTAGTCTTTACATAATGTTAATTCAATAGCCTCATAAAAAGATAATATAACAATAACAATTCAAAATCAAATGGGATTGAGACATTGGGACCCAAAGAGAGATTTGATAGAGAGATCTATTGAAAACCCTCACTGTAAGAAAGAGGAAGCGATGTTGTATCGATGTTGAAAGGGATGGGATTAGAGAAGTGATGTTGCAAGATTTGCTATTTTTCTTTCGCTTTTCGCTCTCTCTGTTGGGTCTGTGGTTCGTGGTTGGTGTGTATTGCTGGTCTGGTTTGGTTTTTCTTTTCTGTCATGCGCTCGTTCTTGGAGGTTGCTAGATTGCCTCACTTGTTCCAAGGTGGATCTGCTAGATCTGCAAATCCGTATAGAGGCCCATCTATTTTCTTGGATGATGATTCGGTACGAAGAAGAAGAGAAGACCTTCGGTCGTGTCTGGTTGGAAAATTTGATAAGGAAGTGGGTGATGGGGCTCAAATTGCTGCCTGGGCTTCGCGTGCTTGGAAGGTCTCCTCTGGTGTGATGGTCTCGTCTCTGCCGGATTCTTTATTGCTTTTCCGGTTTCCTTCCTCGACGGAAGCTTCTCGAGTTCTCAAGAGGGGTCGCCGTGACTGGGGAACGGCTTCTCTCTCTCTGGAAGCTTGGAATTTTAGGGTAGGGTGCTCGGAGGTGTTGAAAGAGCAGGGTCTGAAAAAGGTGACGCTGAACGGTCTTCCTCTCCACCTTTGGAGCCATGCTCTGTTTGTGACAGTTGGTGATCTTTGTGGTGGGTTCATTTGGGTGGATGCCGATGAAGCTTTGGATGCTGAAAGAGTCCGAATCACTGTCTCTGATGGGAAGGTTTATCCTCCGTTTGTGTTCATTCATGATGACCAGTTCTGCTATAAGGTGTTTGTTTGGGAGGAGAAGCATCCTGAGCTTGTTCCGACGACTGATAGCCTGGAAGGCGGGGATGGTTCGCACTTGCTTAAGGAGAAAGTATGGTTGAGGTGGGAATCCATGGGGAAAAAAGGTATGGCTGAGTTCCAGGCATGGAAGGAATGGAGTGAAGACTTATGGATTCGCAATTCGGAGTGTTTTAAAAGGATTTACAATCAGAATCGCAAGGATGGGCTTTCCTTTTTGTCGGATCGCCGATGGCAGGTAGCGTCTCGGAAGTTGCAGTGGGGTAGAGGTCTCGCCGGAAATAGTCGTAGACCTTTTGCGCAGCAGCGAGATCAAACAAGACGACAAGGTGGCTTCCACGCTCAGCAGGCGCGTGGGAGGGGGAGGGTTCCAGCTTTTCCACGTGGTTGGCGCTCAGGCTTTGCCCGTTCCCAATGGAGAACAACTGTACCCACGATCTATTCAAATTCGGCTCCCCACTCAGATGGGCTTTATGGTGGTTTTGAGAATGGGGCCCTTGTTTCTTATAATGTTTTGCCTGGGTCTGTTGGGCCGCTTGTTGGGCCTAATAGGCTTACTGCTAAAAGGCCTCTGTCAGATTCTTTGGAATTGAATTGTGGTGGGCAAGTCTCTTATGAGGTGGCTGGTGGGCCGAGCGCCCATTCTTCTAGAGATGATTCTGTTGGTGGACTTTCGGGGTTGAAGAGTGGGCCGAGTTGTGGATCTGGGTTTCTGTGTAATAGGTTTGAGCCCTTGGTATCAATGAGTGATGACAGAGATTCCTGTGCTGCCGGGTTGTTATCTGCGAATGTCAAGGTTGATCGACGAGTGAAGGATCCGGTACTGAGACGTCGGTTGCCCAAGAAGAAAATTATTCTTCCCGCTCTTCGCAAAAAGTGGTCAAGGAAAGATAAACAGAAATGGGTGGCATCTTCACAGTCAGGGTTCGATCCGGGTATGTTTTCAGTTTCAGTTCCCTCTGACTCCTCTCCTCCTAAGTTGTGCTCTCCTTCTACTTCTTCTCCTTCTTTGGGGGGGTCGATGACTTCACTGGATCGGGTGATGGGTGGGACTGACACGGTTTCTCAATCCTTGGCACCGGTGATTGAGAAGGACTCGGTTTTGGCTGGAAGGCATGTTGGTGATTCTGGTTATAGGCTTGGTTTCTCTCGGCGAAGTGAAGGTATGGGTGAGGGAATTACGGTTTGTATTGGTCGGGATGTGAAGGTAAAGTTGGATGATGAAACAGCCTCTATTCTATTGAAGGAGTTACGGGACCACTTGGCTTTAAAAGGCTTTCTTTCTGATTCAGGAGATGTTTTGACAGAGGAGGAGCCTGTTTCACGATATTGTTCGCATTCTTCTTCAGTTCTTGATGATTGGGAGGGAGCTGCAGGTTCATCCCTTGATGGGGACTCGGGCATGATTCCATGGGAAGATTTGGAACAAGCAGTGAATTTGGTTGTCCCTTTGGCTGTTGTTCCACCAGGGGAGAATTGGGTTAGTAACTCGACTGAGGTTGGAGTGAATGACCTTGAGGAGGAGTGGGTGAGGGAGAAGGGCTTGGAAGTGGGCCCTTTGTTGGGTGTTTCTTTTGAAGGCAGGGTGGATGAGGCGATGTGTTTGTTTAATGATGTCCTCAGTTCTCATTTTAAGGTAAAGGTGAGTGATAAGGTGGAGCGGTAGGAGGAGAGAGGGGAGACAATGTTGCAAAGTCCCAATGATGTTATCACATACGAAAGAAGGAATAGGGGATCCATATCTGGAGGGAGAGGTGGTGGAAGGAGGGGAGGATTTGCTTTTACAAGTGTTTCCCTATGAAGCTACAAATTCTCTCATGGAATGTCCGGGGTCTCAATGATCCGGTTAGAAGGAAAGTGGTGAAGTCGGTTATTAGTAAAAGTAGGGGTCATGTGGTGTGTCTCCAGGAGACTAAACTGGCTTCGATGTCTGATAGGATTGTGAGGAGTCTTTGGGGGGGGGGGGGCGCGATTTGTGGAGTGGGTTGCTTTGGATGCTATTGGCTCCTCGGGGGGCATTTTGATCTTGTGGGACAACAGATGGGTGTCTAAAGTGGATGCTAAGGTTGGGCGTTTCTCTGTTTCTTGCATTCTTGCTTTAGTTGAGGATGGAGTTCATTGGATTCTTTCGGGTGTTTATGGTCCTTCAGAGGACGGTGAGCGCCACTTGCTTTGGGAGGAATTGGGGGAGATTCGAAGTCAATGGTGTTTGCCTTGGTGTATTGGAGGGGACTTCAATGTTGTTCGTTCTCCGTTTGAGAGGTCAACGGGAGGTAGGTGGTCGTCTGATATGGAGGCTTTCTCGGAGTTTATTGATGAGTTTGGGCTGATTGATTTGCCCTTGGTTGGAGGTCCGTTTACTTGGTCAAGTGGCCGCTCTCCCCCTACCCTCTCTCGGATTGACAGATTCTTGGTGTCAGGGGAGTGGGAGGAGAGGTTCTCTGATGTTGTCCAGACTACTTTAGCACGTCCTATCTCTGACCATGTTCCGTTGATGTTAGATTGTGGGGGACTGTGTAGTAGACGTTCTCCTTTCAGATTCGAGAATATGTGGCTGCGGGCTGAGGGATTTCTGGAGAGGGTCCGTCTTTGGTGGGAGGGGTATGGTGTGGCCGGCACCCCCAGTCATGTGCTCGCAGGCAAATTGCGTCTTTTAAAGGTGAACCTTAAGACTTGGAATAAAGAGGTCTTTGGGAATCTGGAATGGAGGAAAAATCGGGTTTTAGCTGAGATTGTGGCTATTGACCGGATGGAGGGTCAAGGGGATTTGGTGGAGGCTTTGAAGATTAGGAGGGCAGAGTGTAAGGCGGAGTTTACTGAGATTGCAATCATGGAGGAGATCTCGTGAAGGCAAAAATCTCGAGCCTTGTGGCTTAAGGAGGGAGATAGAAATACTAAATTTTTCCACAGATTCGCCAATGCTCATAGAAGAGGCAATCACATAGGGAGGATTCAGGTTGAAGGGGTTGTTTTTTGTAAGGAAGAAGAGATCTGCAAAGAATTTTCAGAGTTCTTTGAGAAGCTGTTCACAGAGACTGTTGAGTGGAGACCTTTGCTTGAAGGGTTACAGTTTGACTCTATTTCTGAGGAGGAGTGCTTGAGTTTGGAGTTGCCTTTTTCTGAGGAGGAAGTTCTGTTTTCTTTGAAGAGTTGTAATGGGGATAAAGCCCCAGGTCCCGATGGTTTTACCATGAAATTTCTTTTGGAGTGTTGGGAGGTGGTCAAAGGGGAGGTGATGGGCACTCTTCATGCTTTCCATTCCCGGGGTTCGTTTGAGAAAAGCTTGAATGCCACGTTCATTACCCTTATTCCGAAAAAAGGGGGGGCGTTGGATGTTAGGGACTTTCGCCCTATTAGTTTGGTGGGTTGTATCTATAAGTTGATAGCCAAGGTGCTAGCTTCTAGACTGAGGAAAGTTATGGATGGCATCATTTCGGATTCTCAAATTGCTTTTGTCGGTGGTCGTCAGATTTTGGATTCAGTTCTTATTGCAAGCGAGTGCGTGGACTCCAGACTGCGTAGTGGGGTCCCAGGTGTTCTGTGTAAGCTGGACATAGAGAAGGCATATGACCATGTGAGTTGGAGCTTCTTTCTCTATCTGATGGAGAGGATGGGGTTCGGTGATAGGTGGAGGAGATGGATTCACTTTTGCATTTCCAGTGCTCGGTTTTCGATTCTTGTTAATGGTGCTCCTTCCGGTTTTTTCTCTAGCTCAAGGGGCTTGAGACAAGGGGATCCTCTCTCTCCCTTCTTGTTCTTGTTTGTGATGGAGGCCCTTAGTAGATTGATGAGAAAGGCTTCAGATTTGGGTTTTTTGAGGGGCTTCCGGGTGGGCAGGGATGTTGCTTCTCAGTTGGAGATCTCTCATTTGATGTTTGCTGATGATACTTTAGTTCTTTGTGATGCGAATGTGTCCCAGATTAGATATTTGAGATGTGTTTTGATTTGGTTTCAAGTTGTCTCCGGCCTTAAGGTGAATGTGGGCAAGAGTGTTTTGGTGCCGGTTTGGGAGGTCCCTGAGATTGAGATGTTTGCTGACATTCTTGGTTGTAGGACTGGGTCATTTCCCATTTCTTACTTAGGTTTGCCTCTGGGTGCTCCTTCGAGATGTGTAGGAATTTGGGACCCAGTGGTGGACAGATTTGAAAGAAGGCTAGCGGGTTGGAAGAAGCAGTATCTTTCCAAGGGCGGCAGGGTCACTCTGATTAAGAGCACCCTCTCTTGCCTCCCCACTTACTTTATCTCTCTTTTTCAAATTCCCTCTTCAGTTGCGGAGAGGATTGAGAGGTTGCAGCGTAATTTTCTTTGGGGAGGTAGAGCTGAAGAGTTTAAGTTCCATTTGGTGCGATGGGATCAGGTTTGCAGGCCTATTCGGAATGGTGGGTTGGGTCTCCGTAGATTGGTGCCATTTAATAAGGCCCTTCTCGGGAAATGGTTGTGGAGATTTGGTGTGGAGAGACATTGACTTTGGAGGAGGGTTGTGGCGTGTCGTTTTGGGGAATTGAGAGGAGGGTGGAGTTCCTTGGAAGTGCGGGATCCTCGGGGGGTAGGGGTCTGGAAAGTGATTCGGAAGGGTTGGGATGAATTCTCTAAACACATTCGATTTCGTCTTAGAGATGGGAGGAGGATTTGCTTCTGGGAGGATGTGTGGTGTGGAGATGTTCCTCTCGCTCTCGCTTTTCCTCAGCTCTACAGGATTGCTTCGGATAGGCAGGCCATGGTGGTCAACTGTTATCATCTTGATAATGGGAGACTGGTTTGGGATGTTCGATTCAGGCGTCACTTTCAGGATTGGGAGATCGAGGAGGTCATTCGCTTCTTGGAGCTGCTTTATCGCCAAAGGATTGTGGAGGAGGATTCGGACTGTTGGTCTTGGGTAGCAAACTCTCATGGGCGTTTTGAGGTGAGGTCCTTCTTCAAGTGTCTCTCATTTGATCCTGATGTTCGTTTTCCTTGGAAGTCTGTTTGGCGCTCCGAGGCTCCTCTCAAGGTGGCTTTCTTTGTGTGGTCTTCGGTTTTGGGTAAGATCCTAACCCAGGATAATTTGCGAAGGAGAAGCCAAGTGGTGATCAATCGTTGTTTTATGTGCCTTCGTAATGAGGAATCAGTGGATCACCTTCTCATTCATTGCTATGTGGCTAGAGAGTGTTGGGATTTGATGCTTGGCTTATTTGGGCTTTATTGGGTTATGCCTAGATCTACAAGAGGGTTGATTGAGGCTTGGAGAGGTTGCCCTGTGGGGACTCACAGTGCGTGGAGGGCTACACCGCTTTGTGTATGGTGGTGCATTTGGCTTGAAAGGAATATGAGATATTTTGAAGGAAAGGCGATGTCGATTTCGGTGCTTAAATTCTCGATTATATCCACTCTTTTTTGTTGGGTTTTAGGGAGAGATCATAGATCTTTGGAGGATATTGTTGATTTTTTGGCCTCTTTGAAGGATTGAGTGCCTTTTTGTATTGTTCTTGGGTTCCGCTCCCCCTTGGAATGTTTTTTTTTTATAAAATTTTTTATTTATCAAAAAAAAAAATATTCTTAGTCTTTACTAATTCTTAGCCCTTATATTTCCATTACTTTTCTCCATATTTCTAATTCGTAATCCTTTTGTCTAAATTCCTGAAATGAAACTGCACACAACTTGAATTATTGAATAGCGTATTTCCAAATTACTTGTGTAAGTGCAGTTGTGTGTGTATCATACCTGCCAAAACAGGAAAAAAAACAAATGGTACCAATGCAAGTGAAGTAATGTTTATGGAATTCCATTTTTGTCGCTGTTTCTATTTTTTGTTTGTAGTAAAATCATTAGTATCACTAGCATTCCTGTCTAAATTGTTTAAATGAAACAGTGATTTATTGAGTTATTGCAGTAGTGTATTTCGAGAATACCAATGTAAGTGCAGTGTGTGTGAGTTGGGTGTATTACGCAACAAAAGGAAGAAAAAGAAAAAATATAGCATGGCTAAATCAAATGGCTGAAGATTATTGCTGCCTGAAGTTGTTCCTTATTAGGAGTGAGTCACCTAGATCCGATTTATCATAGGTAGGCTTTTCACTTCTCGTTGTCTCTCCATATAGAGTTCTATGCAATTAAAGGAAGGGAGGATTGTGGTTTATGACCATTGTATTGCAAAGATTTCCTTTTCCTTTTCCTGCGCCTGATCTTTTTATGTTCCTTCTCCAAATTCTTTTTAACTTCACTGATAATCACTTTTATCCTTGTCTACAGGTGCGAGGAACACATTAAAAAAGAGAACGTGTTAAAACAGACGGTGGGTAAATTTTATTTATTTATTTTTCATTGGCAAGAAACACACTCAAACACTCACTTTTGTCCAACTCGAACCCTCGATCTTCTACTTTAGAAGGTGAGGAAGTACCACTATGCTATAAGGCCCCTAGTGGACAGTGGGTAAAATTGTGTTTTAAATGTTAATGGCATGTTTGGGATACATAACTCTTACACGTTACAAACGATTTTGGGGTGTCAGTAAATAATATACTCGTTTTGTTCCTGCTGTTGGAATGATAGATTGAAGAATTAGAGAATGAGTTGGAGGAAATCAAAAGGAAGTGTTCTCAACTTTCGTCACACCTGGAAAGTAAGAGAAAGCAAAAGATCATGAAGCCAACAGAAAAGGTTTGATAAACCACGTCTTTGTCTCGACATATCTGGATCCCATTATACAGGATTGTGACACCACCTTATTATATCAGCAGTTCCTTGTTTTGATATGTAAAGCCCTCACTCAAGTGATGTACCATTTAGCAAATCGCTTATTTTGCTGACATGGGCATCTTGGGACACGTTGTGATGTTTTCTAACATTAGTTTCGTTCAATTCCCCTACTGAAAACCTTAGTTTAGTCTCTTTCAAATGTTTTGTATTACAAGTTTGTTGTTCATCGGACTAACCTGGTTGCTTAAAGATGAAAAATATGCAGACTGCTCATTGAGTCACCGTCAATGGAAAAACTTGTCTCATTAACAAACTTGTACGAGGTTCACGTAATTAGAATCAAGCCAAGCTTGAATACTTTGTGATGTTTTAATGTGAGAATAGTTATAGGCGAAATACATAAGAATGAATTGCTGGATAGTCAACTTATTAGAGAATGAAAAAAGAAAAAGAAAAAGAAAAAAAAGGGTTTATATTTCTATAGATTAGCTTTGAAGTTAGATTTTCCATCTTGAATTAGCCATGTAAAGAGAGTAATGTTTTGACATCAAATTGGGTGTTGAATGGTTTATTGGATAAGCGTAAAAAGTAATACTTACCTATATTCAAGCGAATTTTTATTTTTCTTACAAGGCAAAGAAATGTTAAAAGTTAGATTAGTAAATACAGGGAGTCGACCAAAGTGCAAAGGAGGCACTAATTCATCTGCAATGTAATTCCAGTGAATGGCCACCTGAAATAGCTAGTAGTCCTAGTCCCATTGGTTAAAAATGTTGTGTTTATTAATTTATTTGGTGTTCGCTAAATTCAACACCGAGGTTATCTTCTGTTTTCAGCTACATTGTACTTATTTGGGATTTCAATTTCATTTTCAATTTTAGGACTATTTTTTTAAAAATGAAATGTCACAATTATCCTTCAAAAGCACTTTTACGTTCCACAAAAAAAAGTGTAAAGTTACCGTGAGAGAGCCTTTTCTCATTAGAAGAATAATGAACTGTTCTATTGACTACTATTAATATGAAAGATAGTTAAAATGAGACTTTTCATTTATCTAAGAGTCCATTTTAATCCAATGCCTCATAAATAAATAAATAATTCATTACTTTTGTCATGAAGAAACAAACTTTCATGATAACTTTAAAAGAAAGGAATTTTCAAGAACGTTTGTTAATTACTCTACCAAAGTTTTTTGCAGTGAATAATTACTCATATATAACTCTGTTGCAGTGAATAATTACTCTTACATAAGATGAGTTACAGGAACATGAATTATTCTTTGTTAAAAGGAGGCACATTCTACTTTTTTTCCAATTGCACTACCTTATTTATCTTTTTTTTTTATAAAGAAAATGATAAGTAAATTCTTCCATTCATTAATTTATCATCTCTTATTTTATAATATCATATATATATACCCTCTATATGAGTGAGAAAATTCTTCCGCACTTTTTATATAACCACATTCTAAATCTACTTTTATGCTTTCCTTTTAATACAAAACCATTATTTCTGTTTCCAAATTTAATATTTATCAATACTATTAATTATAACGATAAAAGATAAATACTAAAAAAATAAAAATAAAAATCTCTTCACCTTTCAAAATCAAGTCTCACCAACAATCGGAATTTTGTTTTAAAAAAAAAAAAATTATAAGTGTTAGAAAATTGCATCCAAGACTTGATACTAAAGTTGACATTGTCTATTTGTTTAAGTGTGAAAAAAAAATTAAAAATTACACTACTGATCAACTTAAGATCTCTATTTTTTTATCCACTTGATCAACTAAAGGTAACATGCAATTTGCACAACCCTTCACCCATAAAAAAAATTTAATAGATTACAATTTAAATTATTGTATACCTCCCCCTTATCACAAATTGTCTCATCTTATTTATTATTTTTGTTTTATTTTATTCCATATTCTAATTAATCAGGACGACAAAACATGCCATTATTATACTATCATTATTTTTGTTTTCACTATCATCATTTTTTTGGTAAGTAAAGCATGCATAAAAGGGCAGCTAATATGTAAAGTTACAACAAGGACATAAAAGAAAACAAAAATTCCAATTAGTGTTGGTGAGACTTCCAAAAATGGAGCTATTTTTATTTTTATTTGTTTGGTACTTACCTTTTATTATTGTAATTAGTGATATTAGTAAATATTAAATTTAGAAATTAGAAATAGTGATAGTAGTTTTGTAATAAAAAGAAACCACATAGGTGAGTTTGAAAAATCTAATGGTAAAGTGTGGAAAAAATTTCTTGTTCTACGAGGAGGACTACCACCCTTTATATAACTTTAACCTTTTCTTTTTTTTTTTTCTTTTTTTTTTTCCGGCACAGACAAGTTTTTTCTTTTTTTGGTAATTTTGATGGATCCGGTCAAAAGAAAAAAATTATTCAATAGAAATTAAATTTTTTTTTTTTTTTGTCTAATCAACAGAGATAATTAATTATTTATTTATTAGAGAGATTTAGCTTACATAATTGGGCAGACCCTAACCCTAACCCTTACCCTAACCCGTGGCCGAAACTTTACGGGTCTTGCGTCTCTCTCTCTCGGGCTCAAATCCCTCTAGAAAGCCGAAGACTACTGGTCTACTGCAAAACCTGCAATCGATCATTCTGTAATTGGCGAGAAAGAGACGACGACGACGACTACAACTACTGAAGATGAGGAAGCGCGATTTAGCTATTTTAATGCTCTCAGCTTTCGCAATTTTCTTCTCTCTTCAGGTCTGTATAATTTTCTTTTCACAAAGTATAATTTTGTACTGATGATTCTTTGATACACCCAAACATTGGATAAACCCTTAAAAAAAATTTGCTTCTTGAGTCATTAATATTTGAACAGTGTTTCCATTTGATTGGTTTCAATTTCAATTATTGTATTGTGTATTGAAGTTTTCTTCCTGCAATTATCTTTCCATGGGACTGATTGGGTTTATATATATATATATATATGCGCGTGTAATTCCAGCACGAAGGTGATTTTTCGTTCAGGGAGGCGTGGTTCCATCTTTCTGATGAATACCCAATTAAGTACGAGGCAGAGCGTCTCCCGCCGCCCATTGTTGCTGATCTTAACGGAGATGGAAAGAAAGAGATTCTTGTGGCCACCCATGACGCCAAAATTCAGGTAACAAAGTTTAAACCCATTTTTATGATCAGCTGTATGATTATTTTTTAGATCTTGTCTTTCTTGTTCAGGCCTTTTTGTCAATAAATTTGTTAGCGGAGGGAAGTTCCGTACGTAGTTTTGTCTCAGGTTTCTCCTTGCTAATGTTTTCTAGTTGTTGAGGTTGAAGATTATTGATAAACGAATATCTCTTTATATTTAGAACAGCTGCACTATTTAGAACACATATCTAGCATCCGGATCAATCGTACCTGACTCATTCTTTTTTTTTTTGATGAGTTTGTTTGGGGACTCATTCAGATATAGTAGTGTCATTTTCTTAAATGACATGACTTGATGCACTTGCATCCTCTTATTTTCATTTTTTCTGATAAACAAGTCTATTGCCATTGTGGTTCATATTTCAATTTACTGTATAATTTTTTATAGTTACTTTGATAGACCTTTTTGTATTAAGTAAGAAACAAAACCCTCTTAACTTCATGGTTCATGGGGCATTCTACATTTCGAGGGAATGACTATTTCCTTTTGTAAAAATCTTTTTTCTTTCTCAAGAGTCTGCCTTCTCATTAAGCCCTGTTTAAAATGGTCAATTGACAAATCAGTTACATCTCCTCATGAGAACATTGAAAAGGTTAGTTACGGACATTCCTTCAGCAGTCATACTGATCTTCCTTGAGAATTTTGGAAACTGAAAGCATGATCCCTCAAGCAACATATAGAGATTTGTGGAACAGATTTAGTGTTTGTCTCCCACAGAATGCCCCTTTTCATTTGGCAATGCAAGAATTTTATATCATTGAAAGAACAATATTGCAATAATTAATTTAATATGATGAATAATGGTACTTACAAACGAGAAAATGAGTTGCAAACACAGTTGTAGTAAAATGAGTGATAGTCTAAACTTTTTAGAGGAGTGATTGAGCTTAAATTAAATACTTAGTAAAGGCACGCATGGACCGCATGGTTGACTATGGATTTCATAGGCCCTTCATGTTGTATTAATTGACTCTGGCAGAAATGGGTATAAATGGTCATGGTTCATTTCCATAAGCCAATCGAATGGGGATAACCAATGGAGAAGATTTATCGACTAGATAATGCATCAACATTAAGGAGGGATTTGATTCAATTTTGAGGCACCACAAGTTTGAAAAGGTGTAAGAAGAGATGTGGTACAATTACTTTCTTGAAATCTAGTTAGGCCTCCATCACTAAAGCTTTTAGGAGAGTTCCTTTGAGTAAATGTTAGTGATTGAAAGGAAGTTAGCTCCTTTGATATTACCATAAAAGTTGCCTCTATGCCTTGTAAATTTTATGGGTGTGGATAATTTTGGTGAGATGGGAATTGGAGGAAATATTAAAGATCATTTAGAAATATTATTCTAGCCTTCATAAAGCCAACTGATAATGATCATGTTATTAAGGCTAAAAGTCTTACCCTCTTAGAGGGCAATAAGGACACGTCTCCAATGGAGTTGCATCATTGCAGTTGAGGAGATTCTTATGTAATTTTTGGTTGAGTGGCTACTGAAAATCCTTGGCCAATTGTGTTATAGACTTATGCTCAGATGAACTTTGCCAAGACCTGGTTGTTAGTTGTCGATGACTAACACCTAATTTCCTACTCTAATCCTTCCGGGCTCAGTGTAGACTTTAGACTCACACCTACGATCTTGCAAAACGAGCCGTTAATAGTCAAACACGACTGCTCCACAAACTATCTGCCCTCTTCTCAATTGATTTAGTGCTTTCTGTCTTCAGTTCCACGAAAAATGGTTCAGATGATGAATCTCCAGTTGATATTGATCAAACATAATGAAACTCCTTGCTCTCAAACACAAGTATTCATAAAGAATATCTTGTGAAACTCCTACTTATGAATGAAGAAAGCCCTCGCAGTAGTGTCCAACATGTAATCAAGTCCTTGAGACCGGTGCAAGTAGATGTTCGATTCGTGCAATTGGTAACTGGTCAAAGTTGGATCGGTCCAACTGTATTTTGATCTTCAATATATTCCCACATGATACATTTAAGCCGGTGCAAATCAAAGTTCAACCGGTGTAAGTGTCTACTGATCCAGCAATAAGTTGGATCAGTGCAAGAATAACATGGACCAGTGCAACTGTGCGCTGTTTCCAAATTCATCCTAAAATCAAATTTAACATTTTGAAATATTTATGCAATCTAAATACACTTTGACAATTACCAATTAAGCACGGTGGTTCAAAGTTCAAACTATCTTAACCTTTACCAACTGATTTCCTAATTTCTTTAAGGTCTCTCTTAGCTTTGCCTAACATGATTGAGCATCACTGGGAATTTTGATGAAATATTCTGATGTAGCCTTCCCTCTCTGTATCTTAGTCTTCAGTGACCACCGTTTGGCAAACCATCGGTTATAAACACCATTTTGTTTGCACTCTAGCTAACAGAGTTAGGAATGGAATTTGCCAACCATACAAGAATTACACTAACAGACAGATTTTAGTTTATTCCCCCTCCCCTAAGTCAGTTAGAATCTCTTTACTATCCTGAAATTATCTTGTTGATTGATATCCCTAATTGAAGCTTTTATCTTCTTGCTCATCTTGGAGACTAACACTTGACTTCATTTTACTAATTTTTTTCAGAAACATGAGGTGTGATTTCATTAGATTTCTTTCTTGTCTTATGGCTGATGCCATTTTGTGCTCCTGTAACATTCTTACCATGATACACACCATTAGCTGTCATTTTTTAACCCCCTGTTATGCATCTAGGTTTTGGAGCCTCATGCTAGGCGTGTGGATGAAGGGTTCAGTGAAGCACGTGTGCTTGTAGAGGTGACCCTGTTGCCTGACAAGATCCGAATTGCATCAGGGAGACGTGCTGTAGCCATGGCCACAGGAGTCATTGACCGAACTTATAAGCAGGGACAAGTACGGAAGCAGGTCCTAGTTGTTGTCACATCAGGTTGGTCTGTGCTATGTTTTGATCACAACCTCAAAAAACTATGGGAGACAAATTTGCAGGTGTGTATTGTTGCAATTTTATTGTAGCTTTATTAAAATTGTATATATAGTAATCTATCTTGTAGATGACTTATTTTCTGTTATCGAATTTCTATTATGGTTCTTTCAGTTTGACTTATCCTTGGTGGTTTTTGACAGGAGGATTTTCCACACAATTCTCACCATAGGGAGATATCTATTTCAATAAGTAATTATACCCTAAAGCATGGGGATGAAGGATTGATAATTGTTGGCGGAAGGATGGAAATGCAGCCACATGTATGTTTTCATGTTTCTTGGTATTTTATATGTAATGTATCACTGCAATTTTTTATAGGTTTCAACTCATTTTTGTCAGTAGATTAGGTTCTGACTAGATATTTATAATCTACAATAAAATGAGAAAATAAAAGAAAGTAATAACCTTCAAGCTGCTGGATAATATTAGTTTACCATTCCAATATTCTTGATTTTCCTCAACTCAGAATGACAGCTATAAATTTGGATTAGTGTGTAGTCCACACTAAAGTCAGATTGCACCCGCAGTTGAATTTATTTTTAATTTTTATTATTTTATTAAGGTTGCATGGTGGTGGTTGAATTTCTTTCTTATAATTGTTAGTTATTTATTTTTTCGTTAAAAAAGTAAAGGGATGTTGTCATTGCCTGGCGGAATGGTATAACTCAAACTAACAAATGTGTTAGGATGTGGAGTTCGAGTCTTAGAGCAGCCACTTTGTGTAAAATATTGACAAATCTTGCTCCTGTACATCCTTCCATGGATGGAATGTAAGTTATGCACTTTTTTGGTTATGAAATTAAAAGGTTTCTTAGTGACTGTTGTTCAGATGTGGTGGGTTCAGGTAAACTGTAGATCCTGGTTTCAATTCTATGGCTATTGTCGCACAAAATGAGAAGGGTTCGGAATTTCTACCTGAGGAATTATTTCTTATGTTAGTTTACATGAAGCTACTTCAATCTTGTAGTTGTAGGGAAGACAAACTAGTTTTGACCTGAGTCGGCTTAGCTGCCATATGTGCTCAAATTAAACTGTAGTAGTGGCCCATGGACCCTTTCTATCTGATCAGATTACTTGTGTCATAACTGATGACTTGGTGTTGTCAAACACAAGGACGATTAACGTGGATGGAGTCCCATGTTTCAATTTTATTGTTTTGCTAGAAGCCTAGAACTGTTATGTTGAATGAAAAAGAGGCATTGTTGTTTTTATTTTAGGGTGATTTACAACAGCCAGAATCGAAGTCACCGAGAATTTTGGCTTTTGAACTCTGTAGCAACTGCCGCTGCATCATCACCTTTTCAGTAGAGTTGAGATTAAGAAATAAGGATTTTCTAAGTTAGAAGTGAGCTTTGCAATTGAGCTTATTCATTAATTTTTTCATAGGGTTGATAGGATACATAGACAAAAAAATTCCATTGCTTCTTTACCCTGCTTTTTTCCATATCTCAACTATCAGGTTGTAATTCTCTGTTCCTACAATTCAATTGGATCTTTCCAGTTTCAGTGGAAACTGGAATGAAGCATACAACTTATTGACACCTTGTATTTAAACTCATTTGCCAAGAGATGCTGTTTTGATGCACAAAATATGATACTTAAAGCTTTGTACCACTCCTCTCACTGGTCCTCATACAAATATTCTTCTATTGTTTCAGATGTACATAGATCCTTTTGAAGAAATTGGGATGGCAGATAAAAATGCTGAACAGCATAGAAGAAGTGCTACTGAAAAGGAAGTAAGGACAGTTTGTTGGTTATAGATTTTAGGATTATTTTGTTTTATTTATGTTTGCTGAATATTTATTCATATTTCATACTCTCACAACTTAGATGTGCACTTCTATTTAGGAATTAAAAACCTGAATTGGGCTGTTTGGATTTCCTTGTGCAACTTCCTGTGATTTTTTTTTTTTTTTTTCCTTTGCTTTTAGTAAAATCAGTTCTACTTCAGAGAGTCTGTGCCACTTTTCCCTTTTCTCAGTTGGTTATTATCCTGTAGGCTGGTCCTTGTTTTGTATCCATTAAAATATATTAGTTGTCCAGAAGGGTGTTTTTAATTAGTGAAACCCACACTGATGACCCTGACTTCTCAATAATCTGTATTACTACACAACCCAAGCCTGTGAAAGTGTGAAGTGATATAGTTTGTTTGTTTTTCTTTTCCTTTTCTTTTCTTTTCTTTTTCCTAATGTTAAGAATCATATGTGTTTATTTGTCTGCCAATGTTAGCTAAGATTTTGAATAATTATTATTTGTAATATAGTGGGACGCTTTTCCTTCTTTATGTAAACGAATTTATTTCCCTCATCATTTATAGCTATTCTCTAGATCTCCTTATCTTGGTTGCTTTAGCTATAGACAATCAGTAGAAACAAGTTGACATCACTTTTTTTTTTTTCTTTCTAATTTATGTAAACGAAATTTTTTTTTTCTTGCTCAGGCTTCTGAGAATTCTGGAACTGTGGATTTACGACATTTTGCATTTTATGCTTTTGCGGGTAGAAATGGCGCTCTTCGATGGAGCCGGAAGAATGAGGTTAACCCTTCTTGTGCTTCAAAGTTTCCATCTCTGTATAATTTCTCTTAATATCCCACAAGGAGAGTAGTAAAGATTAGTACCGGTTGATTATCCTTTAAGAGATATGTTATTCTGATTTGGTACTTGTTTTCTTCATTATTCTCAAACGATAAATTATCCATATAATTTACAACGAACTTTAAGCCAGTTGACCATGCTATTGCTAGAGAGATTCAGTTGATTTACAGGCATAATAATAACAAAATTAAGCATCTATATTATGATTCCCTATATTTTACAGATTTGTGATTTATGTGGAAAATTTTTTACATGCTTTTTAAACTTAGTAGAGCCTACAATGGCTTTCTGAATGTTTTGCTCTGAAATTGTGATCTTGATGACGAATATATAAAGTTTGGGCAATTGTGTAGAGATTTCCTTTGTTATGTTCTTGTTTTTTTTCTTTTTCTTTTTTTTTTTTTTCCTACTACTGATCACTGATGGTAACTGTAGAGACACTGTTCTATAACATAAAATCTAGGCAGGAACTTGTAATTAACGTTTAGCAGATAATCGATAATGTGGTTTGTGATACTTATACATGACATCTTGTTTTCTGATTGCTAACTTCATCATTCTTATGTTATAGAATATTGAAGCACATTCATCAGATGCGTCACAGTTAATTCCGCAGCATAACTACAAACTTGATGTTCATGCTTTGAACAGTCGTCGTCCTGGAGAGGTATGCTGCGCTGCAATCTGAAGTATTATATGCCTTATTTATGGTTGCAAAATCACTTATTAATCTATTTATATCACATGAGCACCAACGCCTTAAACATGATCCGAAAACAATGTTCATTTATGTGATTAACTGAGTTGAGCTGACTATTGGTTGTTTAAACTTCGAATTGTGAAGAACAGATGCCAATCAAATCCTCACCACCAGAATAGACCTCAACCTATTTATCTAATTCTACAGAGATCACTCATTGACAGGACATAAAATATATATAAATATAAATGAAAATAGAAATTGTTAAGTATAGAGGACATGACAATAGGTCTGTTGGGAGTTGAAGAAGAAGATATTTTCCCTATGGCCAATCGTAATTAAGAACAAAAGGAAATTATAATTCTTGAATTAAGCCATGAACGAGAAGGGTTTTGAGAGTGAATGCCATCATTATCTTGATTAGATGGGTGTCGAAGGGAGACTATTTATATTGGAGATGGAGGAGTAGAGAACGATGTGAAGGAGTCATAGTAGTAGAGCAAAGGTAGATCTCGGGAAGAAAGGTGAAGAGATTCGACCCAAGAAGCACGGATACATGGAAAATCCTAAAAAATAAGACATATGAATATATATTATGCTAGTACTATTTTTCGTCAACCCAGGAATAGTATAACCATGGATCATAGTAACTAATGAGGTGCAAAAATACTTCTCTCAGTTTAAGAAGAGAAATAAAGAGGGAATGAGTCGGGGTAGGATTTCTAAACTCCCTTTCTATAATTTGTTTTAATTGAAACTGAAAATTAAGCAAAAGAACAGTTGTACTGGGAGAGAAAGAAGAGAAAAAAAGAGAACGGGCTAGAGTAGAATTATAAATTGTTTTCTAAAATTTGAGATTTTTTTAGAATGAAAAGGAAAGAGGAGGATTCTGTTAGGAGAGGAATAATCAAATTAAAGAAAGAAAAAACAAGGAAATAGGGAGAATTAGGATTTTGTTGAGATTGGGGCTCTGTCAATAGAGATTTTGTAGAGGAAGAAAGGGGGTTTGTGTTGGGAAGAGGTTGAAAGGAAAAAGGAAGAAAGAGGACTTGTAGAAGAATAAAAAGTTGCATCATAACTCAAGCCTTGACTGTCAGTTGCAATTAAGCTTCAACGCTTGGTTGCAAGAGAGAGTAAGACTCCTTTGTTTCCTCCTTTTGATTTTTGATCTCTCACAATTTTGAACGGTTAGTTAGAAAGAGTCTTTGTTGGGTTTAAAGTAATAAGCATACAAAGATCAAGTAATATAAACTTGCTTTTTAAAATGTTAAATTATAAACTTATCTTTCTTTTTTTTCTTTTTTTTTTTTTAATCTTCATATTATTGAATTTTTGTAAAGAAGTCCTTGTATTTTATACTATAGCCCATCTTATCCACCCCCCTTCCCTTTTTTTTAAAGTTTTCTTTAAAACCACCTTTCTATCACATAAGCACGTTCACGGTATGCCTATTTTTCTAAGGGAAAAAAGTAATTCACTCACGATTTTGTTGTGTCTAACACGTGTTGAGTCATGTTGGCTGCGTGTCATGACACATACGGTTCACGCTTTTTTGGCATGTCGTTGTTTTGTAGGATTTAGACTTACCAGAATAAAAAGGAAGTTTCGCTTTAGGCAGCACAACCTGTATACTTGTTCAGCCTACAAGGACGTTGAGTGAAATCCTTCTTCCTTCTTCAACTTTATATGATATAAAAATACTTAACTATATTCTTAAGGCTCAATAGACATGCACCTGTTGAATCGTCTCCTATCTCACCATGTTCATTAACCTAGCCTAGCCAAGCTAAGGCTTGCTCAAACTAGTTTGTTAGTATAATGTGCTCAAAAGTGTTATTCAAACCCAGATTGCTTTGGGTAGTGAATGGGCTCATTAACAAGTAAATTGTGCTATAATGAATAGTTTGGTTCAGTTACAGCGCTATTGATGTGGCGATAATTACTTGGTTAGAGTAGAAATATCCTATGTGGAAGCCAAGAATTAAAGCTTTGGGCTCCACTCCGAACAAAAAATTATTTTGGTCCTCGAAAACATATTCGTATTAGTTTATTTTAGTTTTGAATCATATTTATTGATCTTTATTTAAGAACCATTGCTTGGTGCAATGTTAAAAGTTTCGGGTTTACAAGCGTGATGATGCATGTCTGAGTTTGAGAGTAACCATTTCATGTGAGATAATGCAGAGGCCTGAAGTTTCAGGTTCATCGCCCATTTCCCTCTTAGCATTCCATATAGGCGGGATTAAAAATGATATAGACCTCATTTCTGATTATTTTATTTTTGGTAAGTGATTCTTTTATCGTATATTTTTTTATATAAAAGTTTGAAAGTTAGTGTAATGAGTTATTGTAACAGTCCTGTGGCATCTTGTCATAGTGGGTATTGTTTACGCTACTGTGGCAAGTAACTGAGGAGGTACCCGTTACCACAGTGAACTTTGACTTCTTCATTCATAGTTTAGTTAATGGTTGAGAATTAGTTTGCTAAAAGATTTGAGCTTATTGTTTTAAGGGTTCTAATTTTATTCATATTTTGAGATTTATTGATTCTTGTGTTACCATACATTCATAACATTCTCATTTTGAATTCACTTTATTTTAATGAAAATGTTTATTAACCTGCGATCATTCTGTTCTACAAGGTATGACTAGTCTAATATGTGTTTTATAGAATTAACCTTATAATTTCACAAGTATACATCGATCACATAATATTTCAGAAGTGGTCCTGCACCTAACCTATCATGATTTTGATTTTATTAGCAATATAATCTACAATCTCTTCCTCTATGGGAAGTGGACTGTATAAGCTTTTCTTTGGACATGGTTATTGGTCAATTCTTTCACTTAGTTTGAAGATACGTTGATTGAATTATTCTTTTCTCATGAAATAAGATCTCGTCATACTAAAGAGGATTATTCAGGCACACATCAAGTTCTTATTTATTTACATGCTTGTGTACGTTCTTGTGTATGTTCTTATTGTTTTCTTTACTGCTTATCTTGGTACTTCTTTGCATTTTCAGTTAGTATTGTTTGGACTATACTTTAATTTTAGTAACATCTTTGCCAAAGATAAGCTCACTGAAACATCTTAAACTATAGTTTGAATGTAGGGAATTCAGGGAATCAATTCTTGGAGTTATGCCTCATCACTGGGTAAGTATAATATGATTATTCTCTTCTTTGTTTCCCCTGCTAATTCAATATTTGTATTTACTTGGTGGTGATGGTGATTCACACCTTGAGTACTTGGCCAGGATAGGCGAGAAGACACTTTGTTCAAACTGGCACATTTCAGGCGGCATAAAAGGAAGACTTTGAAGAGAACACCTGGGAAAACTACGAATTACCCATTCCACAAGCCTGAGGAAAACCATCCTCCTGGGAAGGACTCAACAAAAAAAATTTCAAACTTGATTGGAAAAGCTGCAAAATATGCTGGTTCAGCAAAACCCAAGAAGGTGAGATTTTCCAACTGCTTCAATATATGGCTATTTTATGAATTTTTCATCTCGAGTGTGAAATAATATATGTCTTTTTCTAAAATGACCTTTTGTCATTCTATTTTTTGTCAAATGTTCATAAAATATCACATTATATAGAAAATATCTCGCAACATTTCCCTTGGGAATTGCGGTTCAAGTAGAAAAACCTTCTTGAAGCAGAAATTTGACCATTGCCTCGAAGAATGATTGGGTTGTTTGGATGTGCATTACTCTCCTTTGCTATGTGGTGAATGGAACTGTAGTATTGATCTTTGATTCAGACTATTTCACACTTTATAGCTTCTCTTTAAGAGTTCTGTGGATCAAGCTTCATCACCTGCAGAAGTAAGATTAATGTATCAAATTCTGTAAGTTAAGGAGTTCAAGCATTTCAAAATTAAGTGTAAATGTTTCAAGCTTTGGCCTTGAGATGAAGTTTTGATCTCACGCAAAATGAAATTTGCTGGTGGACCTTAAGGAACGCATAAGACCTTGGTTTCAAATTTCTACATCTCCTTGTATGGTGGTTTGAGATTCAACATGTCATTTGTTAAGAATATCATTAGCCATTCTTCCTTTGGTGAATTTAGCCTTTTTCACTCTCTGTTGATGCAGCCATTGCCTTACATTCCAACCATAACAAATTACACTCAGCTTTGGTGGGTTCCTAATGTTGTTGTCGCTCATCAAAAGGAAGGGATAGAAGCTCTTCATTTGGCATCTGGCCGCACTATATGCAAGGTAACATTCTTCTATCACATCATTCCCTAGTTTACTTCAATTTATTAGTATGTAACAGAGCCTGAGAAACTCCAACAGTAAACTGTGCTGTTGCATATCTGAAATTTCAAGATGTCTATTAAATTTTAAGAGGTTATATAATTCGTGAGTTATGGATTTCTACATTGTCAAGTTTCAAGTTTATTAGGGGATATATTGACATGTTTGGAACCAGCTTCTTTCCTAGTCTAGTAATACAAATGAACATATGGACAAAAAGTTATATCCTGTTCCAGTACTCATTTGTAAGTGAAACAAGCAAAGACCTTGCATCACAATTAGGGTTGAAATGGAGTGGATTCATGTGAGTTCATGTCCATATTCATATTTTAATGTCAGAATCCATATCTGGATTTGAATCCAAATTGGATTCTATGGACATGATCTATATAATCAATGGGTTGGATGTCGGGTAAAACCCGATCTATTTCATAATTTCATATATCCATATCCACGCCAGGTCGGTGATGGTTTTTGTAAGGAAGATCCATATCCAACTCATTTTTCATTCAAAAAAATCGAAGCCCATTAAAATGGATTTTGGATCAAATTTTGGCTCAAACCTGCTCCATTTAAGCCCTAATCACAACAAGGACCTGAACCCTGCACCCCAGTAGGAGATGAAGCTAACAGCTGGTAACATGAATATCTGAACAGTTAATTAACAAGCCCTTTACTTGAGTGCTATAATGCAAATGCACATACCCATGCCATCTTATGCTGATACGGATGTACTCAATTGGCTCCAAGATATAGACATGTGCAGCCGAGACATGTTTCTAAAATCTCATAAAAATTATTACCGAATCTTTGGGACTCTGGGATTGGCACAGGGTTAGGAGGATAAGTAAAGTTCATTGGAAAGTGAGATTTGTGTTTACATGGGGGTAGGATTCTTGTATCTGATGTTGCCTATGCCAAAGAAAGTGTTCTTTGGACTCTGTGACTGACAGAAGGAATATATAATTAAAAAGAGAGTGACAGAATTAAACAAGGAATAGAAAGGCTGACTTTAAAGCTGTGAGCAAATTTATGACAGAAAGGACAATATTTGGAAAAAATCTGAAGCTTTAACACTATATTTTCAAGATTTGGTGGTTTTGAAATCTTGCTAATAAGTAGGTGAATTTGCGCCATGGTGCTTAAGAAATATAGTTATAGTTTTATTTGCAGCTCATTTTTTTTATAAATGATAAGCGTGGTGAAGTTTGCTGTCTAGAGTAAATATCTGTGTGGCCCTCAGTGATATATGATATTGTGTACTGTATAGTGTGTCATGCCATATTTACTTTCATGAAGTGACATCTATTTCTGCATGTTCTCAATAATTTTAGTATGTTGAATATATGTTGGTATGGTCTATAGATATGTTAGCAGTTAGATGCATCTATAACCTTTTGTACGTCCTTTTTATTATTATTTAAATGATTCCGACTACTCTATGTATGATTTCTGGCAAATTATTTGTTGTGTCAGCACTAACAATTTTAAGGTGTGATGTACAAACCTATGATTTTACCAGCTTCATCTTCAAGAAGGGGGCCTCCATGCAGATATTAATGGAGACGGAGTCCTAGATCATGTCCAGGTACACTGCTGTTTCTTTTTTAACCTTTGATTCTATGACTTATTTCAAAATTTTATTATTTCTGTACCATACATCATGCTGAAGAAAATTTCTCAGCATGGATTGAAAAATGTTGTTTTAAACGCTTCAATTACACTTGGTTAGGTAATTCTAGCTGTTGCTTTCTACATCATTTCAATGTGCTATCTCACTTACTTCAGCTATGCATAGGGATTCTCCTCACGGTTGGTTTAGTGACATATTGACCATCGACCTGTGACTAAAAAAATTGCTCATTATGTGGCACATGTTACCCTGACTGGTTTCATGCATCTGATAATTTTGTGCTACAGATAACTCAATCACACGGATAATATCATCTTACTGTGCTCATTTAAAAAAAATAAAAATAAAAATAAAAGAAAGGAAGAAGTCCATGTTGTGAGACAAGACAAACAAAAAAATTATTGAAAAAAGAAAGAAGAAAGAGGACATCTAATGTACTGTTGGGCTACATTGGTAATCAGTGGAACTGAATCCCTTCCCCTTTCTGCAGGTTGTAGGCGGCAATGGCGCTGAGCAGACTGTGGTAAGTGGATCCATGGAAGTGCTGCGACCTTGTTGGGCTGTAGCAACCTCTGGTGTGCCTGTACGAGAACAACTTTTCAATGCTACTATATGTCATCATTCCCATTTCAATTTCTTCCAACATGGAGAATTCTCCAGAACCTTCGGTCGAGCTTCAGATGTAAGCTCTTTAGAGGTTGCAACACCTATCCTTATCCCAAGAGGTGACGGTCATCGGCATCGTAAGGGAAGCCATGGTGATGTTATCTTCTTGACAAATCGAGGGGAGGTATGCTTTTTATCTGGACCTGTTACATTTTTCTTGTAGTAGCATTTTAAGATGCACTTTGATGTCCATAATTGTCATAGCCCAGTTTGATCACAGCAGAAGCTATTAGAAATTTGGACCACTATCACGTTTTCAGACGAGTAACAAAATATAAAATTGGTCTCACAAGTGCCTTGTAAAACAAAATGAAAAGTTTGCATCTTGGAAGATGGTGCATGCACCCTCCCTTGTGTTGCTAATCAAGTTGCCAAGATTCCTTCTAACCTGTAATGCACGTGTTTTCTTATATTTGTGAAGAAAAAAAGTTTCCTTTGTGGTGAAGAATTGGTAACTCAGGGGTGTGCTTTTCTTTCAGGTGACATCATACTCGCCAGGCTTGCATGGCCACGATGCTGTTTGGCAATGGCAGCTCTTGACAGGTGCCACTTGGTCAAACCTTCCTTCACCATCAGGGATGACGGAAGCGGGTGCAGTGGTCCCCACACTGAAAGCGTTCTCCTTGCGTGTGCATGATAACCAAGAATTGATCCTTGTATCAGGGGACCAAGAAGCTGCAGTGCTATCTCCTGGAGGAGTTATACTAACTACCATCAATCTTCCCTTACCTCCCACCCATGCCCTGATATGTGAGGACTTTTCGAATGATGGTCTGACCGACCTTATTCTCGTTACCTCTAATGGGGTGTATGGCTATGTTCAGACCAGGCAACCAGGTGCACTTTTCTTCAGCACACTAGTGGGTTGCCTTATAATTGTGATGGGAGTAATATTCGTCTCCCAACACCTGAATTCTATCAAGGGAAAACCTCGAGCTTCATCAGGTTAGCATTGAAACAGTGGTTTTGCACGTTGTGGATAGCATTCTTCACTGAAGTGGTGTTGGAAATGAGATCGCCTGCGCTGATGGAGCCTAATAATCGTGTTGAGGTGAGAGGGTCATGGGGATGTCCTTCAAAATAGGGAACATCACCAGTTTTTCTGTTGTGGAAGCTTAATACAAAGTTCATGGTTATGATCGGTACGGTAAACCCTTTGAAACTTCCTTCCCCGACTTCGTAGTTTGGGTAGCTGTTTCCATATTTACTATTACTATATTATAAGAGTCTTGAATGTAGTAATTCTTGAGCTAAATGTTGGGGGAGGTTCCCAGGATTTTGGATTAACTTATAGAAATCTTTATAGTCTGCCAATGAAATTTCTTTTCTAGTTCATAAGCTCCCTCCAAATGTTGTCCGTCTCTCAAAATACTTGCTGAAAGTGATTGTTTTACATAGCCTCCTTGTATCAAATGATGCAGCGTACTTTGTCTGGGAACACATGCTTTTGTGTATTGTTATAATTGACATGGAGAAGTGTGATATAGTAGTATACAGGTGTGATATATATATATATAGATCTCACTCGTTTATTTTTGGATTTTTTTGGATGAGGAAAATATATAAAACCATGGAATGTCGTCACCAGTGTCATCCTCGTTACTTCTCATATTTGTTATACCGTACTAAATTCAAACTTAACCTTTGTCTCATTATTCTTATAAATGACTCTCTTCAAACTTGAACTTATATATCACATGCCCACTTTTGTTTTTTTTTTTTTCTTTCTTTCGTTGGCAAGAAACTCAAACTCACACCCACGTGTGTAAAAATCAAACGTAAAAGCAAATGCCATCCTCATCAAGAAATGAGGATAAATGTTACTTTCCTAAAAAAATAATAATAATAATAATAATGAACGAATATTTTGGAATGAAGTATCATCTGGATATCTTCCAAGCCTAAAGTTTCCTCGGAACAAATTTTCTTTTGTTTTTTTTTTTTTTTTCAACTCGTGTTTTTCAAAGATAGCTGGCAAAGAAAATTATAAAATTGAAAGGTGCGTGAAGCAGGAGCTCCTACTGTAATAGAATTATTTTTGCAAGCACACAAAATTTGCATCTTTAGTACACAGTTGCTTTCTCAGGCTGTTGGCGAAATAAAAAATAAAAAATAAAATGTAAGCAAAGTAACATTCAGTTTTTGGGCTGTTGGTTTAGAACCAGCAAGCTTTAAGAGTTGAAACAACCCCATCAACCACACCAGGGGACCACATTAATTATGGTCACAGCGACAATTCACAATATAGATGATTGTGGTTCAGTAGATTCCTACGTAGTACATTTTTAGGCTCGCCCTACAACCTCAGCTGAAAGTGCTAGCTATCCACCTAGGCTAAGGGTACCTTCATAAACCTAACAAACCCTAATCGTCCTTCAATAGCCTTAGGCGCTGTCATAGGAAACCCTAAATAGTCTATTGAAAAGTCTTTCTCCTAGGTTTCCAGTACGTAATAATACGGAGTATTATGTTTGCTTCTTCTTATATGCTAGTCCAACATTTAAAGCTGCTGTAGTCTTTCTCTGTGAAGGTGGGTGATGGAGTTATATATATATATATATATATATATAGAGAGAGAGAGAGAGAGAGAGAGTTATTTAATCAATGAACAGCCCATGCTGATCAGATATATGGCTACATCTTAGGAGATGAGTTAAGCAGAAATTAATACTCACGTGAGTCTTATACGAAGTGATACTATAATAAATTGATTGATAAGGCACCTAACAAGAAAAGAACAAATTAAGGATATATATATATATATGTAAAGTTTATTTTACATATATAATATATGGACATCAAGAAAAGTTGAAGAAATGCAGTTTTCTAGCCTAAAATGCGAGACTCGTCATCGAAACCTCTAGCAATCTCAACTGCCTAAGCATTGGGAAAAAGGAAGGACCTCAAATCAATTAACCAAAATGATTGTTTCACCAAAACAATTACCAGCACCATTTCTGTCCATATCTATCATTTCTCGTCATCAATTCATGATGGAAGCTACAAAAGACAGTCTTGGCAATTCATTCCAGTGTATATCTAGAAAGGCAGTAGAATCAACTTGTGTCCAGTTTATACAGAAAATTATCCCTGAGATAACGCGGAACAGAAGCTCTCTAGTTTGGAAAATGACAATGTCATTCATTGTCTTAGCTACTAGGGAATGTATCATTAATTACATTAAGATTTAAGATAGTAGCTCCTGTTTTAAGTTAATATTGGAAGCATTCAATAACATGTGCTACTGTTATATATATATATATATATATATATAAAATTTATCCAACACACTGTTTTCCCTGAGTTAAGAGAATTGAAAAACAAAAAATATATGGAGGAGGAGGAGAAGAAGAGGGAATATATACATATGTGTGTGCGCGCGCGCAAGCGCGCTATTGCTCCTTGTTCTGATCTTAAAAATGAGTGTCCAAAAAGTAGCACCAAACACACACACACAGCCTAGCTTTCAAAAAAAAAAAAAAAACACACACACACACACACAACCTTTCAAAAAAGAGCATGTTGGCCTCACTCCAACATTTTATTTAATGCAGTGGCTAACCAACAGTGACTTTCACATAGTCAAAAAAATTCTACAACAAACACAGTTCTATAAATTACCATATTAAAACACCATTGTTAATTTCCTACAAAGTTGTAGCAAGTATAAACATGGGCATATGAGGCATCACTGTGTTGTACCTTTTTTATTTTTTTATTTTTATAGGAAGTTATATCTATTCCACTAACCATTTATTTATTTTCCTAGATTTTTAGCTCAGTGGATCGAAAACATGTCTAGGAGGCCAAGTTTCCTTCTCACAACGCAATAACAATATAATCCCATCGTTAAAACGCTTTAAAAAGCAACTACTCACCTAAGCTCACAGATGATGCAATCATGCAAGACTTTGAAGTGGTATATTCCTGAGGAATTTGATGTTGAAAGATAAGAGTACTGGCCTCGATCTACTGAAAATGAGCTTTAAAAGAAAGGAGAATATTACAGCAAAGGTACACTGAAGAACTAGCTTTCTTTCACGTTCCTATTCTGAACGTACTTCTGCAGCTTCATTCATTCATTCTTTCTCTTCTAATTTTGTAAATCAGTACTCATGATTAATTAAATTACAATTTACACAATCATTATATACCTATATGTGTGTGTGGATATATAAATTAGTATTTATTGCCAATATAGACTTCCACCTATTTAAACACACAACTGAACTTAACAATCTTTCGATCCAACTACTTGCATAGGCTACACAAAAACATTTCTGACAATTTCTCACCACTATAACCCATATCCCTTGTGGCTTCTCTGATCCTTTTGACAATTAGAAATCAAATTAATCATCAATGTTAGATCATTTATTTGATCTTAGTTTTTAGTATTTTTTTTATTTTGTGGCCTCGTCAATCATTCAAAAGGCCAAAATTATACTGGACATATAGAACCGATATGTTCCAAACACACACGTGAGAAGCTAAATTGTCTTCGATGGTTTAGTCATGTGAAAATTTTGATTCTATTCAATCTCAAGATGCCAAAAGGACTCCAAGAAGGAAAAAAAAAAAAAAAACTTGCGTTGAGAGGTGAAAAAAAAATATATAATGCCCTATAATCTAACAAAGGATATGGCGTTGCTGAAGCTAAACAACAGAGAAAAAGATGAGAGAATTTATGAATGCGCGTAAAGCAGGTCTATGTACCCATGTAATGATGTACATGTATGTATAAGCAATTTCTTATCAGTATGACCATGAATTTTCTGAGACCTTTTATAATACTTTCCAATGTTATCAATCAAACTGTTTATATCTCCCCTTCCTGAGTAAATGTATAGGATGATTGGGATGTGTTTGTTATTTATGTCTAACATTGAGAGGAAATATGCATGGGATTGATATCACACTCTTGAATGGCTTATTTTCTTAAATAATTTACCCTAGTCATCAATCATACACACTCAATAATAAAGTGATCAACCCTTCAACCTATGTCTCTGTGGCTTGGATATCTTGATTTCCAAATCACAGGTCAAAGTTCCAAGACTGATAGAGAGAAAATAACAACAACAATAATAATAACAATTATTATTATAAGTGATCAGACCATTATACTTGACGTTCATATGTAATCTCACACATCTACATGTAGTCCATTTAACATTAGGAGCTATAATTTTATATCAAATGTTTGTTTTTTTTTTTTTTTTCATTTTCTTTCAAATAACGGAGGATGTCCTCGCCCCCTTAGGGTGGGACTATTCCCATGACATCTCCAAAAATTCAAACACAGAACACAAAACGAGTATGCGTCAGAGACTTTATGCCAACTCAGTTAATCTCAAGTCTTTGTTTAAGTAGTTATTTGTCCTCACCCCCTTAGGGTGGGACTATTCCCTTAACATATCCAAAAGTTCAAACACATAACACAAAACGAGTATAAGTCGGAGACTTTCCGCCGTCTCAATTAATCTCTAGTCTTTGTTTAAGTGCTTATTGCAAATTCTCCCTTTTAAGTGTTTGCCACATCAATCTTTTAAATCTAATGTGACATTTAGCCATCATGGGAACAGTCCTAATAATGGGAAAATTATCCATCACTGGAGATATTCTCACAAAATTTTTTTCAATAATTGTAAGTTTTAACACATCAGAAAAAAGACTTTTGGTCCTAATGTCACATGCAATAACTGTGACTCCATTTAAGTCTATGGAATTTGAACACCATTTTAAGCTTCTGTTCCCTACTTTGCCTAAAGTTTGCTGACTTCCTGAAATAGAGCTGGCAGCGGTAGGTGCAGAAGAGAGGGGATTTTCAAAGGTCATGTCATGCAATGAATGTGCTTCCTAAGCTCTATTCAATGGTTTTGGAATTTCCTAATGGTTTCTAAAATTGAAAAGGAAAAGGAAAATGATTTTAATTACTGTAGTTTATACCTCGCAAAAATAATCAATCAAGAATATTCAGTCAAAAAATTCTACTCAACTCTTCAACCCGAGTATAATTGAAAATCACTGTGATTACTTCATGATTATACTTCTGCAACGTTGATTTTTTTGTTTCTTTTTTAATTTTTATTTTGTTGGTAAGTTAGATTTATTCACGGGACTACTATACACACAAACCCCATAGATGTATGTGAACGTATGTATACATGTAACAAGGGAAGCAGTTCTTCTCTTTTTCATGCAAAGTCACATCTCTGCAATATGTCTGAGCAAGAAACTGATGGGAATGATGTAACTTCATGTATTCAGGTGCACTAAGTCATAAGATTATAATATATGTATATATACACATATATATAATTATATAGTCGTATAAGAGAGATAGAGAGAGGTTTCTTAATTTTAACATGAATTTCATGCATGGCTGGACCGGCTTATGCATTGTCCAACTAGAGAAGCAACCGATTTGAGTCCCCAAATTCAACTAGCAAGTTTATTGGGACAAAACAGCTTCAAATTTCAAAACTAACTAGAAATGTAGTGAAACTCAAACCAAAAACCAAAAATTGCTATAAGTTACAAACAAATAAAAACAAGAAATTAAAGACACTGCACTACGCTAAATATTATATATATAGTAAAAAAATAAAGTCGATCTGCAAATTCCAAGGACAACCAGAATAATTCAGCTTTGCATTGAAATCTGAACTAAAAATCAAACATGCAAATTTCAATATTTTTTTTTCTCCACTTTGTTCTCAAAGGGTGTCAAAGGAACTAGAACTTTCATACATTGGATATTAGAGAGTGAATTAAGGTACTTAAGTGGTAGAGAGAGAGAGTAGAATGTGGTGTTCAAGATCTTGGGTGTGGAAAGAATTGCGTACCAGTCATGAAAGTGTTGATTGGAGCTGAATATTGAGAGGAAGGGTCAAGAAATGCAGCATCGGTGGTGGTGGCGGCGGCGGCGATGGTGGTGTCGGCGGTGGCGGTAATGAGATTAAGTTGTTGAACACCTCCGCTGGCACCGCCGGAGGAGCTATCACCGGCCATGTGATGAGTGTCAAGGCCTTGATCATAGAGAATCCCCTTGAAGACATGCCCACCAATGTTGACAGCCGTCTGATACGCATACTGGTCCTCAGTGTCATCAATGGAGCTCACTCGAACACAATGGAAAACCGCGGGTAAATTCGCTTCTGCTGGAAAATTTCCCACTTCTAACCCTAATGGAGTAACATTACAACTTCATTAGATTTCACAAATTAAAGTTTTCTGAAAATTACAATATATATATATATATATATATATATATATACACATATTCTAAAATATAGATAAGAATCATAGCACACATATCAAAACAAATAGGAAAAAATAGTCTCTACGTTCGTCAGAAATACTAAATAACAGTATCTGGGAAGAGAGAGAGATGAAAAGGCTGATGGTTCTTACAATGGAGGTGGATTTAATCACACGCAATCGACTTTTCTTTTCTCTCACACACACTCAAGAAATATTGTTTATATATACAATCCACATGAATCTTTGAAACAGTGGAGTGGAGTGATTCAAAACATATACAAACAACCAAAACGAACTGTACCTGTACGAGACGTGTTTGCATTTGGATTCTCTCTCTCCCTTTTGATATTTTCTCTGAGTTGTTGTTGCTGTTGCTGTTGCTGCAAAGCATCAAGTTGTTGTTGTCTCTCGCGCCTTCTAGCAGCAGGAACCCAAGTGCTCTTCACATGGGTTTGGCACCGGAACCCTCTACTCTTGCAGCAACTCCTACACCTCATATGTGCACAGTCTCTCTTTGCTTGGTTTCCACAATCTTGACAGTTAATAACTCCTCCTCCACCACCGCCGCTGCTTTTGGCTGTCACAAACGCCGATCTAGACGACGACCCGTCGGAGAAGTTGATGGTTGTGTTTGGTGCAACATGAACTTGGGTTCCTGAATAAAGATCTTGTAATCGTTGTTGATGGACATGTTGTTGTCGTTGCCATACATCTAGATCATTTCTGTACAAGAACCAGCTCTCAGGACTGATTTCGCTTTGGTTTTGGTTCTGGTTTTGGTTGTTGTTTGTTCCTCTTACTCCACCTAGTGGGAATAACCCAGCCATTTTTTCCCTTTTAAGCCAGTCCCAAACCTCAATTGTCACTGATAACATATCAGAATCAATTCAGCCAAAAAAAACTGCCCAATTCGAACCCAGAGATGAAATGGGTGGGTATTCTTCAATTTTTTTTTTGGGTTTGATTTGTTTTTCTGTTTTGCCTTTTGGGATGAGGTGGGCAAGATGGATCTATGTAGAAATTGGGCTCTGAATGAGGGTTTTGGTTTCTTTTTCTCTTTGTTTCTTTTTTTGCCTCTTGAATCTGTGTGCTTTTTGTGTGTGTCTTTCTCTAGAAAGAGTAATTGTTTTGAATAACTAGCTAATTGTCTGTAGTTGGTGGTGATGGGGTTAGTGCACAGTGCAGCTTTCTCTGGGAGACAAGTAAGGGACTTGTTTGGCTGTGTCGAAAGCTAGCATTTAAGATTCAGAATAACACCTATCTAACTCTGCAACCGCCGCCATGGCTTAAAAGCAATCTCTCTCTAATTTGTCACTGATTTAAGTCTCTCTCTCTACTGCTCATCCCTTCCATTCTCTGCTTTGCTTTCTCTCTCACTCATCTGTGATGGCAAAGAGCACTCAAAGTCTCCACGCTTACTCTAATTGTTTGGATTGAAGAAAAACCTTTCTCCTTCGATCATCATGATTCCATCACTACTTGCCAATGATCATGTGGAGCTCTCCCATTGCATGCCCATCGGAGGGCCTATACCATACCACGTGTCAGCGTACTATCTTTTGTCGCGTAGTCTTTGCACTGGAAAACCGGTTACTTTACGCTTTCTCTACTTTAGACCTCTCTCTTTTTCTTTTGGATTAAGCAACTCGTAATTATTTTATTTTTTATTTGTAAAAGGTAACCCTAACTATTCAAACTATAGTAAAAAAAAAAAAAAATTTAAATTCATTGACAAAAAGTTTAGGCACCCATTCACTTTGTAAGGCAAAAAAAAAAAAAAATACTATTAAGGTACAAGACCATAATAATAGGAGTGACTTATATTATTGGCAAAAAAAAAAAAATAGTAATAATAATAATTATACATTTTAAATACTAAGTCACTCTTATAATTCAATTAATTAAATTGTACAACACCTGAAAATTTTGTATTTTTATTGTAGGGGCATATGTTAGTAATAATAATAATTATTATTATTATACATTTTAAATACTAACTCACTCTTATAATTCAATTAATTAAATTGTACAACACCTCTGATAATAAGAAAATTTTGTATTTTTATTGTGGGGCATATGTTTTGGACATTTTGAAGCAGTGGATAAATCACGTGGCTCCATCCAATCAAGTCAACTGAACCTTTTCTAATGGAATATTTAAGGGAAGACCAAGTTGAGGGTGTGCTCGGAAAAGTAAAGGTGAATAGAATTAGTGAGAAAATACTGATTAGATTATATATATATTTTTTTAAATGTATAATTAAAAAAAATAGAATCTATATGGTCGACTTCAAATAATTTTTTTAATATATATATATATATATATATATATTGAATTGAGTTGAGTTGCTTTTAAGTTTATTTGATAATATTAATTAAAAAAATTACATTTTATAATAGGAACTAGTTTTTAAACATCTCCAAAACAACAAACAAAACAAAAAATCACATTCTACCTCATAACACAATTTTCCTTACATGTAAGAATATTAATTGGGACAATTTGTAGAGTATGAATCTTTGAGAATGATTGCAATGAAAAATTGTGTTATTCTTATTTTATATTATAAATAAAATAGAATGTTTGAGTACTTTTTGGATTGCAAGTGTCTCCATTTGAGAATTAGAAATATAGCCAATGTTAAAAACTAAAAACCTACGAAATTTATAGACATCAGCTACTATATTTGATAAAAATAAAAAAATAATAATAATAAAACTACTATATTTGATATGTTTTTCTAGTGTCATCAAATTATCCAATTTACTTAATTATGTGCAAAAATAATGTAAGCATGATAAAAGAATAGTTATTTTGTAAAAAATTAATACCAAACATTAAGTCTATATTCTCTATATTAAGTTTGTTCTTCCTGGCATACTTCATCTGTTGGTAATATTCCTTAATACATCAATTATATTATTCATTCCACCAATCAAATTTATATATATACACACACACACACGAAACTGTGTATTAAGTAGAAATATTTTTTATAAAAATGAAGATTATTAATGTTTATAACTTCTTTCAATCAAAAATAGCAATGTTAGTGGAGTTTTATGTGATAAATAAATACCAAATAAAAGCACTTTTTTTTTGTTTTTCCACCCAACACATTTGACCACGAATTTTTTTTTTAAATGAATACATTTTTTTAATAGTAAAGAAACAATCCCACCCACAAGACAAATAATATATACTCATCTCATATACTCATACGAGAGGCACTAACTGTGACAGTGCTTCTTTTTTTTTATTATATATATATTATTTAGTTGAATTTTAGTTATAATTTAACTTTATTAAAAAGGCCTTCTTTCATATGATAGCAGTGTGTGCGTGTGTAAATTTGTTGAAAATATTCTCCTCTCAAAATTTTATACTTTATCTCATACAAAGATCATTAATTTACGAGTTTAAGAGGAAAAAAAAAAAAAAAAAATTCAAGAATCAATTTTATTGTGGAAGTGCTTATAGAGAAATACAATGAGGAGCGCATGAGGTGGTTGTATATTTGAGTTGTTTGGAACCTAATTTTTAAAAAGTATTAATTTTACTGTATTAATAATAAATAAATTATTAAATTTATTTTTAGTGAGTCCATAATAATGTAATTGTTTATTTTTATAAATACATTATAAGAAGGATAAATTAATAATATTAAAAATATATATATAATAATTTTTTAAATGAAACACTTATTTCATGACGAATAAAAATGAAAAGAGGGACATTTTAGTTTGGAACGAAGAGAACAATCCTTAGCACCTTGCCTATCTCAAATAAATTTTACTTTTTTAATTTGTATTCATTAATTTATTATGTTTTACTATTTTACTCATTTGTACTTAATTTTTCACTTTATGATTTCAAATTTTTATAGAGCCAAAAAAATTGTGTGCGCATGATTTTATTTATCAAATTAGAATATTTTATTGAATATTTGATTTTATTAGAATATTTATATATATATATATATATATAAACAATAAAAAAAGTGTTAATAAAATGAAAGCAAGTAAAATTTGTTTTTGATGACGTGTGGAAATCATGTGCGCGAATTCCAATAATTTCGTACCTGATTGTTGTTGTTGTCTTTCATTCTCGAGCCGTGTGTTTGTTTGTTCGCGGCAAGTTGACTAGCTTTCACTCCGCATATATAGAGAGAGAAAGAGGTTAGAGAGAGAGAGAGAAAGAGAGACACGGATAGACAAAAAGAAAGCGCGTTTACTGAAATCGTCTGCAGAATTTAATAATTTTGTTGTGATTCAAACATCAAACAGTAGAAGTCTCGTGTAGAGAGGGATCGGGGTTGGAGCTACATCTGATAGGGATGGGGATACAGTAGTAGGAGCGCCCAAATGCCGAAACCACCACCAATCCCTATGTTAACTAACCTTTTTTATTCAAACAGAATGAAGGGTTTACTTTTTCACTTGGCACCAATTATGGGACACCCAATTTAATAACCGTTTGTTTGGTAACAAGGAAGTAGCAGTCCACACCACGATTTCCACACTTTCATATACAGTATTGTTTTGTCGTTTATAAAAAGATAGGAGGGTGAGTGACATTATACGTTTAGAGATGTGATACTCACACTTAACATTTAGTTACTTATTACAGAGGGAGTCTATATGTGTTCGAGTACTTAAACCACAAAGGAAAAAAAATATATATATAGGGATTATACAATTTTGAAAGGAAAATAAAAGGATTTTGAGAGATATGCAGTTGATTTTATGATCCTCCTATAAATAGAATAAAGACTAATATTTTTAATAAAATTTTATTGATATTAAATTTGTCCTTATTTTTATAAAAGACAAAATTTATAAAAAAATGGTATGGTGGTAAATTTATTAATATATTTTTGTTTCCTTTCTTTTTCAAATATGATTTATATCATTTTCTTTATTTTTATTCATTAATTAACCACGATAAGTTAATACTATCTTCTTATTTTCTTTTCATTTTTTATTTTATTTATTTGATAACTAATGTTATCATTTCTTTTCTTTTTCACAGTACTAAATTAAATTTTGTGGATCTCATCGTTAGACTCACAAATGCACTCGAGGTTCATTTGGATTGATGAAATTAGAAAGAAAATAAAATAATGAGAGGGATAATAGTTTTCAAGTTTAATTTTCCACAAGGAAAGGAAAGAAAAGAAAATATAAGGAGACACATTTTCTATCATTTCAAAAGTGAGTTGAAAAAAAAAAATATATATATATATATATATATATATATATATATAAATAAAAAGACAACAAATTTAGTAAAACTTTCGCAATACCATAATACCCTTAACATTTTTTTATTATTATTTATTTTTACCTTTTTAAAATATGAATACATGTTATTACTATTTTTTTTTTTTTCACATAACTAATGCTATTATTACTTATTATTATTTTATTTTCTTTATCCAATGGAAGCCTAAGCATTTATCAAGAAAGAAGGAAGTGATAACACACTTCCAAGTCCTCTGTTATCTATTTGGCCTTCATCCAAAAGAAAGTGAAAATGAGAGAAAATTTTTGATATTTGTAAAATAAATGGAAATGATATTATTTATTTTATTTAAATGTATTAAACACTCTATCTCTGCCCTAATGCCTCGTCCGTGCATAGTCTACATTTTTATCATCCTACAGCAACAAAGTCAAGGAATTCTGAACCTTCCAAAAAAAAAGTCAAGGAATCCTGGGCCTTTAATGCCTTAGGTTCAGTGGGTCCTACTTCATATATCTAAGGGCTGAAAATCATCCGGATCTTCAATACGGGGCATAAATTATTTGAGGAGAACACTATTTGATCTGATGTAAGACGTTGATAAAATTTAAAATTAAGTAATAAAAATTATACGTACCGAATGTATTAATTTAAAATTTTGTTTGATATTATTTTATTTTTAAGTTTTAATTCATTAAGATTATTTGTTAAACGCAAGAGTTTAAATATGAACATTGTACATGTTACATTTTTTCTTCTCAAATTATTTTATACACATAATATCGTTATACAATATTATATATATATATATATATATATATATATATATATATATATATTTCACCAAAAAATTAAATATCAATTTGACAATAAATATTAATGTCAAATCATAAAAATATTAAAATCAAAACATAAGACGTGTGTAAAGGTGTTACGTGTTGAAGTAGGTGGAAATCGTTGTGAAGCATTTATGATGGGTATCATTGATGCACGTAACGTAACATGTACATGAAACTATGAGACAAAATATATATACACAAAATATCTGTGTTTTTTTTTTTCCCCCCCATTTCACGACCTGGTTTCCTCCAAGTCAATATAATTTGTGTTTGAAATTTTCTTCTTGCTTAAGATTTGTTTTCCACATAATGAGACACAGTGTTTAGTAGCGTACACAACTACACATGCATGGTTGGAATATGACCCCGACGATTTCAAAATTTAAAAACTAATTTAGTCAAAGCTCAATCATAGCACTCATATTATAAATTGACTCTAAGCATTTATTTATTGTCATAGTTTCCGTGTGACAGAAGAAGATAAATAATTTTCAAGCCAACAAAAAGGTTAGTGGGGCCTCACAATCACGGATGAGAAGGCCATGTGCACAAACACCTTATGAAATCGTTAAGAATCAGAATCGAAACCAAAATTAATACTTTCGATTCAGTTCTTACAGTTTCGATTATGATTCTGATTTTAAATTTTAGGAGTCATTAAATTTTGATTCCGGTTTCAGAATATAATAATTATATATATTATTTTTTGATTATATAATTATTAATATATATGTCTATATTTATTGGAAAAAATATATATTAATAAAAAATAATACAGTATATAATTAGTAAAAAATAAAATTAGGCTTGGGTTGAATTTGATTTGGCCCATCCGACTTGCACCCTAATTAAAAATTAATGTTGTTAAATTTCAAAATAGTGTAAAAAATACTAATAATTTGGTTATAAACACTTGAAAAAGTTAAAAAGTATAAATTAAGCTTTATTCAAAATGTCAAATTAAACTTAAGGTGTGTGCTCGACGAGATCCAATTAGAAATAATAAAAAATTATAAGAAATTAAAAATATTTGACGTGATTTAACAAATATAACTATTAACATACACGGATTAAAAAAGAGAGTAGTAATTCAGTCTGTGGCTACAGAGAATTAACGACCAGTTAATGCGCGCATTTTGACCTGCAAAATTCAAATATAATAACTCAAATCAAAACCTGAAACTGCATTAAGTCCATTAAATATGCCTTTGCACACCTCACAGCACCATAGTTGATGCACATTCTTTGCCATTGAAAACAAGCTTTACCAGATAAAAAAATTAAATTAAATTAATTATATAAAATTAAATATATATATAGATGAACTTGGAAAATTTCCACACGGTCCTCACCAATTACAATATGACACACAAATAAAAAGTTAAATAAAACTGATATATTTACGTGCATATCGAGTTGTGATTGCTACTAAATGTTCGGTCACAAATTATAATTCTCACATCGCTAAGGGTATGTTTGGTGTACTGAAAAATAAAATAAATGATAACATTAATTAGGAGGAAAAAGAAAATAAAAGAAATGAGAAAATAGTGTTAGTTACTTGTTGTTAGGGGTGGGCAAAAAATTCGCGAATCCGTGAATTCGATACGATCACAATCTGATCCGTATGGATCGAATCAGATTGCTAAACTCACGGATCGGTGGCGGATTCAAAAAAATTGAATCCGTTGTTCACGGATCGAATCACAGATTAGGCTGTCAAAAAACCGATCCGATCCGTAGCCATTCCGTTATATATATATATATATATATATATATGTATATATAATATAGTAATATTTTACTTTTTCGTAACTAGCATATATATATATATATATATATATATATATATGAACTTCTAACATACCATACTTTTTCACTTTTCTTTTTTTGGTAAGTATTATACAATTATTTTATAATATTTATTACTCAATTAATAGCAGTGGACCACTGAACTTTTTATTTAAACAAAACCTAAATCTAGCTAAAGATGAAAGAACTCAAAGAACCAAAGAAGAGCAGAGAGAAAAGCGGCCGCCTCACTTATTATGCATTTAAATTGGTTTTATCTATATTATGTTTTACACTTATACTATTTTGTAAGTAGATATGAAATTGGTGAAAATAGACTATTTTGAAAAGTTCAGTCCGCAGATTGAATCAGATCTGATCTGTTGGGTAACGGATTGGTGGTGGATTCAAAATCTCCTAATTAGTTGTGAACGAATCGCTCTATCCGTTGCCACCCCAACTTGTTGTGTTTAGTTGATTAATAAAAGAAAAGAAAGAAAATGGTAATAATCATGTTTGGGAAAGAAAGGGAAGAAAACTAATATAATGAATTTACAATCATATCCTTTTTTTATATAATTTTTCAGTTATAGATATAGGCAAATTTAGTATTAATAAAATTTCATTAAAAATATTAACTTTCTTTCCATTTTCTTCTTATTTTTGGGAGAATAACAAAAGTTATTATTTATACTTTAGTCTTTCCTTCCACACCCCTCCCTTTTCCATCTAACATTTTATACCAAACATAACTTTTTATTTTCTTTCATTTCCTTTATTTTCTTTTCTTTTCTTTTCCCCCATTTTCATTGCACCAAACTGAGCCTAAATGATACTATAACAGATTGCCCGTTACAGAAGATGATTGAGTGTGTTTGGTTACATGGTGAGATGTGTGATTTTGGAACTCCCATGAATTTTTGAGGTGAGCTGGAGTGGATTGGACAAGCACAGGGATCAATACCAGTCAATATTACACTGGTCCTAATGCACGATAAAGAATGATGCACCGTCCAACATAGTTATATGGTCACATCACACTTTTACCCCAACCTCTTTAATCATTTTCCAAATGTATGGTCACAGTGCCACAGTTTAAAGCCTCTGTGTGTGCAGTTTTTTAGGTACTATATAGTATTTTCATTAAAAACACAAAACCCTTTTTTTTAACCAAACACCGGAGTTGATCTAAAACGAAATTATAACACTTCAACTTGAAAATTTCCAAACTCACAATCAAGTGAACAATGAGATGGAGGAAGAAAACAGCAGAACAAAGTTTGATATTATATATATATAATTATATATATATCAGTATATGTGTATAATCGACCAAGCCATCCATGTGGTATGCAAAGGTTGGTAGCCAGCAGACCAAGCGTGATGACCTGTTTTCTATTTTGGATCAGATTCAAAAATAATAGTACCTAAATTTGGGCCCCTTTGCAAGCCCAAGTCGTTGGCTTGGGCTGCAGAGCTTGCAATTTGCTAGACATGCTCCCTTAAATCGAACACTATAAGAACAATTTGGATTGATTCCTTTTCACGAATTGATTTTGCTTTAAAATATATTGTAAAATAATAATTTCTTTATATTAAATCTAGCTTAAATTGGGCTAGATAACATTTTCCTTGTGCTCATTCGAGATTGCATTTTCAAGTTTTAAAAATCTGCTAGTAACACGCAATAATGTAATATGTCAACAACTTCAATATTATTTCATCAATATGTTTATACGGACAAGGGTCAAAGTTAGAAAAAGAGATATATATATATATATACGTATATGTGTGTGTGTATGTGTGTGGGGGAAGTTGGAACTTACATAATGCATGCACCTCTCATATATACACACACAATACATGGTTCACACGCATGTAGTGATGTATAGACGTGCAATTCTGAATGTGTTTTACAATTATTTCTGGATGTAAATCCAACAAATTCCCTTCTCCTACTCTTCTGGATCTTGAAAACATTCCATCTTGGAATTTGTCTCTCCCTCTCCCCCTTCTCTCTCTCTAGATCTTTACCTTTCATCTTCCTCCACAAGCCGAACTGAAACCTCTCCTTGGTAAATTCTGCATTCAATTATATTATCATCATTTTAACACCCTCAGTATACTTCTTTCTCTAGCTTTCCATCTTCCACAACAAACTGAGACCTCTCAATCAATACTGCTCTCATCTCCAAACCATTTCAACTTCATCATCTTTTTACCTCTCTCTCTCTCTCTCTCTCTCTCATCACACACACGCACAGAGACCAGTATGGTTTTAGGGAAGGTGCGTAACAACAGGAGATCTTCTGGCACTTCTTATGCATCAACAGTAACAACAGTGATATTCATAGCATTATGTGTTCTGGGTGTGTGGATGCTAACTTCCAACTCAGTAGTTCCCCCAGAAACCACAACCCGCACCGACACTACCACCACCAATGCAGCCACCGACTCTTCTTCCACTACAGATCCTGATAACACCAAGCCCGCCAATAAAATAGACACTATTGTTTATGAAGACAATCCAGGTCAGCTCCCTGTCGACGCTATCAAATCCGATGAGCCCGCCAACCAGGAGAAGAAGTCTCAAAAAGATCAAAAGGACTCCAGAAACATAGAAATTACAAGTAATGCAGTCGACAACGACCTGAATAATGATAAGCAGGAAAATAGTATTGAGAATAAGAATGTTGAAGGGAATGTAATCAAAGAAGCTGGTACAGTTGTTCCAGAGAACCCACATGGTTTACAAGGGAATGAATCTGCAAAAGAGCTAGAGAAGCAAAAAGCACAAGAGACTCAGGTTTCTGAGGAAAGTTCTATGACTGTTCAGACCCAGCAAATTGTAGGAACAATGACAAAGAACCAAAACACATCAAGCAATAAAAACTCCACTGAAGGAAAAGAAGCTCCAAAGAATCGCACAAAAGTTGACAAACCTGGAAATTCACAAGACACCCAGCATCAGATATCAGACAAAGATCAACACCACCAACCGAAGGAACAACAAAAAGAACAATCACAAAAAGATGTTAAAGAGGCAATAAGTGATGATCAAGTACAACATGATGAGGAACCTGTGGAAGCAACAAAACCCCAAGTTGAGAAGCAGAAAACTCAACCAAAAGACAAAGAGAAGGAAAACAAGTCCTCCTTAACCAAACAAGTAGAAGATAAGCCATTGAAATTGAACACAAATGAGTCAGTTCAACAGGTAGAAGATAAGCCATTAAAATTGAACAGAAATGAGTCAGTTCAACAAGCAGAAGATAAGCAATTGAAATTGAACACAAATGAGTCAGTTCTGGAAGGGGCGAGCTCAGGGATACCAAAAGAGTCCAAAGAGTCAAAGAAGTCCTGGTCAACTCAGGCGGACCAATCGCATAATCAGAAGGAAAGGGGGAAGAGTGAGGATCAAGATGGGAGCATATATGGCTATACTTGGCAGCTATGTAATGTAAGCGCAGGTCCAGACTATATACCTTGTTTGGACAACGAGAAAGCATTGAGGCACTTGCATACTACAAGGCACTATGAGCACCGTGAGCGGCATTGTCCTGAGGAGGGCCCAATTTGCTTAGTCCCAGTTCCAACGGGATACAAGAGACCAATCGAGTGGCCTGAAAGCAGAGATAAGGTATGATTGTAAGCAACACCATTAGAACAATCATGGGTATTTACAACTGTAACTTCTTTTATTGTGGGTTTGGCAGATATGGTACCGTAATGTACCTCACACAAAGCTGGTGGAGGTGAAGGGGCACCAGAATTGGGTGAAGGTGATGGGGGAGTTCCTGACCTTCCCCGGCGGTGGGACACAATTTATACATGGTGCGCTGCACTACATTGATTTTATTCAAAAGGTAAGTTTTCCAGGAAGACCACGCTGATTTGGTACTAAATGTATATTATGCTAAACTGGATTATTAATTAAACGCATGATGGACATGCAATTACAAGTTACGATTTCAATAAATTCAATTATTGCATTTTTGAAGATTTAAGTAATGGATTGAACTCTATTCATTTATGTATACGAGCTAAGAAGAGGAAGAAAGAACTAACAGTACTGTATTTCATCAAATCATATTATTCCCATGCATAAATATAGAGCAGACCTAGATCATAAATGCAAAAGTGATACTTGGAAGAAGCACTTTTACTCAACTAACATTCAAAAACTTGTTTCAATTTAATAATCACATTTGGGAACCTAAATATGTACATAAATGTATGTAATCACAATTTACAGATATAAATAAATATAAAAATATATATATATATATATATATATATATATATATGTATATATAGAGAGAGAGAGAGGGAGAAGGGGAGGGAGGAACAGGATGACCAGGTTGTTTCATTCATATCACTTGGGTTTAAATAGGTCAGAATACTATAATATCATTTGCCTCTTCAAGATGGTTACAAGATGCTTTTGATTGACAAATACTAATAATGTCCGTGTCAATAAGGCTAAAATCATAATAAGATACATCGTAATTTAGCTAGCTTGCAAAAGAATAGGTGCTTCAGCAAGTGTGCAGCAGAACAGGAAAAGCCCAGAATTGGAAACAAGTTCGGTTGCTTGCTGTGACTTGATCATTTTTTCATAAGACAATTTCCAATTAGGAGTTGCAGTTCATTTATGACTCAATGAAAATAAAGAACAAAACTTTATGTTATCGGCTGCAGTCAGTACCTGATATTGCATGGGGGAAGCATACTCGGGTCGTATTGGATGTTGGATGTGGGGTTGCCAGCTTTGGGGGTTATCTTTTCAACAGAGATGTTCTTACAATGTCTTTTGCACCAAAAGATGAGCACGAGGCTCAAGTTCAGTTTGCTCTGGAAAGGGGTATACCTGCAATATCTGCCGTGATGGGCTCCCAGAGGCTGCCATTTCCAAGCAGGGTGTTTGATCTTGTGCACTGTGCACGTTGTAGAGTTCCCTGGCATATAGAAGGTTCTGCCTGCTCTTATATTTCGCTATCTTAATTCAATTTGACTGTCTCTGTTTTCTGCCTTGATCATTATTGCTAAGAAAATTGGAACTCCTGTGAAGGTGGTTCTCTTCTTTTGGAACTGAACCGTGTTCTGCGACCTGGAGGTTACTTCGTCTGGTCAGCCACTCCTGTGTACAATAGGGTTGGAGAGGATCTGGAGATCTGGATAGGTAGGATCCCAGAATGTTGTTCCATTAAACACATCCCATATTTAACAAAAATTGGCATGTCTTCCGCTTTCCAGATATGTCAAGGCTAACCAGAGCCATCTGTTGGGAGCTTGTGACCATCAGCAAGGACAAACTAAATAAAGTCGGTGCTGCCATCTACCGAAAACCAGTCTCAAATGAATGTTATGACCAAAGAAGATACCAACGTCCTCCAATGTGCAGAAATAGGGATGATCCAAATGCTGCCTGGTAGGTTGTTTTTATTTACTAGTCTACACATCATTAATACATCATTGCATAGGTGACCATATTCGCAATGTACTAACTACTAACAGTAAGCATCTGTTCAGTAAAAAGTACATTACTGAGTCTATATCCTGCCTAAGCATGATGTTGGAAGAGAAAGATTAGAGATAAACCTAATGCATTAGACTACAGTCTTGAAACGCTTCATGTGATATAAGTATCTTTAAAAGTTTTCTAATATGGGACTAAATACAGTACGATCGGGGGTTACAATTTCAGGTATGTTCCTCTGCAATCCTGCATGCACCGTATCCCAGTGAATAAAATTGAGAGAGGGTCTCAGTGGCCAGAGGATTGGCCTCGGAGGCTACAGACACCTCCATACTGGTTAAACAGATCCCAGATGGGAATTTACGGGAAATCAGCTCCTGAAGATTTCGCAGCAGACTATGAACATTGGAAACGGGTAGTGAGCAAATCGTATCTCAGCGGATTGGGTATCAGTTGGGCTAACGTGAGAAATGTTATGGACATGAGAGCTGTATATGGAGGGTAAAAACACACATCAGCATTACAATTAATGTCCCCAACTACTCCTACTTGACATTTATTTATATATATATATATATATATATATATATATATATATGTATGTATAATTGATTCATGAATGATGCTTACAGGTTTGCTGCAGCTATGAGGGACCTTAATGTGTGGGTCTTGAATGTGGTGAACATAGATTCACCAGATACACTGCCCATAATCTATGAGCGTGGTCTTTTTGGGATTTATCACGACTGGTGCGAATCCTTCAGCACATATCCCCGATCCTATGATCTCCTGCATGCCGATCAACTTTTCTCAAAGCTGAAAAATAGGTAGTGTTTATTGGATTGTTGTAATATTTTCCATTTTCTCAATTTTGAATCACACATGATGATCAAGAGTACGTGATATGGCTTTGGCAGGTGTAAAATTGTTCCTGTAATGGCAGAGATTGATAGAATAGTCAGGCCTGGTGGTAAATTAATTGTCCGAGATGAGTCTAGCACAATTGGGGAAGTCGAGAACTTGTTGAAGTCTATGCATTGGGAGGTTCATTTGACCTTCTCCAAGAACCAACAAGGGATACTCAGCGCTCAAAAGTCGGATTGGCGGCCAGACTCATACGCAGTTTCTTCCTGATTACAAAGTTATCATTCTTTAGGCAGACACATTTCAACAGCGCTTGCTATAGCATTATGGTTTTCTTTTGTAATGTAATACTTTTTGCTGAATCCAGCAAGGAAAATGTATTGTTGTTGTCTATTGCTTGTAAACATTGGTATACTACCATCAGTGTTTTTAAGTGTTGTAATTGTCCAATTTGATCAACGCCTATGAACACAGAGCTTCTATTCAATTCCAGGGACATCAACTTACATCAATAGGGAATGATGACGCTCTCAATTACCACCATAATATATATATATATATATATATATATATATATATATACACAACAACAACAACAACAACAACACACCAAGATGAATTAGAAACCTCTTCAACATTGAATTAATCAATTATCAAGGTTTTGATGTTACAAAAGCTGTTTAAGAAACACAAAATAATCAAGTTCCCCCAAACAATAGAATTATATTTATAGGGTGAACAACAAATATTCCACCTAAAAATCATCACCAATACACAAAAACAATAAAATTCAGTAATAATAAATATTATTAGACAGACCTGTAATCCAAACTTACACCGTAACAGGTCAAATTTCAAGAAGGCTTGGAATTGGATTTGGAATCAGAATTGCTTTTACAAAGACTGTTGTAATCCTCGAGCTCTTCGTAATAGATGTCCCAGACGCATCGAACACATCCGCTGCCGCAACAATCCCCCGGCAACGGCTTCTCCGGCGGCGGCGGAAGCGGCGGTGCTTCTTCCGGTTGCTTCTTCTCCGCCTCCACCTTCGGCGCCAGTGACTCGTCACCTGATTTGCTCATCGTTGTAGTGTTGGTATGACGATGATGATGAGATCGAAGGTTGATGATGACTCTATTGGCGGTGATTCGTCTGAGAGTCAGATCTCTCATGGCAAATCCAAAGTCACTTAAGGCGGCATTCAGTTTTCGTCGTCGTTGGCGATGATGATTAGACCGATTGGCCAATGTTGACGAACATCTGTACAACTGTACGCCAAGAAGATGTTGACAATACGCTACCGTTTCCATACACGTTACACCGTATAGATATATTTATCCATCTATGTATGAATATGATTATATAAGCCGCGCTATATATACGGTGAGCCTTTTTTCTTTACTTTTTATTTTTCGGTAATTTCATTTTCTTTACTTTTGTTGTTTCATATTTAGTAAAGTTGTTGGAAAAAAAAAAAAAAAAAAAACTTTTGAGTGATTGAACCAATTGATTTTCACATACACTGTGTGTGTGGACACTACGTCAGTGCTTTGAATTTATATTTAAAAAAATTAGTTCTATTTAAAATATATATATATGAAAATTAAATATATTATTTTTAAAAATACCCAATTCATAACTCGAATTTAAAATTAGTATCAATTCAAAACTCTGAAATACAATATTTAAGTTACCATAAATTGAATTTTAAATAAATCTGCATTGTTAATCAAAAGCATGTACAAGGGGCGAGGGTATTTGGTCATGAAATTAAAAAAAATAAAAATAAAAATTGTTCAGCTTCCTTTAAAAATATATACAATTTTTTGAAAGACACTATGCTATTCAAAATTGAACAAAATGCAAGAAAATTTCTTTGACTATTCAAAATTGATAGATAACTCCCCTAGACTAATATTAGACATAAAAAACTTCCTTGACAAACATATTGTTGCAAAATTCAGTCGAAATCATTTTGTCCCTAAAAAATTCTCTTAAAGCATGACACCAGCAAATTTTAATGCCAAAAATACCCTTATAGCCTTTTTTTGTATTTATTTTATTTTTTTAGTAATGGTGGCAAGCTTTGATGACCGGAGCTTAATTAAAAATTATATATAAAATATATCATAAATTCATAATAATACATATACATATTTATGTAATACACGAGGAGGATAGGTTAATTGACAAGTTGGGTGAGATAAGGATTCTGTGCATGAACCTTTGAGTTGAGGTGAGAAATTAATTAATTGGTTAATAAAATTAAAAAATATTTCATAACTTTTTAATTTTTTCTATTTATGTAAATGTCAATTCTATTAGTAAAAATTAAGGATATATAAACAAAATTTAGACAGATAGATATCTTATCAACAGGGGAGGGGAAAAGATACACAAAAACATAAGCAAAAGACCTTGTTCAGTTAGTACTATAATTGATCCAGTAGTCCGCAAAAATACGAGTTCTTAATTTATTGTAAATGTCTCATGCAAATCAGGAATTAAGTATTAACAAAAGCATTAAAGATGAATAAATTAATAGAAAAACACACACACACACATATATATATATACACACCTTGCGAGGAATTCAATGCTTTTTAGATACGGGTTTGTTCTAGTACTAAAATTAACAGTAGAATTTGAAGCTTTGTTCAACTAATTAAAGTTAGCCCCTTTTTTTTTTCACAATAGCAGTGACACTGTATAATCATAGTGACAGAGTTGATTCAAGATACACAAATAAACCTATCAAGGGAGGTTTTATGTCTAATTATTAGTCTAAGCGAGTTGTTTGCCAATTTTGAATAGTTAAGGAAGGTGTCTTGCATTTTGCCCTTCAAAATATGGAGTGGTAATTAAAGTTTTTGACAGTGAGCATATTGGAATTGAACTCGTTGAATGTTTTTTTTTTTTTTTTTCATGACTGGTTGATGTTCGATTCGGTGTTTAAATTCAATAAGAGTATTTTTTGATGAAATAACCAAAGAATTAGACGTGAATGAAATCATTTCTGATTTGTAAATTGAAATTTTGATATAGTATTTTTTATTAATATTAAAAAATGTTTTTTTTTAAATGATTAGGAAGAAAGAGAGAGAGAAGACTGAGAAGGCAAATAAAATATATGGGCAAACAATAATTTTTTACTTTTTCTCAGAGAAAATACTAAGGTACAATTTGATTGGAGAGAAATGAAAGAAAAATAAAAGAAAAGAAAATAAAGAATCTAGAGGATAGCTATATTGTGTTTGGTATGAATCATTAAAGGAAATGGATAAATTTGGAGGGATACAAATTAGCAATGAATGGTGACATTTGTTATCCTTCAAAAAATGGAAGGAAAATAAATGAAAAGGGGTATAAAGTTTAATAAAACTTTTTAAATACCAATTTTGCTCTTATTCTTGGTATTTTTATATAAAAAAATAATAAAAAAAACCTATAAAAAAGGATATGATAGTAAATTCATTAAATAGTATTAGTTTTTTCTTTTCCCAAATATGATTGTTATCATTTCTTTTCTTTTCATTCATTTATAAACCAAACACTATAAATGATTAACATTATCCCCTCATTTCTTTTCTTTTATTTTCTTTCCTAACTAATGTAATAATTTTTTTTTTCTTTTCCATTGTAACAAACAAAGCCTAAAGAGTTTAAAAAAAAAAAAAAAAACTATAGGAAGGGTTTGGCAAAAAATTAATGATAAAAACAAAAAATGGACTAATTATTTACCAATTGAATTTATAAATAACAAAAGTATTAGGTTATTAATAATAAAATTTTAAACATGTTTAGATAGTTGAACAAATAAATTAATTACATATCAATTTTTGAATAGAAAATATAATTACAAAATTTATTTATAATTTGGTAAAAGTTAAATGGAAAATTGAGTGTTTTAAAAATGTTCAATTGAAAGCTGATAAGACATGTTAATCTTTAAAATAAAATAGGACTTAAAATATAATTAATGAAAAAAATAAATATTATAATAAGCCTACAACTTCATAAAACTCCGCTTTGCTTTCAAAATGTCAATAAAATAAAATAGGACTTAAAATATAATTAATGAAAAAAATAAATATTATAATAAGCCTACAGCTTCATAAAACTCCCCTTTACTTTGAAAATGTCAATAAAATTCCTGTAAAATTTTAAAAAACTTTGAACTAACAAAATTTATCAAGTTACTCCCAAACTAGGGACCGACTCGTTAAATGGATTCTGAAATGTCAAATTTGACCTTGCTATTTTTTTTCCCCTAAATGACCTTGCTATTTTTTTTCTCCCCAAATGACCTTACAATTTACTATTTTATTAAAAGCTATAATAATTAGGGTAAAGTGCAATAAACCCCCTTCAACTATATCCCAGGTGCAACTAACCCCCCTCAACTACAAATAACCCCCCTCGACTTTGGTCTTGATGTAATCTTAGGACAGAGAAGGTTTTTTCGGTCATCTCCTATCGCCGGAAATTGAAAAAGTCTATATTACGCCTCTCATACAACCCTTGGAAGCTTAAAGACCATATTGCCATTTTTATTACTGTAGATACAAACCCACACAAACATTACCCTATTTTTCTTTCCAAAAAAAAAAACCCAACTCCTTTTCAGGCATCTTTCAAGCCATCTTGCTCGATCTCTCACTGAACTTACAGGATTCCCTTTCAATCCTGTATCTCTCTTTGTATATTGCGAAGGGTGTGGGACTGTCTCTGTATTTATCCATACATGTATATATACATGAGGGATAAGGTTGACGAAAGAAGTGGGAATTACGCCGGAGATTTGTTTGTCGGAGAAGTTGACTATAGTGTAACTCAATTTGCTGATGTTGGAGGGAATTGCACCGGTCAATCGGTTTTCGAAGAGGTTTAAAATTTTGAGATTAGCAAGGAGGTGATGCACCCTCTTTCTCTCTCTCTCCACCTCCATCGCCTCTCCACCAGCACTCTTCTCTCTGTCTCTGAAAAGTTCTCTCTTGGCCTTAAATATAACCATCTACCATACCAATGACCAAATCATCCCACTCCAATCCATTGATGGCATCCATGCTTCGATGGTGAAAACAAACCTATAAATTATAGGTGAGTATACTTGGTTATTTGAGTTTTGACAACCAATATTGGTGATGATCAGATTTAGTGCAAGATGTGGGTTGTTCATGGTGTAGACGCCGCTCTCGGTTTAGTGTAGAGATGAAGATCTGCCTTTTGGTCTTCAAGGAGATAGAGAAAAGAGAAAATTGGGTGAAGAGAATAGAGATATCCATTAACTGATTAAGGAATTAGGGATTTTGGGTTGAGTGGGTAACAATATGTAAAATATAAGAGTAGTATGATATTTTTGTATGATAAGGGTTGAATGGTCACTTAATTTAAATATGATACTCAAGGACACAATTTAACGGCCAAAAAATTTGTCGTGGCCGAATTGGGTAAATTGCCACCAAACCCCTGAGTTAAGGGGGGTTAAATGCATCTTTAATAATTTAAGGGAGCTATTTGCTCATAGGACCATAGTTGGAGGGGGTTTATTGCACTTTACCCAAATAATTATTTTAATATTAAAAAAATATCCCTTTATAATAATATTACTTAATGTTAGATGATTTGTTATCTTACTAACGATCGATGACCCATTCCTCGTCTCCAATATTATTTTTATAATTTTAAAATAATAATTATAGCTTTTAATTTAATATTAAATAGCAATGTCAAATTTGACATTCACAACCCATTTAACGAGTTGGTCACGGGTTTGGAGATAATTTGATGAGTTTTGTTGTTTTATGGATTTTTTAAAATTATCCTGAAAGTTTTATGTACAAATTTGAAAGTAAAGGGGAGTTTTATTACTTTAAACCTAAAAGATAATAAAATAAACAATTTTAAAAAATGGTTAAAAATCACAAAACCCTCGTGTACTTTCAAAATTGTGCATAAAACTTCCAGTAAAATTTTAAAAAGCTCATAAACTAAAAAAAATTATCAAATTGCCCCATATCCACAACCGACACATTTTGTTATTTCACAACTTAGTTAACGAGTTAGTTAAAAATATGGGGACAATTTGAGAGGGATTTTTTTTTTTTTTCTTTTTTTCAAAAGATTTATAAATTTTACTAGAAGATTTATGCACAAATTTTAAAGTACTGGAGTTTGTGATCATAAACCTTACAAATAAAAAGGGCTAATTCTATAAAAACCCCATTACTTTCAAAGTTTGATCATAAACCCCCGACCTGTTTCAGAAAACCCCGACACTTTAAAAAGTTATCACATTGCCCTAATATTTGTATCCGACCCGTTAATCAGGCTGTAAAATTTTGAA